AAAAAAATATTTTTATTTTCAGAGGAGGGAGAAAAATAGCAGTATGTGAGAGAAACATCAGTTGGTTGCCTCTCGCACACCCCCAACCAGGTACCCAGAGCTCAACCCAGGCCTGTGCCCTGACTGGGAATCGAGCCAGTGACCTTTCGGTTCACAGGCCGGCACACGATCCACTGAGCCATATCAACCAGGGCAAGCCCTTTATTTTCCTAGAGAACGTTCACATGCCCTTCAAAACCCTACACAGGTGTTGCCTCCAAGAAGGCTTCAATAATCTCCAGGGATATTTTGTTAACCTCCTGTGTTACCTGAGAAGTGATGAATTCTCACTCAGCCGCATATGACCAGTCCCTCAAACCTATGACAATGGAGGTTCCCAGGTCAGAGGACTTGGACAGCAGCAATTTCATTTTTCTGGGCGCTGCTTCTGGGCTTCTGACCTTGCCTACTGTTCTCAGGCATCTTAAGGACATTTCCTGTTGAAGCGCTGCTTGGCCACCTCCTCCTTCCCGCCTTCTCTCCCACACATCTCCTGCTGGCCCCTCTTATCCTGCCTTATGAAACCAAAGTGCTTTTCTGTTTAAATTGGAGACACCTACAGATTCTGAAATGCATGCATTCTCCCTAACACGTCTTTTTAAATGAACTCTCTCCTTATCACAGTCCAAGTGTGTTTTGATTTGACAGACAGTGCTCCCAAGTTAGAAATGCATAGAGTGCCAACCAGCTCAGTTTCACATGGTCCCTTCAGACAATAAGCCCTGGGGTGTTGTTTCCAGGGGACCCAGCTGCACCCATGATGAGTTTTTTCTTTTTTTTCTTTTTTTAGCTCCATTTGACATAGAATACTTTAAGGTGTACAACATTGGCTTGATACATTTATGTTGCAATGTGATTGCCATTATAGACTTATCACATCACAAATTTCTTCTAGTGTTGCAACAATTAAGGTCTAGCCTCTTAGCAAACTGAACGTTTCTTAAGTTTTGTCGTCTATAATCACTACACCATGCATTTGGTCTCCAGGACTTATCTACTAGTTACAAGTTTATGCCCTTAAATATCTCTCCCATTCCTCCATTTCCTGGTAATAACCATTTTACTCTCTGCTTTTACGGCTTTAAAAAAAATTTCACATAATTTCATAAGGTATTTGTGTCTTATCTCACTTAGCGTAAGGCCCTTAGCATGTTGTTATAAATGGCCAAATTTCCTTCTCATGGCTGAACAGTATCCCAGTGTATATATAAACCACTTCTTGATCCATTCATCTGTTGATGGATCCCGAGGTCATTTCCGTATCTTGGCTCTAGGGAATAATGCTGCAGTGAATACGAGGGTGCAGGTATCTCTTTGGTAACCTGTTTCATTTCCCAGAAGTGTGAGCATCCATGACATTCTGTAATAGTTTAGTGTCCCCCAGTGGGGTGTCCTAAATCTGCAACAGTCACATAGTCTACATCGATTTCTTGGGTGGAGCAACTCCATCGCATTTCAATTCAAGCACAGCGTGAGCTCAGGCAGACAGTATCTGGGGTCTGCTTAAACCCAGGTCCAGACAATTAGGATCTGTGATGTCAGAGTTCCAAAAATGCCAGCTGCAACTTGCCAGACAGCTGCGTTCCCAGTCCAAACTTACAAAACAGTCATGGGGATGTAAAGTACAGCATAGGGAATATAGTCAATAATATTGTAGTAACCATGTATGGTGCCAGATGGGTACTGGACTTATGAGGGGATCACTTTGTAAGCTATATACATGTCTAATCACTATGTTGTGCACCTGAAACTAATATAATATTGCATGTCAACTGCAATTTAAAAACAAAATGAGAAAGATGCTACACACACACACTCAGGGTCAAGCATCTATTTTTCCAAGAGCTCATTAGCAACTAAAAACTGCTTTTGAAAATTCTGGAAGTGTATCTCCATTTGGAGGTGGCCTTTATTTTCATGCTGTCTCCCTTTTTGTCCCAGAGACTCAGCAAAAATCATCAGTGATAGAGACTTCTCCTGTTCCTAAAATTCAGAGTTTAAATTATTTGCTCGCCAGGAGCAGGGAGCCAGGCCCTGATGCTATGAGGCAGCTTTTCCTGAAGGGGGGTCCCTCGGCCTTTGTCAAATTGTAGGCACATGAACATTTACATCAATTTGTCATCATCCATCTAGGTGCAAAAGCAACAAAATACGAAGCCATTTTTTAAAAGACCCTTTCCCTTGCCCTGACAGGTGTGGCTCAGTTGGCTAAGTGTCATCCACAGATGGAAAAGTGGCCTGTTTGATTCCAGTCAGGGCACGTGCCCAGGTTACAGGTTTGGTCCCCATTTGGGGCTGAGGGAGGCAACTGATCAATGTTTTCCTCCCCGTTTCTCCCTCCCTTCCCCTCTCTAAAAATAAAATACTATCTTTTTAATAATATTGTTTATGTGTGTCGGGGTTTGTATTAGTGCTTTAGATCATTATATTTTGCTTGTTTAAAAATCTCAGCCTTTTTTTTTGTCTAATTTTACTGTGAAAAAAATTAAACATTCTCCAAAATGCTGATAACATGACTAAAATTGATGGGGGAACTTGGGAGCTGGAAAATTTTAATTTTAGGTAATATTAAGTATTTAGTATTTAATGCATGTAAAAGTCTGTTGTTTCACAAACTGAAGGTATGTACCATCCTGACCCCAGCAGACCACAAACAATTCCACCTTTGTGCTTCAGAAGAGACCATAAGTAATAAAGATGGTATCTGATCCAGTGAGTTCCAGGGAAACATCCAGCTCCCTAAGACACATAGAAAATCTCCCAGGACACAGGACCCAGGACCCATATAGAAATCACTGGTCACGAGATGAAAGCATGTTAGGGAAAATGCTGGACTGCAGCTTCTATCTGATTAACCTTTTTCCTGAATTCCAAATCCCCTTCCTACAATTTTTCCTCATAAAAAGGCTGGCTTGAAATGAAATGTAAGACAATCTATTAGGGTACATAGCCCACCATCTTCACAGACTCACCAGCAATCTGAATAAAGCGCCCAGGAAGATTCAGTCCCTGTCTCTGCTTATTGGTTCTGGTACTGACAGGCAGCACCAAGGCCGACTTTTCCAGTTTCAAAATGGCAAATCGTAACTCACAGCAACTCTAAATAAATTTCCTATTGGTGGGCTGAAATGAGCAAATGAGGGAACCAACTCAGCCAGAAGGGCAGAGGTTAAGAGAGTCACAAAAGAGCTGATCCAGCCCTGGATGGTGTGTGTGTGGCTCAGTGGATTGAGTGCCGGCATGCAAACTAAAAGGTTGCCAGTTCAATTCCCACTTAGGGCAGGTCTGGGTTGTGTGCCAAGTCCCAGCTGGGGGCACGTGAGAGGCAACCAATCGATGTATCTCTTGCACACCAATGTTTCTTTTTCCCTCCTTTTCCCTCTAAAAATAATCTTTAAAAAAATTGATCCAGATTCATTTTCAACCAGACCTACGTCCTGACCAACCTGTAGTTTTTTAATTAGCCACACCAATAAATCCTCTTCCTGTCCCAGCTAGTTTGAGCTGGGTTTTCTTTCTTAAAATTGAAAACATTCTACCTGATACAAATAACCCTGAGCTCTGGCAGACCGCCCTGTTGGCTGCTTACGACAACACTGATGGTGACACAAAACATGGGATATTATGAATCCTATGTATCCAGAACCTGGAAACTAAGGTCCAGGAAAAAAAACTTGTGGGAAACTGTCTCCTACCTCTAGTCAATTTGCACATATTTGAGCAAACCATCCAAGCAGGTAAACCTGAAAACTGGGTATCTGAGAAGTATGGGGTGGTATCCAAAGTGTACTGGGTCTTAAAATAGCTTCATTCAGCACTGACTGGTGTGGCTCAGTAGGCTGGGCATCATCCCACAAATGGAAAGGTTGCCAGTTCTATTCCTGGTCAGGACACATGCCTGGATTGTGGGCCTGGTCCCTGGTTGAAGGTGTGTGAGAGACAACCAATTGACATTTCTCTTTCTTCCTCCCTTCCCCTCTCTCTAAAAATAAATAAATGAAATCTAAAAAATTAAAAAGCAGCTTAGTTCAACACCCAAAATCCAGTTATAAATATGTTCCCCCCTTTTTTCCCCCACCCCTTTCTCAGGAAGTTTTAATGAATTAAAGTCAGGTTTCCCTTTTTTAATTGTCTGCTCTTGTCACAAAATAAGTCAGTGAAACTTACGCTATTATACAACTAATGATACACTGCACTGGGAATCTTAAGTGATAAGATAAAAACTCAAGCCCATGACTTCTTGAAAAGCTGAAAAGAGGTCAAGAGCCAACTGCAAAAATCTCACACTCAAATCAACTTTGCATGATTTTATATATTTATAATGTGATCATTTCCTTGACTTAGTTTTTAAAGTTTCTCACAAAAATCCTTTTGCTAATTGAGGTTGGGCTCATTAGAATTTTCAAAGTTACCCTATTTTTCATAGCTTTTCCTCTCCATCAAGACAAGACATTTCCATCAAGTTAAAGACATTTCCAGGCACCCATTATTTCTTAGGCACTGGTTTGCAGTCATGGTCATTCAGCAGTGAATAAACTTCCTCCCTCCATGGAGATTACATTCTCATGCACATGGATTTTGTTAAATCCATCACTATATGTTTGCTAAGGTCCTGGTGGTCTTTACTATTAAGGCCTCTCTCATGTGTAGACTTTAGTGAATGTGAAGGTTCTGACAAACTTATAGTGGCACTCTGTTGTGCATTTTGTTAAGAACTGTCACAATTTAAAGTCTGTCATACATTCATCCAAGAAAGAGGTTTTTTCCAATGGAATTCAGATGACTGTAAAAAACTCAGCTCACTCCTGAATTCTTAACATGCAACATTTTATAGATAATCTCAGCTGTCTAGATTTTCTGATGAAAGGTAGAAGTCTAAGCTCTGAAGAACACTTTTATCATACTCGTCAGGTGTGGTAGGCTTACCAATATTATATACTCACGAATCTGCAGACATAAACTTAACTAAAGCCCCTACCACAACCAAAACATTTGTAGGGTTTTTGTCCAGTGTAGACTCTCTGACTGGCTTGAAGACTTGCGGCCTGAATGAAGCTCTTACCAGATGTGCCACATTTACAGGGTTTCTCTATATGTAGATCCCCTGATGAGCTTGAAGACTTAGGGCCTGACTGAAGCTCTTAGCACACACAACACATTTGTAGGGTTTCTCTCCAGTGTGAACTCGCAGACGAACTCTTGCTGAAGCTCTGCTCACACAGAGCACATTTATTTATAGGGTTTTTATCCAGTGTGGACTCGGTGATGAGCTTGAAGACTGGAGGTCTGACTGAAGCTCTTACTGCACACAGCACATTTGTAGGGTTTCTGTCTGGTGTGAACTTGCTGATGATCCTGAAGATATGAACTCCGACTGAAGCTCTTCCCACATACAGCACATTTGTAGGGTTTTTCTCCAGTGTGGACTCGCCGATGAGCTTGAAGACTGGAGGTCTGACTGAAGCTCTTCCCACACACAGCACATTTGTAGGGTTTTTCTCCAGTGTGAACTCGCTGATGAACTTGACGTGAACTCTGACTGAAGCTCTTCCCACACACAGCACATTTGTAGGGTTTTTCTCCAGTGTGGACTCGCTGATGAACTTGAAGACCTGAGGTGTGACTGAAGCTCTTCCCACACACAGCACATCTGTAAGGTTTCTCTCCCGTGTGGACTCGCTGATGGGCAGGAAGATACGAACTCTGACTGAAGCCCTTCCCACACACAGCACATTTGTAGGGTTTCTCTCCAGTGTGAACTCGCTGATGAACTTGAAGGTATGAACTCCGACTGAAGTTTTTCCCACACACAGTACATTCATAGGGTTTCTCTCCAGTGTGAACTCGCTGATGCATTTGAAGATGGTAACTCTGACTGAAGCTCTTCTCACACACAGCACATTTATAGGGCTTTTCTACAGTGTGGACTTGTTGATGAATTTGTTGATGTGAACTCTGACTGATGTCCTCACCACACTCATCATTCCTATTGCAATTCTCTTCTGTGTGAACACTTTGATGATTGCAAAGCTCTGAGCTATAACAGATGCCCTCCCCAAACTCACTAGCTGTATGAGGTTTTGCTCCCAGGTGCAAATGCTGATGAAGCTCAAGATTGGGGCTGAGGCTGAAGCCTTTTCCATTTTCAGCAGAGGTATGCTCTTCTGAGTGGATTACACTGTGTTGAAATGATTTCTTCATGAAGTCTTTCCCACAATTCTTGTGGCTAGAAGACATCTCACCTTTCTGCACTTTCTGATCATCACCATGGTAATGAGAGGCCCTTCTCCTAACACAGTGCTCACACTTGCACAGTTTACATCTGCTGTCACCCTGCTGACACCTATTCTGGTCATTCTCTGACTCTCTCAGATACATTTTCTTCTGGCAATTCTGGGTGGTCTTCACAGGAAACTCTTGGTTTTTCATACTGTTGAAATTTTGAACTTCCCCTTGAAGCTTTATTACATATTTCTCATCTTCAGAAGCCTGAGTAGATTCCCCTGCCCACAACTGACAGAAGGAATCACCTTGTTTTGGCAAACCTGACTCCTTGCTTTGCAGATTTATTATCAAGTCTTGATTTCTGGTTAACTTCCTTAGAAGTTGTTCCCATATTTGCCAGCACACAAGGTCTCCATGTAAAAGGTTCTTTAATCCAACTTTTTGAAGAGTCTCTATCTCATTTTGGTTCCAGTGTCCTGGAAAGATAAGGAGAATTCAAAGATGAAAATGAGGACAAGCGAGAATCTGTTCAGAGATAAAAAATATTTCACAGGTCAACCACGGTGGGAAAACTTATTCAATCAGCCTGGCTTTTACCATAAGCTTTTTCATGCATATGGAAACAAAGAGGTGACAAGTAGGCTCCTATCCACTAAGTGTTACGGAGTCTCATTTAGAACCACACCAGGACTTATGTATGAGGTCAAAATTAGAAATACATGGCTACAGGGGTGACATTCTCAATAAAATGGTGAATGTTATTAAGTGGAAAAAACTGGAAAACTCATACCCATGACTAACACATCTTATGAGGGTAAAATATCCTATGATAATTGCTGCCACTTAATTTTGCTGAATGTTCTGATAAATGTGAATGGCTAATACCATCCTCCAGGTTTTGTACAATAGATATGTATTTGTACATATGAAACAATTCAATGGTAACCAGCATAGAGTATGGTCCCCAGTGATCCTGCCTGCTGATGTCCATATGCTATCAAATGTCTTTCCACAATATATCAAAATTGGTCTGTGAAACCAACAGAATATGGCAAAAGTGTCCTTGCAGGGTGGCTCAGCTGGTTGAAACATCTTCCCATACACCAAAAGGCTGTGGGTTCAATCCCCAGTCGGGGCGTGCACTGGAGGCAGTGGATCAATGTTTCTCTCTCTCTCTCCCTAAAATCAGTAAACATATCCTTGGGTGAGAATTAAAAATATATATGGCACAAGTGAGAGTACATCACTTCCAAGGTTACATCATAAAGGACATTGTGGTTTCTGCCTTCCACTCTCCTGGGTCCAATCAGCTGGAAGAAATCAGCTTCCATGACATGCTTTGAGGACACCCACGCAGCCCAAAGGAGAAGCCCACTGGAAAGGAATTGAGGACTTCTGCCAACACCCATGTGAATGAGTCCATTTTGGAAGCCAATACTTCAGTCCCATTAGACCTTCAAAGGCCTGAAGCTCTTGTGGACTCCTTGACAGCAACTTTATGAGATCCTGATCCACAATCACCCAGCTAAGCTGCTTCCAGATTCCTGACTCACAGAAGCATAAATAAATGCTTGTTGTAAGCTGCTAAGTTTAACAGTAGTTTGTTATACAGGTATAAATAGCTACTAAAAGTACCATAAAAATTATAGTTAGAGTAGACATTCATCAGAAGAGTAACAATGTTCTGAAATAACTCTTCAGTCACACTGGTTTTTTCCTCCACTTGTGAGCTGTCTCCAAGAGTAAAGACAGTGCGATCCACCTAGCACCATTCTCTATGAGTTTTTGTTTACAAGAATCCGCAAGGGAGAAGAAACCCTTTAGTTTGTGCATCTGTGCACTGTAATAAGGCCACAAGGATATTCATCACAGATGGAACAGGGCAACTAGACGGATAGACAAAAGGCAAAATCTGGGACAATTCTGATGTTGCAAAAAGAACTTTTAATAAGGGAGATGTGGGTAGAATACGCTATAAGATTTGTTCAGTTTTCTGAGAAATGCAAGCTACAGAAGTACATCCATTAGTCACAATTCATCAAACTGCGTGCTTAAGATACGTGTATGTAAATTACCTCAATAAAAAGAACTTAAATGTCATTTCACTCTGAAAATTCATGAAGGTATACTGCGTTTTCTGTATATATTCCAATAAAAAGTTGGCCCAAAATTAAAAAGTAAAAGATTTATGCAAGAAGGCAAAGCAGCCCTGACTGGGTAATTCATTAGCTAGAGTGTCCCAATATTCAATGTTGCAAGTTCAATCCTCGGTGAGGACATATACAAGAATCAACTAATGAATGTATAAGTAAGTAAACAATGAATGTATACAAATCAATGTCTATCTATCTCTCTTTCTCAAATCAACCAATAAATAAATAACAAAATTTCCTTCCTTTAAAAAAAAAAATTAAAATAAAGGTGCCCTGGCCAGGTGGCTCAGTTGGTTGGAGTGACATCCTGTAACTGAAAGGTTGTGGGTTTGATTCCCAGTCAGAGCACATACCTAGGTTGAGGGTTCAATCCTCGGATCCCGGCCCGGGTATGTACGGGAGGCAACCGATTGATGCTTCTCTCTCTCATTGATGTTCCTCTCTCTCCTTCCCTCTCTCTCTAAAAGCAATGAAAAAATGTCCTCAGGTGAGGACCAAAAAAAAAAAAAAAGGCAAAGCGCTTGGAAAGCTACCTGGTAAGAAAAAAAGAGATACCAGTTGTAACTGGGTTGGCAATTCCCAAGGCAAGTCTGTACAAAAAACAAGGGAGCGAATCAATTGGAGCTGGCATCCAACCTTTTTGACTGCACAGAACCTTCATGCAGCACAAAGACACAAAAACAGAAATGATAAAGGGACAGAGAAAACTTTCCCCCACTATTCACTACGAGCAGGGCCTCAACTAGATTTTCCTGGGGTTTTTGTCTGACTTAGTTTTTGATTTTTGGTACTTATGTATAATAGGAATGACTAATGACTGTATTTTAGGTTGGGTTTACCTAAGGGATATGCAAAGTAAAGATAAATGAAGGAAGAAGGAAGTGAATAAAGGGAGAATGAGGGAAAGAGAGGAGAGAGCAGGGTAGCAGGGAGGATGTCACCAGGTAAATGGATGGGGCAGAGTTCACAATAGCAACGCAGAGATGACAAGTTAGGACAAGCTGTGAGGGAGCCTTGTCCCTACCATTCAAATGGGACCACCCACCCATTCATTAACCCATTAATTAATTAACTCATTCATTAATGAGTTAGTGTTTAATGAATGTATATTATGCATTAAGTGTAATTAGAGGCACCTGGAGTACAGCAATAAAGAAAACAGATAAAATGCTTGCTCACCCGATATTATACTGTAATGGGGAGAGGGATCATAAACAAGTAAACAAAATATAACCCATTAGTATATGAACTAACAATTAAAGATGAGTCACAAAACAAGGCAGAGGAAGGGGCTGGGGTTTTTAAGCAGAGTGGTCAGAGCAGGCATCTGTGATGAGATGACCCTGGAGCAGACATGGGTGAGGCAGGAGCCAGGAGGCTGCACAGGGCAGAACATGGAAGAGCAAGGAAGAGGCCATGAGGCAGAGCCACAGTCAGCAGGTCTGACGCACAGAAAGCAGCCTCATATCACTGGAAAGCTACGGACACGGAATCCAGCCAGAGAGGGAATAGGTGGCCAGACGAGGCAGGGCCCTGAAGGCCACGGGAAAGAAGCTGAACTGCATGAGCAGGATGGGACGTCATGCAAGGGCGAACGGAGGAGGGGTGTGACCTGGCTGCTGCTGGAGAGCAGACCACAGGAAGGCGCAAGCAGAAGTAGGGGGCAGTGCGAAGCTGTTGAGAGTAAGCGAAGTAATGAAAGCTGGAGGCTTGGGCCAGGGTGGCCACGCTGGTGGCAGGGAGGACAGCACCTGGGCTGTGCCCTGGGGGGACTCAGGGCTGCCTAGTTCTCAACTAAACATCCACCTCCTTGGGTTTCTGTCACTGTCATCTGAAGCTTCTCCTCTCTCCCCAAGTGTAATATCCTATCCAATTTGAAGGACTGATATCCTGTGAAAAGTAAATGCTGGATACATTAAAGGCAAAAATTTGAATTCCATTACTATAATCCTCATGTGCTCTAAGGAATATTTCTCCAAATTCTGACCATGATCTGTTGTTATAAATGCAACAGGGGATCAAATGAGCATCCTCTCCTGATTTACTCACAATTTTAGCTGCAATGAATACAGTTCCAAGAAAGAACTTTACCCTTTTTTGTTCAATATAATAAAGATGTAACGTACCAACTGCTTTTAACACCCACCAAGATATCACAACTACAATTTGCAAAAAACAAGAAAGGTATAGAAAAGATATCACATAGGAATTAGGAAATATAGATCTCCAGGTCTGGGGACACATTTCAAGAGTACCAAAGTCTTAAACATTTGAAATCAGGATACTGCCGGGAACTTCTGGTCAAGATGGCATCATAGGTAAAAACACCTTGTCTCCTCATACAACCACATGAAAATTACAACTAAATCATAGAAAAACCATCACTCAGAACCATCAGAAATTGAGATGAATGGAAGCCAGACAACTACAGATTAAAGAAACCACATCCATTCAGACTGATAAGAGGGGCAGAGATACAGAAAGGGCTGGGCCTGCATCCACATGTGATGAATGAAAATTCAGGAGGGCTATCTTGGGAGTGAGGAGTCCCACATCAGAACCCCCAACCCAGGGTTCTAGTGCCAGGAAGATAAGTCCCCATAACTTCTGGCTGCAAAAACCAGCAGTGATTGAGTCAATGGAAGAAATTTCTGGAGCTCCAGGCAGTCCCTCTTAAAGAACCCACCCACGGCCTTCCTCAGACTCACTCCCTCTGAGCCTCCAGGGTGGTAGCCTGAAGGGTACCAATGGCACACTGTGAGACACTGAAGTGTCTGGCATCAAGGTGAGAGCTGGAGGAGAGCTTTCTCTCAGAGAGAAAGGCAGGCAGAGCCACAGAGCCAGCATGTGGGTACCATATCTGAGACACCATCAACCTGGCTAACACTGTTCTGCCCTGGGGATCCCAAGGCTCCGAGGCTCTGTCACATACAAAATACAGCTGTTAACAGCAGTATTTCCATATTAATGGCTGGTCTTGGTTCATGCTTCACAAATTCCTAACTCCTCTCAAACAAGCATCCACTAGCCTCAGTGAACCCCCAACCCCTGTACCTCTTGTTAAGTGGCCCCAGGCACAGCACTAGCACCATCCAGCCTAGACTCACAACTTTCCTTCGTCTGGGAATCTCCAAGCCCAGCATAAGTAGCAGCCATCTCAGATTGCTCTATAGCTCAGGCAGGGTGGGCTGAGGCAAGACACAACTGGGGGCTGACGAAGGCCTGCACCACCCAGGAAACCCCAGGGCCTGCCCACCCAGTGGACAGCTACAGACCACATGGGAGCACCAACACTCTGCCCCTGCACAGCCGATCCTCCACAGAGGGCGGACGTTTCTGGTTAGTGGTCACAGCCAATGTCTGCAACTGACTGGCCTGGGTTAAATCCCTCCCATTGGTCTGCCAACAGCAACCAAAGCTCAACTACAAGAGGAGTGTGTACTCAGCCCATTCAAAGGCACACCTCAAGTACCCATCTTAGGTGATAGGGGAGGCTGTGCCACTGAACCTTACAGGACACCTTGTACATTAGACCACTACACCAAGACAGGAAGTCATAGCAGCTCTACCTAATACATAGAAACAAAGACAGGGAGGCTGCCAAAATCAAGCAAAGAAATATGGCCCAAATGAAAGAACAGATCAAAACTCCAGAAAGGGACAACTGTAATAGCATAATCAATAAAATGTACTTAAAAAAAAAACAAACTCCAGAAAAAGAACTAAACAAAATGGAGATAGGCAATCTTACCAGATGCAGAGTTCAAAACACTGGTTATAAGGATGCTTGAGAAACTTAGCGAGGAACTCAACAGCATAAAAAAGATCCAGTCAGAAACAAAGGATACGCTAATTGAAATAAACAACAGTGTACAGGGACACAACAATAGAGTGGATGAAGATGACAATCAAATGAATAATTTGAAACATAAGGAAGCAAAAAACAACCAATCAGAACAAGAAGAAAAAGGAATCCAAAAAAACAAGGATGGTATAGGCAGCCTTTGGCACAACTTCAAGCAGTCCAACATTCGCATCATAGGGGTACCAGAAGGAGAAGAGAAAAAGCGAGAAATTGGAAATCTATTTGAAAAAATAATGGAAGAAAGCTTCCACCCTGGCTGGTGTGGTTCACTGGATTGAGCCAAACATGCACTTATGTTTCTCTCCCTCTCTTTCTTCCTCCTTTCCCTTTCTCTGAAAATAAATAAATAAAATCTTGAAAAAAAGAAGAAAGAAAGAAAACTTCCCTAATTTGGTGAAGGAAAATGGATATGCAAGTGCAGGGAGCACAGTCCCAAACAAGCTGGATGCAAAGAGGCCCACTCCAAGACATGTCATAATTAAAATGCCAAAGGTTAAAGATAAAGAGTGAATCTTAAAAGCAGCAAGGGAAAAGAAGTTAGTTACCTACAGGGGAATGCCCACAAGACTGTCAACTGGTTTCTCAAAACAAATTTTATAAGCTAGAAGGGATTGGCAAGAAATATTCAAATTCATGAAAAGCAAAAACCTATGGCAAGATTGCTCTACCCAGCAAAGCTACCATTGAGAATCAAAGGGCCAGAGCTTCCCAGACAAGGAAAAAACTAAAGGAGTTCATCACCATCAAACCGTTATTATATGAAATGTTAAAGGCGCTTATTTAAGAAAAAGATGAAAACTATGAACAATAAAATGGCAATAAATACATATCAACAATTGAATCTAAAAAACTAAGTAAAGAAGAAGAACAGAGATAGAATCATGGATAGAGTGTTTTGATGGTTGCAGGATGGGGGCAGGTAGGGTAGATGGATGAAGAGGTGAGGGGATTATTAAGTACAAATAGGCAGTTACAGAATAGCCATGGGGATATAAAGTACAGTATAGGAAATGGAGTAGCCAAAGAAATTATACACATGACCCATGAACATGAACAATGTTGTGGGGAATTTCCTCAGGGAACAGGGGATGCTGGGTGGAGGGGGGCAAAGAGAAAAAAACTGGGACAACTGTAATGGCATCATTAATACAATATAATTAAAAAAATAAAATAAATACTCCTGGGAGCTGACATTCAGTTAGAGAGGGCTCCTGTCCTCACCCACAGAGACCAGGTTCCTGAGATTCTCCAGGGTGACATCTCGGTACAGCTTCCTCTGGGACGGTTCCAGCAGCTCCAGCTCCTCCACGGTGAAGACCACAGCCACATCTTTGAATGTCACCACCTCCTACAACACCAAACACAGGCAACCTCAATCTTAACAGCAGCCTGCGCTGGGAGAAGGGCAGCACTGGTGGGCAGAGAGGATGGGTGGGAAGTTATTCTGGATTCTGAGGGCCTGGAGTCTCCCTTACACAGTTTCCTCCTATTCTCCATCCAGCATGTCAATTTCATACACTAATTTTCCAGAGTCCCATCAAAATATGTGCAATTAAAAAATAATTCCTGCTAATTTCACTTGGAGTCATTTGTGGGTATCCCTATGGTAAGCACCCTGGAACTGTTATTCTTGAGTAATGGGGGAAATACACATTTTGTAAGCTGAGTAATACTACCAAATTGTTCCAGAAATGTTAGGTCAATTTACTCCCAACAGGGTCTGATAGTTTTTATCTTTCCTCTCTCACTCACGTATTCATTGAGCCTGGGTACTGTCACTTTGTTAAAATGTGACAAACCAATAGGTCACCCTTCCTGAGGAGCTATGACATAGGCCCTTTGTGCTCTCAAGGCATATGCCACCTATCTGTGACACTATTTATGACAGCATTGAAAGTGTCAAGGTGTACAGATTTTCACGCCAGAATACTTCTGTTTAAATCCCAAAGCTACGTGCCCCTGTCAAGCTGCATGATCTTAGACCAAAAAACCCCTTCATCTATTTCCTCATCTGTGTGATGGAGCTCGTAACAGAAAATTCTTATACATACAAATGAAAGGTTATACATAAAGTTCCTATAACTGTACTGTCCAATTCAGTGGCCAGTAGTCACATGTGGCTATGTAAATATAAATTTTAAATTACGTAAAATTAAAAATTCTCTCCTGCAGTTGCAGTAGCACATTTCAAATGCTCATGAGCCACATGTGGCCTGTGGATACCATGTTAGCACAATATAGAATATTTCAATCATTGCAGAAGTTCTGCTGGACAGCGCTGCTTGAGAACCTATACACCTGGCACATAGGAGGTCCTCGATGAATATTAGCTTTTCTTAATATGATTGGCATGGTAAGAGCAGGATTACATTTTTATATTAATTTAGTCACTTCTGCTTTCTTTTAATGTTTGCATGATACATCTTTTTCCATCCTTTTATTTTCAGCCTACCTATACCATTATATTTAAAGGGAGTTTCTTAAAACATATTGTTGGGTCATATTATTTTTATCTTCATCCAAGGACACTTATCCATTGCTTTGAGAGAGAGAGAGAGGAAGGGGTAGGGGAGAAAGAGAAACATCAACGCAAGAGAGAAAACATCAATCGGTTGCCTCCTGTATGCACCTTGACTGGGGACTGAACTCACAACCTAGTTATGTGCCCTGACCACAAATCAAACCTGCAACCTTTCGGTGTAGGACAGTGCTTCAACCAAGCCACACAGGCCAGGGCAAGTTGGGTCACATTTTTAAAATTACAATTGTGATTCCAGTATTTTAATTGGCATATTTAGGCCATTTACATTTAATGATGAATTACCTGTATGCTAGGACTTAAGTCTGCCATTTTATTTTCTTCCATTTCTGTTTTCTCCTAGTTTCCTGTATGTTACTTGAACATTTTTAAAATTGCATTTTTTTGTCTATAGTGTCTTACAGTATACCTTTGTATAATTTTAGTGGTTGCTATTATTATGTTACTTACACATAACTTAAGTCTATTGTTGTTGATATGTTACCAGTTCAAATAAGGAGAAACCTTACTTCTCTTTAAGTTCCTTTACCCTACACCATTTTTGTCTTAAATGCAACTGATTAACATCTCTCTCACATATCAATGTTTCTCTTTCTCAACCTCTTCTCCTCTCTCTAAAAATATTTTAAAAATACATCAGAAAATGCTATTTTTGCTTCATTCCTTTAGCTATTCTTTTAGTGCAAGCCTGCAAGTGACAAATACACTTAGTTTCCTTCATCTATGAATGTCTTGATTTCCCCTTTATTCCCAAGGGATATTGTTCCTGGATACAGAATTCTGAGTTGAAAGTGCTTTCTTCCAGCACTTGAAAAATAGTCCACTTCTTTCTGATAAGAAAGTCAATGTTATTTGAATTGTTTTTTCCTCACTGTTAAGGTGTCATTTCTCTCTGACTGCTTTCTTGTTAGTTTCAGAAGTTTAACTATAACATGTCTCTGTAGGATTTCTTTAGCTTCACCCTACTCAGAATTCATTTAGTTTCATGAATCTGTAGATTTATGTATCTTCCAAGTTAGGCAAATTTTCCACCATGTTTCTTCAAAAGCTTCGTCAGCATCCCCTATTCCTCCTCTCCTCCTGGGACCAGATAACAGTAGCTCAGATACTTCAGTATAGCCGCACGGATCCCTGATGCCCTGATCATTTTTTTTTCCAGTCTATTTTTTCTACTTTATTCATATTAAATAATTTCTATTATTCTGTCTTCAAGTTCTTTCCTCTTTCCCTTCATTCTGCTGTTGAGTCCCTTCATTTAGTTTTCTAAATTTCATTTACTGTATTTTTCAGTTCTAAAATTTCCATTTGGTTCTACTTTATATGTTCGATTTCTGTTCCTAAGATTTTTTATTTTTCATTTGTTTCTTCCATCGTGTCTGTAATTTCCTGCTGAAATACTTTTATAATAGCTGCTTTAAAATCCTTGTCAGATGCCCTGCCTGGTGGGTCAGTTGGTTGGAGTGTCCTCCCACACACCAAAAGTCTATGGGTTCAATCCCCAGTTGGAGTGCATACAGGAGGCAACAGATCAATGTTTTTCTCTTTCCCTCTCCTCCTCCCTTCGTCCCTTTCTGTCTCTAAAATCAATAAAAACATAGCCTTAGGTGAGGATTAAAAAAATTTAAAAATGCCCTGGTTGTTGTGGCTCAGTGGGTTGAGTGATGGGGGCCTGTGAATCTAAAAGTCGCTGGTTTGATGCCCGGTCAGGGTGTGTGCCTGGGCTGCTGGCCGGGTCCCCACACAGGGGCGTGCAAGAGGCAACTGATGGATGCGTCTCTTGCATATCAATGTCTCTCGCTTTCTCTCTAAAAATATAAAATTTAAAATAAAATCATTGTCAGATGGAGAAACCTTGAAGACATTATGCTAAAGTGAAATAAGCCAGTAACAAAAAGGATTATGTATATAATTCCACTTATATGAGGTACCTAGAATAATCAAGTACATAGAGACAGAAAGTAAAAGGGTGGTTGACAGAGACTAGGGAGGGGGGAATAGAAGTTACTGTTCAATGGGTACAGAGTTTCAGCTTAGGAAGATGAAAAGAGTTCTGGAGGTGTGTTGTGGTAATAGTTCACACATTGTGAATATACTTAATGACACTTAATGGTACACTTTAGAAAGCAATTAAAATGGTAAATTTTGTTACGTATATTTTACAATATTAAAAAAAGTCCTTATCAGATAACTAGCACCCATGCCATCTCAGTTTCTGTCTGTTGACTGTCCTTCATACAAGTAGAGATTTTCCTGGTTCTTGTAGAGCAAGTGATTTTTCACTGAAACTTAGACATTTTGAAAATTATTTCATTTGTCAGAATTTGTATTCAAAATCTAAAAAGAACTACTAAACTTAATAGTAAGAACATAATTTAGGGATTGAACAAGAGAGTTGAACAATTCCAAAATAAGATATACAAATGGTCTAAAAGAAGAAAAGATGTTCAAAATCCTTAGGCATCAGGGCAATTGAAATGAAGACTGCACTGAGAAGAAAGAGAAGGAGAGAGAGAGAAAGGAAGGGATGGAGGGAGGGAGGAATGGGGGGAGAGAGAGAGAGAGAGAGAGAAAGTCAAGTTGATACACCACTATACTACTGTCATTAGGATGGCTAAAATTTAAGACGGAAAATATCTAATGTTGGAAAGGATGTGGATGGAGTCAACTAGAATTCTAGCATGCTGCTGGTGAGAATGTAAAAATATACAACCGCAGTAGAAAATGATTTGGCAATTTCTCAGAAAGCTAAGTATGTGACTTGGAGATTCTCCTCCTAGGTATTTATCAAAAAGATAAAGAAAACCCGTGTTCATCCAAAAATCTAGTGCACAAGTGCTCAAAGAAGTTTATTTACAAATAGTCAAAAACTAAGAACAGGTGAATGGATAACCAACTTGTGGTATACCAGTAGGACGAAATACTACACAGCAATGAAAAGAACTGTTGATATTATGGATGCGAGAGAGATCTGAGTCAGGAGGGCTCTCTCCCCTGCCTCAGTTCTGTATCACTCAGAAGAGAGTAATTCAAGCAAGAGACAAACACATACAGTGGAAATGAGACAGCAAATTTATTTATGAAATACATAAAAGCATGGAGCTGGAAGCAGGCATCTGGCAAGTCTAAATGCCCCATTTATAGAGGAAAAAAAGTTGTAAGTAAGTTTGTTCTATATACTTGAGCTGAGGCTACAAGTGGATACTTAGCTAATCTAAGTACGCCACCTATTGGGGTTCAGGGGTTATATATCTTAGCCGACTTCTAGGTTCCCCTCCTCATTCCCCCTGGGAATAATGTACAGCTACAAAGGCTTTCTTTCTCAGTTAGAAAAGGTTCTTTGTCTTAGTGAAATTGTTACAGAGGCCCCTTTCCCAGTATAGCCTCCTCTTCCTTCTCTGTAATCCCTGCTTGTGGTGTTCAGAACACCCAGTGACCCTATTAAGATTGCTACAGGAGCCCCTTTACTCAGCACAGACTCAAGGGCTCCCCGCTCTTCCTGCACTACTTTGCCTGCAATGCTTGGGGCAAATTTCTTTTTCTTTTCGACTATTTCAAAAAGAAAAAGAAAGAAAGAAAAGAAAACCTGTGTTCATCCAAAAATGTAGTACACAAGTGCTCAAGAAAGTTTATTTACAATAGCCAAAAACTAAGAACGGGTGAAGAGATAACCAAATTGTAGTTATCGATCTCATCAAGCTGAGCGCAGGACTCCTGAGTCAATTGGTGAGACAGGCATTCCTTTTGCTTGCAGAAGCCTCCTGTACTCAGTTCTCGGTTAGACTGTAATGGTGAGGGCCCTGCCTCTACTTCCCTTCAGGCACTCATTCCTAGCGGCTCCCTAACACCGACACGTGCGCAAAACCATGATGATGAACAAATGGAGCCAGACTCAAAAAGAGTATATACGGTATAATTCTGTTTATATGAACTCAAGAGAGGATTAGTTTAATCTATAGTGACAAAAAGTTAAGCCAGTTGCTGCCTGCAGCCGGGGGTGTGGGAAGGGCACAGCGGAACCTTGTTGGGGGGTGGAAATGGTCCACATCTACTGATGGCAGTGGCCACATGGGCATGTGTATCTGTTAAAACTGATTGACAGGGTTTATTTTATGTAAGTTATACATAAATTACAACTAAGATAATTTAAACCGTAATGAAGAAATCACAGAAATAAAAAGAATTACAGTATATAACTAACAAAGGACTTGAACTCAGAATATGGAAAGAACTCCTTCATTAACAATAAAAAGTCGAAGTCCATTTTTAAAATGGGCAAATGGCTTCAACAAACGTTTCATAAAGGATATACAGATGGTGAAAACGCACATGAAAAATATTCAACATCATTTCTCATGAGGGAAATACAAATTATAGTCACAGATGTCATTTCATCAGAACGGATGAAATAAAAAAGACCCACATCAAACACTGGCAAAGATGCGGAGCAACTGAAATTCTCAGATGCTGTGGAGGGCTGTAAAACAGTACCACCCCTTTGGACAACTGTTTACATTTATCTACCCTGCAAGCTGAGTCATTTCACTTCTAGATGTGCACCCAAGAGATACGAAAACATGTGTTCACAAGAACACCTGCACAAGAATGCTCACAGGACCTTTATGCATAATAACCAAAAGCTGCAAAATGACCCAAATGTCCTTCAAAAGAAGAATTTCACTTATCCTTCCAAAAGATAGCTGTTGTATATTCACAAAATGGAATACAACTCAACAATAAAAAGGAATAATGTATTGAAACACACAACACAGATTGATCTTGAAACATGCTGAGAGAAGACAGGTACATGATTACATACTGTACAAATTCACTACTTATAATTTGAAAACAGGTCAACTAATCATGTGATGACAGATCAGAACAGCAGATGCCTCTGAGGAATTGGAAACTTGGGACCTGAGAGACACAGGAGAGACCTTTGCGGGGGGGAGGGGGTAATATAAATGTTCCACTTCTGGTTTTGGGTGATGGGTTAAAGTAATTAATTATTCAACTTTCGAAACCAGGTATACCACCAACACTGACCTGACACTTAAGATCTGTTGTTTTTGTAAGTAAATTATATTTCATTTTTAAAATCCTGTGCAAAAGTTTTATGGTTCAAAACAAAATTTATTCACACAGTGGTGTATATGCTTGTTTGTAGCTCCTGAAACTTACAGAAAAAGTAGAAGCCCTTCTGCGACAATGTATGGTATTGGAAACATGGGCCCTCTCCCAAGCTTCAAGACCCCCCTCCGACCCTGGGGAATACAGTGAAGGTCATCTGTAAGACCCTGAGAGCCTGACCAGCTCCTTGGTCAAGAAACTATTTTTGGATGTGAACCCAGCCTATAAACAACTGCAGAGAAAACTAGCACTTTGACTGCACACAGCTTGCATGTAAGCACCCTGCATGCTATTTGCTCTGTCTTCTGTACTCTGAATATCCCAGCACTGGGAAAGCTTGGGTTGAGGTAACTTCACCTGCCCACCACCCAGGTTGTGCACTTCAAGTCCTAATAAACCCATGTCTTTCCCAGCCCATCCTCTGGGTTACTTCTTTGGAATCGGCAAGCAATTTGCATCACAGACAAGTACATAAAAGAACGATGAATCACCAAAAAACTCAAGTGATAACATTAAGTGAAAAAAAAAAAAAGATTGAAAAGCATACATGTACTGTGGTTGTAATTACATAAAATATAGCACGGGGAAAACAGATAACTTAGCAGTGCAGTAAAGTGGCTCTTAAAACTTTTCTGATACCTAAGGAATTTCTTCACTAGTATTTGTGAAATGAAGATGATAAAGTAAAACCAAAAGTAAAAACAAAAGCGAAAGACAAAAACAAAAATAGAACCAATACAAAGGCTAGTAACAGGCACCTAAGAAATCCCTGTTTTTTATCCTCATGGAAGTGAAAAAAGATGTGTCTAACCTTTCAGAAGAGATTTTAAGAGATAAAAAATAAAAAAAATTATTGGGACAACTGTGATCGAATAAACAATAAAAAGAGAGATGAAAATCAAACTCAACTCACCTGGAACTTGGTCATTTTCTCCTGCTTCTCCTGAGCAAGTGCAAGAGTCCTGGGAAGACAGAAGGAGCAAAGGAAAGAGAAGCCATGAGGCAGGCCCTGGCACACATGCCTTCTCTGTGTGAATTTTACGAAGTGACCCCTCCTGTCCGGGTCAGTGTGGCTCATTGGTTGGGCGTCGTCCTGCAAACCAAACCAATAGGTTGCACGTTGGCTCCCCAGTCAGGGCTTATGCCTGGGTTGCAGGTCAGGACTCCCCGAGCCGATCGATGTTTCTCTCCCTCTCTTTCTCCCTCCTTTCCCCTCTGTAAAAATAAATGAATGAAATCTTAAAAAAGAAAAGAACCACACACCACCAAGCAGCTGGAGGCCCACCCGTCTGGTGACATTACTACTAACTCCACTCTAGACAGGAGAAACAGCGAAATTAAATAACTCTGCAAAGATTGTATCACTAGAGGACGGCAATCCAAGGACACCCGAGCACCGACAAACGCTCCAACGTAGAACCGCGACCCCTGCCCGCCCCCAACTCCAAGCGCGAAGCAAACGCAAACCTGCTCTCCGCCGCTTCTCCTCCCCGAGAGCGAGTCCGCACCCGCAGGTCCCAGGCCAGCTGGGGGTTCCGCTCTCAATCACTTTCTAGAAGACACTGAGGGCTCGCGCGCCTCGCTCTCCTGCAGGGAAGCGCGGGGACTTTACACCACTCCGAGCTTAGAACTCCCGACCGGAACCGGGGCTGCGGCTCCTCCCTCCGCGAGCGGAAGTGGCTCTGACAACCCGGCGCATCTGGACTACGCTTCCCAGAGTCGTCGACAAAGTAGCGCTTACTTTAGATGGACAGTTAAAAAAAAAAAAAATACATGACGGTTCAGCTCGGTCTGTTAGCACGTGACGTCCCTTCTCCCCTTTTCTTTCCTTCTTTTTTTAATTTCTAAAAATCACGCAGCGTGATTGAAAAGTAAATGTGGCTGTACAGGACAAAAAGACCAACAGCATCTCAAAGTCATTTTGATGTTGCTTTCTTTAGTCTACTTGTAGCTGGATTCATCTACATCTATGATAGTTTATCTTGTGTGAGTTATGCATTCCGAAATGGGGAAGTCACACAAAAAGAAAAAGGAACCGTTCATCAACCCACAAAACAAATACCAAGTTTCTCATTTTTGTTTTGGCTTTAAATGCTTATTTTTGAAATTAGTTTTCTGGCAAATGAAAGAAGATGCACTGTCAAGGAAGTGAAGGAAATACTGTAACTTAGAAAAGCGTAGAATATATGTTGAAAATGTTTCTGTAGTTCACTTTTGAACGCATCATCATTTACATCTATCCTACTCTTGACATCATAAATAAGATGTTTTGTTTTTCTACGAGGTAGTTGAAATGAGCCACGATTATTCAAAAGTAGGTGTGGAAGTAGGGGATGCTGGTCAAGGAACTGTAACAAATTCAACAATTTTTAAAAAACTATTTATTTTGAGAGAGAGAGAAAGGGAGGGAGAAAGAAACATCGATGTGTGAGAGAAACATCAACCAGTAGGCCTGGCTGGCAACCCAAGCACATGCCCCAACCTGAGGCTGAACAACTTTTTGGTCTGCAGGCACCATCCAACCCACTGAGCTATAGCAGTCAATTTTTTCAGCTTTATTGAGGTATAATTGACAAATAAAATTATAATATACTTAAAGTGTATGTGATGAATTGAAATATGTATAGTAAGTACATTGTGAAAGGATCCTCACAATGTAATTATCTAACACATACATCATCTCACTTTGCTAACTGTTTTTTATGGTGAGAAACAACGATCTACTCCCTCATCAAATTTCAACTATAGTCACTCTGCTATACAGTAGATCCTCAGACCTTACTTAATTGTCTTATAATTGCAGGTTTGTATCCTTCAACCAATCTCTTTCCATTTTCCCCATTCCCCCACCTCCCAGGCAACCACCATCATTCTGTTTCTATGAGTTTGACATTTTTCCTTAGACTCCACATATAATTTTACCATGGAGTATTGGTCTTTGTCTGGCTTATTTCACTTAACAAAATGCCTTCCAGTTTCATTCACATTGTCGCAAATATTTCTCCATATTTTCTGTAAGCCAACAAGAAGTTCAATTTTATTAATTTTTTAAGAAAGAATACTCTATTGATTCTGGTGGTATGTCCTGGAAGCTTCCAATACACCATACAAGAAGACAGGATAAGACATCCTCTACAAAATACCAAGACTCATTGCAAAGTTATGGTAACTAAAGCCCTGTGGTATTGGTAAAAGTATTGAAAAATAAGCCAACCAAAGGGAATTGAGAGGCAATACATACCTCTAATTATGTATAGATTACTGATTTTCTTTTAAAATGGTACTGCAAAGTAGTGGGGAATGAAGAAAAATTTCAGTAACTGGTATAGGAACAACTAGATACTCATATAGAAAATAATTAAATTCTTCCAGAGGCAATGTACACCTTGAAGATTCCAAAAATCGATTTTAATCCTGTCACTTATGAAAAAATAAATTTAAAAAAACAGAAAAGAGGAAGGAAGGAAGGAGACAGAGAGGGAGCAGCAGAGAGAGAGAACGAGAGAGAGATGGATCAGTTAGAAAAAGGATATTCTCATCCTGGCCAGTTTCTCAATCAGGGCATACACTTAGGTTGCAGGTTCTTCGCAGGTGGGGCCATAGGACAGGCAACCAATTGCTGTTTCTCTCTCACATTGGTGTTACTCTCCCACTCTCCCTCCCTACCCCTATCTATCAATAAACATGTCCTCAGGTGAGGATAAAGAAAAAGAGAGAATGTAAATTTTCTTTTATCTGTTCAGAAATTTCAAGGAAAAGAACTGGAGTGACAATGGAGGTGGTTTTTCCCTGGACTTCTATGCTTTTGTAACTATAGTCACATTACAATTTTATCTGGATCGATGCAAGACACTGGGCTCCAGCCAGAGTGCGGGACGACTTGAAGCAGAGCCAGCCCAAGGACAGCCAGGACAAGCAGTGGTGGTGACTTGGAGGATGGAGGTGGAGGAGCCACCAGAGGAACCGTGGCAACATCTGCCCCATCTCCCAGGCTGAGTAAATTGTAGGAGAGAACGGTCAGTCAACCATCTTTTATATGAAACAATAGGCCTGAGAGCTTTCCTTACTGCCGTGGACCTATGTTTTCATCTCAAAGTCTTTTATAATTTCCTTGTGATTTTCTTTATTGCCCTATTGGCTTTTAAGGGTTTTAATTCCACGTATTTGTGAATTATTGATTCACATAAAAGGTACGGGTACTTGGGTACAGGCATGTCTGAATACATTGGAAAAACATTCCTGAATACTGAGACATAAGTCTTTGTGTCTTCTTAGAGAAGATACCTGTCCAAACCAGCCACTGCTCCTCTGTACTGAACTTGGCAACAAAAGGCAGTCACAGAAAGATTATAAAGGCAGTGAATTTCTTTCATACAAATCTGTACAGGTGTTTGGTTATTTCTTAAATTGGAGGCAAGTCAAAAACTTACACAAAGATAGTTGTACAATCTTTGATGTATGTTTCTCATATCTTATTGATTCCAGTTTCATTCCATTATGTTCAGAGAATATTTTGTATACTTCATATGGTTTCTCCGTATACTTCATATATTTTGTATACTTTGTGTGATTTCTTTTTAAATTTATTAAGACCTGACTTGTGGCCTAATAAATGGTCTATACTGTTCAATATTTCCAGATCCACTTGAGGAAAAATATGCATTTCGGGGTGATTTTAAACCACCCCCAAAGATTTAAAGTGCTAAACCTTTAAGTCTTAAGGTTTTAGAAGTGCTAAATTGAGGTAACACTCACCTGTATCATCGAGTATTGTTTATCTCAGTAGCAAGGGCACTTGAGAAACAAGTCTGCTTAGACCAGGAGATGATGGCAAACTTGCTATAAAGGGCCAGACAGTAAATGCCTTAGGCTTGCAGTCCACATAAAGTCTCTATAGCATATTACTTGCTTTTTTCTTACAATTCTTTAAAACTGTGAAATCTTAGTTCTCAGTCCATAGAAAAAAAGAAAGAATACAATCCAGATTTGGCCAGCGGGCTATAGTTTGCTGATCTCTGGCTTAGAATTTTATAATACGTATATAGTAATAATGACATCTATGTTGAAAAGAATAGCTATCTCTGTACAGCTCTTACCACATACCAGGCATATAGTTTTAATCCTCAAAACAGAACTGAGAGATAGTGTTATCATCCACACTGAACACACAAGCAAATTGAGGAACAGAGAGGTTAAGCATCTTGGCTGTGGTTACTCAACTAGCAAATGGCTGACCTGAACAAGAAAGTCTAATTCCAGAGTCTGCTTCTTAGTCAGTACATTGCAATGCTTTGTAACCAATCTTCTAGTTTGGTCTCTTTAACATTAGTTTCTCCTAAAATGCTTTAGGTCTCTCAAAGCATGGAGGGATGCAGTCGATGGTCTGAGAGCTTTGTCACACTCCCTCTAACAGTATAGAGGGAGAATGAGAGGTTAATAGTTGATGGTGTAATCCAGGGCTGATCACTGGCATTAGATGTACCCACAGGCCAGGACTCCTCCCCCAGCCTACACTTCCAACCTGCCCTGGAAGGAACCATTCCTTCACATTAGTTGTACTGGTGTCTGCAAGGAATGATTAACTACAAGGTTCTTATCTGGATAGGCCCATCTTTGGGTTTTTCTATCAGATACTTTTCTTTTTGGCCCTAGTAGAATATTTTATTTGGCTTAAAGGGTCAATGCCCTGAAAATGGGGAAAAGCTAATTTGGGGAAATCATGCCATTCAAAAACCAGGTCTGTCATTAGTTGTCCAATTCTCTCCTTCCTTGTACAACGGGACCACCAAGTTCTAGCTGGGTGCATGTCCACATTCCCTAGTAAATGTGTGCATTAGATTGGGAGTCAAATTTCTAATCCCTGGGAAATAAATATGCAATATGGAATAGGGGAAGGCTAGGAAAAACACAGTTAAGAATTGGTGGTAAAAGTATAAACTCATGATTCATTCTTTTTGCCTATCTACCTACCCACCATCTCCATATCCCAAGTGGTAAAAAAATAAAAATAAATAAAAATCACACACACACACCCCCCACTATGAGAACCAGGGCTCCCAAAGAAATAGCAAATTCCACAGCTGGGGCAAAGTAGAAGATGCATCTGTAGATGCAAAGTAGAAAGTTCATCATATTGTGCCAGAGTTAGAACATTCTTTAATTTGTGAAAAAAAAAGAATGTTGAAGGTAGTAAATCACCCTTTTTGCAAACAGTAGCAATAATCCTTTAAGCCAGGCTTAGCAATGGATACTAAAACTAGTGAAGGAAAGTCTGTTAAGAAACAAACTATTTTCTGGTTTCCGAGAACCAGAAAACATCTCCCAACAAATTACTAATTACAAATGGAAAATGTGGTAACCTCACAATGGAAAAACCCAGCTCACGCCTACCTTAGTCAAGTTAGTCAAGTTAACTTAACCTATAATTGGACAAACATATCATGCATATTTCCTTATGTGATGTACCAAGGATACATCACTTATGGAATACTTGTGCCAAAAAAGAAAAAAAAAAAGCCGAATTTAAACCCAACATGAGAAAACATCAGACGAATCCAAATTTAAGAGACCCTCAGCCCTGGCTGGGTAGTTGAGTTGATTACAGTGTTGTACACATAAGCCAAGGTTGTGGGTTCAATCCTGGGCCAGGGCACATTACAAGAATCAACCAATGAATGCTTGAAAAAGTGGAACAAACTGATGTTTCTCTCTCTTGCTTTCCCCCTCTAAAATCAATAAACATATCCTTGGGTGAGGAATAAAAATTTTTTTTAATTAAAAACCATAAAAATTTAAAAAATTAAAAAAGAAACACTGAAAACTGTCAAGGTCATGAAAGACAACAAATGAGGTAGTGATGCAGTTTAAAGGCATCTACATGCAATGTATAATCCTTGGCTGGATTCTAAAACAGAAAAAATGTGATAAATACATTATTGGGACAATTGATAAAATTTGAGTAAGGTCTATAGTAGGTTAAAGGTTATGTATCAATATTAAATTTTCCTGAATATTAAACTTGTATTGCAGCTGTGTAAGTAAGTATCCTGGTTCTTAAAACACACACATTTAAGTGTTAACCTGGCTGGTGTGGCTCAGTGGACTGAGCACTGACCTGCAAACCAAAGGGTCACCCATTCGATTCCCAGTCAGGGCACAGGTCTGGGTTGCGGGCCAGGTCCCCAGTGGGGGGCTCATGAGAGGCAACCACATGCTGATGTTTCTCTCCCTCTTTCTCCCTCCCTTCTGTCTAAATATAAAGAAAGAAAAGAATGTCACTGACATACTCATGGGTATTTAAAAGATGTGTATGTACATGGAAGTATCAATATATGTACACATTCACTTACATAAAGAGAATGACTCAAACACATTAACACACTGGTTATTCTGAGTAAAGAGTATATGAGAGCTTTTATATAATTTTTTAACAATTTTTTGGGAAGTTTTAAATTATTTCAAAACAGTAAGTTTAAATAAATGTGGGATTTGAGGACTGGGTGAAAAGGTGAAGGAATTAAGAAGTATACATTGGCATTATAAAATGGTCACAGAGATGTAAAATGCAGCATAGGAAATACAGTCAATAATATTGTAATAACTATGTATGGTATCAGATAGATACATTTATTGGGGGATAACTTCATAAATTATATAAATGTCTAATGACTATACTGTAGACCTGAAACATAATATTGAATATCAACTGTAACTGAAAATAAATTTTTTTAAATATGATCAACTAGATTAAGAGTCAAAAAACTAAAGCCTGTGGATCAAGTGTAGTCTGCTACCTGGTATAGCATGGCCCATGAACTAAAAATGGTGTCTACATCTTTAAAGGGTTGGGAAAAAAACAAAAAGAATATTTCATGACAACCGACAAATATATAATAAATTCAAATTAGTGTCCATAATAAAGTTTCATTAGAACACAAAAAATGCAAAGTCCCCTCATTTAGAAGTAACTAGAATGCCTACCTAGTTCACCTATACCTTTTTTTAAAAAAGTGGGATCACATATAAACCCCATGTTTTGTTTTCCAGTTAATATATTCTGGACATCTTTCAACATCCGTAACTACAAATTTACCTTCTCCCATTTGATGTTTGCAAAGTATTTTGGCAATCCAGCTGATTATTTCTGTTTTGCTTTTGTGACCATTGATTCAATTCATGTTCTTTTTTTTTTTTTAAGATTTTATTTACTTTTAGAGAGAGGAGAAGGGAGGGAGAGTGGGAAGAGAAACATCGATTGGTTGCCTCTCATATGCCCACAACTGGGGACCTGGTCCACAACCCAGGCATTTGCCCTGTTTTGGAATTGAACTGGCGACCTTTCGGTTGGCAGGCTGGCACTCAATCCACTGAGCCACGCCAGCCAGGGCCACATCTCCTTTCATATACATCTGCAGCAGACAAAAATTTACTTCTGAAGAACAAAGATTCACCTCTGGGGATATATTCCTTAATTTTAATCCAATATACCACATGAAATAAGGCAATCATATTATGAGTTCTTGGGTAGAGGAAATTTTTAGTTACTTTATTTCATTCATTTAATTTTTCACAGCTTTTCAGCTTTAGTAAAAATAATGGTCACTGCAAATACATATAAAATGGAAGTTAATGGGGGAAAAATCCAAAACCTTCCCTAACCCTCCCCCCCACAAACTAGCTAGTATATGGCAAATATCCTTTTTACACATTCTCTTTTGGAATATACTATGAAAAATCATTTATATCAGTTGGATCCTACCAAGAGGATTACACCCTATTTCTTCCCTGAATACAAGTCCTACTCTTGTTACTCTGATTCCAGTCATCATTTTCATGGAAGTGTTAGGATATTCCTTAAGAAACCCCTTTCTACTCTCAATACTTCATAGTGTTTATCACTAGCATGGGCTCTCCAAGAACTAGATGTACAACTTGAATGAAGCCATTAACACATTTCTCATTCTTAAAGATCCTTACCAGTGTGGATTTTCTGATGGCATGTAAGACGAGAACGGTGACTGAAGTCCTTACCACATACGTTACATTTGTATGGTTTTTCTCCGGTGTGAACTCTCTGATGGGCCTGAAGACGTGAACTCTGACTGAAGCCCTTCCCACACTCCTCACATTTAAATAGTTTTTCCCTAATGTGAACGCTCAGATGGACTCTAAGATTTGAGGGCAGACTAAAGGCCTTACCACACTCCTCACACTTATGGGGTTTCTCTCCTGTATGGACCCTCTGATGATGGCGAAGATTCAAGCTCCTACCAAAGCCTTTCCCACATTCCTCACATTTGTAAGGTTTTTCTCCAGTGTGGCCCCTCTGATGGTATATAAACTGTGAACTGTACCTAAAGCCCTTTCCACAGACATCACATTTGTATGGCTTCTCCCCAGTGTGGACTCTCCGATGGGACTGAAGACCAGAGGACTGACTAAAGCCCTTACCACATACACCACATCTGTATGGTTTCTCTCCAGTGTGGACTCTCTGATGAACCCGGAAGTCTATGGCCTGACTGAAGCTCTTATCACACTCCTCACATTTATAGGGTTTCTCTCCTGAGTGGACTCTCTGATGAGCATGAAGATTTGATCTCCAACTGAAGCCCTTTCCACACTCCTCACATTTGTATGGTTTTTCTCCAGTGTGGATTACTTGGTGCAGTTTAAGATTGGAACTGTAACTGAAGTCCTTACCACATACATCACATTTGTAGGGCTTATCTCCAGTGTGGACTCTCTGGTGGGTCTGAAGCTTTGAAGACTGACTGAAGCCCTTCCCACATGTTTCACATGTGAATCGTTTCTCCCCAGTGTGGACGTTCTGATGAACTTGAAGGTTTGAAGCCTGACTGAAGCCCTTCCCACACTCCTTACATTTGTAGGGTTTCTCTCCTGTGTGAACTCGGAAATGGATGTGAAGATCTGTGTTACGAGTAAAGCCTTTCCCACATGCCTCACATTTGTATGGTTTCTCTCCAGTGTGAACCCTCCGATGGCATATTAATGGTGAATTGTGACTGAAGCCCTTACCACAGACATCACATTTATAAGGTTTCTCCCCAGTGTGGACCCTCTGATGGATGTGATAATGGGCAGCCTGAGTGAAGCCCTTCCCACACTCCTCACATTTATAGGGTTTCTCACCCCTGTGGACCCTCTGATGAACACGAAGATTTACACTCCAACCAAAGCCCTTACCACACTCTTCACATTTGTAAGGCTTTTCTTCAGTGTGTACTCTTTGATGGCACTGAAAGTTTGAACTCTGACTGAAGCATTTACCACACTCCTCACATTTGTAAGGTTTCTCTCCAGTGTGAGTTCTGTAATGAATGGTAAGACCTGTGCTGCTACTGAATCCCTTGCCACAGCTGTTGCACCTGTGGGACTTCTCTCCTGCATGATCAGGCTGAGAATGGAAAGAGCTCTCACGAAAACAATCTTCGGAGTCATGATACTGAGCGAGTTCCTCTTCTGGGTGGTTCCTCTGATGAGTCTGCAGAGGGGAGTTCTGACTGGAGCACTTCCTTCCTGGGCAGACATTCTGCTGACTTGAAAGCACTGAGCTATAACGGAAGCCTTTTCCACGCTCACTACATGGATGGAGTTCCTCTCTGCAGGGTAAATGCTGAGTGAGGCCAGCGCTCATGCTTTTCCCACAGACATTAGGTTTGTGGGGTTTCTGTTTCATGTCAACTTTAATACGATCACTAAGAGGTGATTTCTTCATGAAGGCTTCACAGACATGCAGGTTATTTTTCACATGAATTTGCTCACCTCTGCTCTGATTCTGTGACTTACTCAGGTACGTATTCGCACGAGAACTCTCGAAATTGAAGACCTCTTGATTTTCAGCATAACAGGAGCTATCTCCTTTATAATTCACTACATCGTTCTCACTTTCAGAAACCCGATCAGAATCGCCTTGTATGAACCAGGAATTCTTCCTCTGAAGACACCTGGTTAAATCATTTGCGACCTGTTTCCAGATTTGCCAACAGGATAGCTCTTCGTGTGAAAGGTACTTTAATGCAACTTTTTGAAGAGGCTCCACCTCATTTTGATTCTTGCTGCCTATAAGAAACAGCAATATTCAGAGATGAGGACAAGTGAATGCTTTGTTCAGAAATGTCAGGATTTCACACTTAGAATAAGGCCTTAATAAACCCAGGGAAGGATCATTTATCCTTTTTTTTTTTTTTTGCGTTTCCATGCACATAGAAGCAAAGAATAGAGTGATCAGGCTCTTAACCACTAAGGGTTCAGAACAGTAAGTCTAATATTTAACACGAGAGCTGAAGCCTGAAATGAGATGGCTGCGGGGCAACAAGGACAATCCCCATTCCTCCTTGTCCACGCTATTCTCATGACCAGTGAGATTCTACCTTATTAGGTTACAACAGCTCAGGCTGTAAGTGTAAAATAGAATTTAAGTCCTGGTCGGAATTCTCTTCCAAGGGTGAATTTAGAAAATGGCTGAAATATTATTCATTATTCTAAACCTGGAAAAGGCAATCAGGTCTCTGTAAAAAGAAGCAGAAAAGGGAAAATCATCTTACAGAACTGAGGAAGAACTTGGGAGAAGAAACAGCACAGTGCAATCTCTCAAAGGCAACCCTGAAGAGGGAGGGAGGGAAGAGGTCTATTCTGCTTGAACAGCTCTCTCTCTGAGTTGTTCCTTGCTTTTTCTCACTCCCTTCAGGTCTCTACTCAAATGCCACTCAATTGGATAAGGTCTTCCTTATCACCCAATATAATTCCTCCCCACCCGCATACACCTTTGATTCTTCCCATTTGTCTTTCCTGCTTTATTTTGCCTCACAGCACTTATCTGATTTATTACATACTTCCTAATTTTTTCTTGTCTTCTTAGACCCACTCAAATGTAAGTTACATGGAAAACATGCAGTTTTCTTTACTGCTTTGTCCTCAAGGCAACAGAATTTTTCAGATTTCTGGAACATATGAGTGAACTCTGAAACCAGTTCCATAACTGTGACAAATATTTTAAAAAAGAAATAAAAACATGAGAAGTGTATCACAAGCAGAAACAGTAAACCTATATGAAATGCATGTTTCAGCTATAGACATACATGTAACTTTATACCTACCTATTTATTCTGAGTCAAGATATAAAATATTTCTCATTGAGGGTCATAACTAAGTCCTTAAAGATCAATTTACTTAAATGGAAAGTCAGAGTCTAATAACACAAGCTGAAAAGATCTCAACAGGTATATACACAGTTCTGGCTATGGATAGGCTAACTGGCCCTCAAAAATATCCACACCCTAATCCCTAGAACCTGGGGACATGTTAATATCTTAGCAAAAAGCTTTGATTAAATTAAGGCTCTTGCAATGGAGAGGTTATCCTGAATTATCTGAAGAGGCCAAAAAAGTAATCACAAGTGTCCTGAGATCCTGGCGGGAGGGAACTCTCCCAGACTGTACCCTATGCATTGATCCCTTTTGCAGGTTCTGATGTGTGTCCTTTTTGCTATAACAAAACTGTAAGTACAGCAGTTTTTCTGAGTTTGGTCATTCTAGTGAATTGTCACAGATTTGTAGCCAGCTACTCACAAATGAGGGTGGCCCTGGAAGTGCCCGCTGGTATCTGAAGTCTCGTGGAGGACAGTGCCCTTAGCCTCACTCCAAGTAAAAGGCTTCTCACATCACCCGTGATCAGCCATTACGCTCCTATTTGGACTGGTAAATTTATTTTAAATCTAATCATTTTCTTTCCTAATCAGGATTCTCCACAGGTATGTCAGTGCCTTTTGACTTCTGAAATAACCACTTTGAAACTATAAACAACTACCACAGATAGGTTAGATGATTGTTTAAATATGAGAGAGGGGAAGGTGATTAGGTGGGCAGTTGGCTGTATGTGTGAGGCAGTTTTCCTCATAAGTAGCCAACTTGAAATTGTTGAGTGAACTCTGACATTGATGAACTGTAATGCCCAGCATATCAGCACTGATAATTTTGATAGTTTAGTTATACACTCTGATAACTGTGAACAGCTTTTATCTTCTAAGGCAGCAACTTTCAACAAATCTCATGATACACGTAATCACTTTAAAATTATTTGGCACACCAAAAAATGTTATTTCTTTGCCAATCTGACAAAAAAATACAAGTATAATTTTGATTCATTCACACCAGATGGCTATTGTGTTGGATGTTGTCATTTTTTTGTCTGACAACCTAAGGGAAAACAGGTCAGTGCCCCTGACTAAATAGTAAGGTATTGCATGTTTTAACAATTCTTGCAGAACACTGGTTGAAAATCACTGCTGTAAGGTTAACAACTATGAATCTTTACATCTTTAAAATGTCTAAGAAATTAGAATTATGTTAGATATTCACTTGGAAGAAATGTTCCAAAATAATCCATTCATCACATTAGTGTGCTCTAAACCTAGAGGGTATTTTGGAATAGTACAATATTTGCACATGGAGCATGGCTGCAAAATCCTAAAACATGTTGATATCAAAGATGTCGAAAAAATCTTTGAGAAAAAGTGACAAAATGCTAAAAGATTTGTTAAAAGAGAGACTTGGTCTATTATGCAAAACTAAAAAGAGACAATACATAGGATCATCATTCCTAAGGTTCAGTTCCTATATGAAAATGAGACCCGGTAAAGTGGAGTATCTGTCATTCCTGAGTGCATGAAACATGAGGCGACATGTAGGCATAAAAGGGGAAATGGACAAAAGGAGGCGCGTGGTGGCTGTCAATTGCTTGCAGCACTCAGGGCCCAAGCTATCGTGTTTGCAGACAAGCCTCTCCGTTTCGTTTTTCAACCCAGGACGAGTATATAAATTTATATTTCCTAGGAATTTTTAAATTTCAGCAGAACTGACAAATATGCAAATTAAAGAAAAAGGAATGAAGGGAAGAGAAAGGAAAGGATGTCAAAAAGTGAAGTGAAAAGTGAAAAAGTGAGAGGGCTGGTGGAAAAGTAAAGGGCTCGCAGGGGACATGGATGAGGCCTCCTTCACAGACCGGAAGCTGAAGCTGTGAGGACAGCTTCCTCACTTCTCCCAAAAAGAATGGAAATTCTTTAAATAATTCATTCATTTGACAACTAGGTACTGAACACCTACTATGCAGAAGGCCCACCGGAGGCTTTCAGTAGACACAGTAAATAAAACGCCCCAATTCCTACTTTCATGGGGAGATAGATGATGAACAAGTAAATAAAAATATGCTTCTAGCCCTGGCTGGTGTGGCTCAATGGATTGCACTCCAGCCTGTGAACCAAAAGGTCACCAGTTCAATTCTCAGTGAGGGCACATGCGTGGGTTGTGAGCCAGGTCCCCAGCTGGAGGTGTGCAAGAGACAATCAATCAGTGTTTCTCCCCTTCTCTCCCTCCCTTCCCCTCTCTAAAAACACATAAATAAAATCTGAAAAAAAAAACCAACAACAAAAAACCCAACACAACACTCTTAGGTCAGGAGGGAAACAGCTTAGACACAAAATAAGGCAGGGCAAGAGGATGAAGAGTAGAGAGATGCTATCTTAAATAGGGCATCAGATGGCCTATCTGATGAGACGAAATCTGAGCAAAGCCCTGAGTAAAGAAGTGGCTGAGAGCCTTTGTATTGAGGCAGAAGAAAGCTAGGCAAAGCCCAGGAAACGGAAGTGGATACTCGAAGGGGGCCAGGATGGTGGGGGCCGTCTAAGCCAGCAGGAAAAGAGAGGCGATCAAATAGGACCTTGGAGAGGAGGCCAGATCAGGGAGGGTCTGGTGTCCTCTGTAAGGACTCAGAGTGAGATGGGAAGTCTTCACAGGGTTCTGAGCAAAGGAATGGCGTGTCCTTACTGGCTTTCCATAGAATTGCTCTGTGGGGACTAGATGGTGGGGGCGCAAGAGAACAAAGCATCAAGGCCGGTATGGAAGCGCATTTCACAGCCCAGGCCGGAGGTGCCAGCCCTGGGATAAGAATGGTAATCAGGGACGAGGCGAACAGTAGACTCGCTAGAACCGGAAAAAAGCCACGTGGCTCTCACCAGAAGTCCCGTTTCTTTGGGTTTCTCTTTCCATCATCCAGAGGTTTTCTTCTGCCTCCAACTGGGTTGCCATACCTGGTTGGAAGAAAAGATGTCCTATGAAAAGGCAGGTATATATATATATATATATATATATGAGATGTGCACAGAACTAAAATATATTTGTTCAAATTCTATACTCCTCGGAACCCGAAAAGTGGTATTTTAAGATCTTTTTGATCATGAACTGTAATGAGAAATAAATTTAGGTCGTGACCTAGTTCACATCTGTATTTAGGTAAAATGAGACTTGGCCAACGCCTGTTTGCATCGCATCTCCCACACTCTCACACCTCTCACTGCAAACGGTCGCAATTTGGGCTGCAGTGTGAGCAGGAAGGGCTTGATAAGGAACGCCGATAGGATAAAATAGAATACGGACAGAAACTATTTTATGGAAAAAAGGTACGCCAGTACAGGGGTGGGGGGCAAAAGCAGGCTTGTAGCTGTTCATATGGAAAGAGACATGCAGGCTATGATTATTACAGCAGCTTTTTTAGCTCAAAAGAATGTCACTCACAACTTAGCAACCTACCTTTGTCCACCCCTCTGCAAGGTACTAAATTGATTCCATGACCCATCAAATGGGTCACAAACATAATTTGAGAGACAAAGTATAGAAGCTGAGCTGCTCATTTATAATTCATTTAAAACAGGGTTCCTCAACCATGCACTGCTAACATTTTAGACCGTTGCAAGGACTGTCCTGTGCACTGAAGAATGTTTAGCGGCACTGCTAGCCCTACCTGCTGATAGAACCCCTCCCCCAGTTGTGACCATCAAAACTGCCTCCAGACATTGACAGATGTCCTTTGGCAGGAGGTGGCAAAATCACCCTTGGGCAGAATTTTCCCTGAGAGAAAGACCAGCAAACCTTTGTCTATAGTCCCAGGGGTTACAAAAAGTGTCTTCAAGGTCAGGGAACTATTTCCAACACTTAGTTTGCTACCAACAAAAGGTACCAACATTTAGAACAGCTGAGGACAGAGAGATTCTCAAAGGGGTTGAGGTTCAGTGCCAGAGGATGCCTGTCCTCACCCACTGAGACCAGGTTCCGGAAGTTCTCCAGCATCACGTCTCGGTACAGCTTCCTCTGGACGGAGTCCAGCAGCCTCAGCTCCTCCTCGGTGAAGACCACAGCCACGTCCTTGAACGTCACCACCTCCTATAACACAAAACACATGTAACTCCAATCTTGCCACAAAGGTCCACTGGAAGAAGAGTAGCATCAAGAAGTTAAAGAGGATTACTAAAAAAAGACTGTCACATTCTGGCAGGTGTGAAGTAATACCTCACTGTAGTTTTAGTTTTGCATTTCTCTGATGATTAATGACATTGAGCATGTTTTCATATATCTCTTGGCTACCTGTACATCCTCTGGAGAAGTGTCTATTCAGGTCCTCTGCCAATTTTTTAATTAAATTGTTTGTCTTCCTGGTGTTGGGTTGTATAAGTTCTTTTTTTCCTTTCTTTAAGATTTTATTTATTTATTTATTTTAGAGAGAAGGGAAGGGAGGAAGAAAGAGAGGGCAAAAAAAATCCATCAGTTGCCTCTCGCACACCCTATCTGGGGACCTGGCCCACAACCCAGGCATGTGCCAACTGGGAATCTAACCAGCAGCCTTTCAGATTGCAGGCCAGCGCTCAATCCACTGAGCCACACCAGCCGGGGCAAGTTGTGTAAGTTCTTTATGTATTTTGGAGGTTAATCCCTTATCAGATGTATCATTCGAAAATATGTTTTCCAAGAGTGAGTTCCCTTTTCATTTTGTTGATCGTTTCTTTTGCTGTGCAGAAGCTTTTTAGTTTTATGTAGTCCCATTTGTCACACCTGCCAGAATGGACACCATTAATAAATCAACAAACAACAAGTGCTGGCGAGGATGTGGAGAAAAGGGAACCCTCATGCACTGTTGCAGGAATGCAGACTGGTGCAGCCACTGTGGAAAACAGTGCGGTGTTTCCTCAAAAAATTAAAAATGGAACTGCCTTTTGAGCCAGTGATCCCACTTCTGGGAATACATCCTAAGAATCCCAACATATATGTACCTCTATGTTCATAATAGCCAAGATCTGGAAAAAGCCCAAGTGCCCATCAGTAGATGAGTGGATAAAAAAGCTGTGATACATTTACACAATGGAATACTACACAGCTGTAAAAAAAAAAAAAAAAAAAAGACAGGGGCGGGGGACAGAACTCCTACATTTGCGACAGCATGGATAGACCTGGCAATTATTACGCTAAATGAAAGAAACCAGTCAGAGAAAGATAAATACCGTATGATCTCACTTATATGTGGAATTTAATGAACAAAATAAACCAATGAACAAAACAGAAACAGAGGCATGGATACATGAAACAGACTGACAGATTTCAGAGGGGAGGAAGTTGGAAGGACTGGAAAAGATGAAGATATTAGCCAAAGAACATATATGCGTAACTCCTAGATATAGAGAACAGTGTGGTTAAGGCAGGGGGGCCTTCAAGAAGGGAGGCTGGGTGGAGGTGAGCAAAGTGGGGGAACATCTGTACTAGTGTCAACAATTAGAGAAATGTTAAAAAAAATTGTTCCAGGGGTAGAGGGACTTTTAATCCCAACAGTTGTCCCTCTCTCATTATCTCTTCCCTGCCTCCCCACAAAGCTTGGGCTCTCTCACTGTTCTTTACATTTGCAAAGTTCACAGGCCTTCAGAACCCTCCAGGGCTGTCTATAGCTCTTCCTCTGCTTCTTCAAGGCACGTGCCATATCCACCCACTGTGGCGTTCACACCTGGTGAAGGCACAGGCTGAGTCCAAATGACAAGGTTTTTATGTCGGGCAAATTCCCTAACCTCTAACAATCTCTGCTTCCTCTTCCCTACAGTGGTGTCTGAATTGCAAGGTGTTTGAAAGGATTGGATGAGTGAATATATGTAAAGTGGTTTAAATGGTGCCTGGCACATAACAAATGCTCAATAAATTTCAACAATTGGTATCATTATAATCTCTTTCATTACATTTTGTGACTTCACAGTATTCCTAAGAACTGATGATTTATCTTTAATCAATACAAATATATACTTAATTATGGATTTTTACTTATAATCAATGCTTCAAAAATCTTTTTACAGAGATCTTAGCTAAGAAGTAGCCACTGCAAAGTCATAGAATATGAACTTAAAAAATTTGAAAGCAGAATGGCAGATTTCCCTCTCAAAAGGTTTTCCCAATTCACCTTTCATGTGAGAGTACAAATATCCCCTGACTCGCCAGACTCTGGCCAAACAGGACATGACGCCTTTTAAAAAAAAAATCTTCAACAACCGAAATGATATAGAGTTTTTATTAACATTTGCACACAGTTATTCATGATCATTATTTTCTTCATAAATTTACTTTCTTTTTTGTGACACGCCTATTCACTTTTTTTTACTCATATTCCCTTGGAGTTTTTCTTTATCTTACTAATCTTAGTAAGAATTGTTGTTATTAGCCCTGGCTGGTGTGGCTCAGTGGATTGAGCACCAGCCTACCAACCAAAGGGTCACCGGTTCGATTCCCAGTGTAGGGCCCATGCCTGGGTTGCAGGCCAGATCCCCAGCAGGGGGCGTGCAAGATGCAGTCACACATTGATGTTTCTCTTCCTATCTCCCTCCCTCCTTCTCTCTAAAAATAAATAAATAAAATCTTTAAAAAATATAAAAATTTAAAAAATTGTTGATATTAAACATTTCTCTAATACATATTCCTTCAGTTCTGCTATTGCAAATGTATAATTGTGAATGCATGTGAGAAAGGGATATGGGAAAGTGAAAACAGCTACTTTGTAAACAGAGTAGTAATACTGGAAATTATTTTTATCTATTTCAGATTTCTATTTTTTTCCCCAAAGATTGTTTTGTGAAATAATAAAGAAGATAAAATAAAACACACACATAGTCTGGCACACCACACGCACTCTGGTCTGCTGTTTTCCATTAAATTTTCTGAGGAAGAAAAAAAACGATGTGCCTAATCTTTGAGAAATAAAATCACATCTTAGGAGACAGAAAGGGATGGCTTATTTACCTGAAACTTGACCGTTTTCTCCAGCTGCTCCTTCTGGGGAAGGTCAGAGTCCTGAGAAGGCATAGCTGGGGGAGGACAAAGAAGCCATGAGACCCAAGCCGGAGCTGCCGCGAGCCCCTGTGGACCTTTGCAGAAATTACACAGGAGCACTCCTACTTCCAGGCACATGCAGCCACATACAGCTTGATAAGCAGAGCATGGAAGAGATGACCGCTACTAACGGGTTTGTCAGCCAAGGACAACCTGTGCGACCAAACACACGTCTCCTACTATAAGGATTTCTGATCCTGGGGTTAGTAAAAGAAGTGCTGTAACAACTCAAGGGTTAAAAAAAAAAAAAGTGGGCTCTGGAATCAGGGGCCTAGGTTTAAATCCTGGAAATGACATTTGCCATCTGTGTAACAGCAGGGGTGTTAACAAAAGCAAAACCTCTCTGCCCCTCACTTCGGTCATCTGTACAATGATAGGGTAAGACTCGTAAATCATACCCACCTCATACAGGTGTTCTAAGGACTAAATAAGCCGAAGGAAAGTTCTAAGAACCAGGAACGCTTTTTTCTTGTAGCTACAGAAAAAAAGCTGATATCACTTTGCATCACAAACAGTAGAGATGCTCTTTGACTTATGTTGCAGATATTTTCCTAATAAACCCACTGTCTACTTGGAAATATCATACGTCAAATATGCAGTTAGCATACCTAATGTACTGAACATCATAGCTTACTTAGCCTAGCTGATCTTAAGTGTTCCCAGAACAGTTACATTAGCCTACAGCTGGGCAATTATCTTGAGTTTCACCTCAAGAATAATTGCCGCCTTCTCTTTCCTCTGACCAAAACCAGGAGACACAGATGCACATTTTATAGACATGTCAGGATGTGAAAACAAGAAACACAATGTCCAAAAAGTGGTGGCAACGCAGCTGACTGGGAGTTTTATCTTGTTCCTGCTGCCCAGCATCATAATGGTAGCCTAGGAAAAGATACTGAATGCATATCGTTTTTGTACGATTGTGAAGTCGAAAAACCCTAAGTAGAACCATTATAAGTTGAGGACCGCCTATTTTTGCAAATGTCCTTTCCAACAGAAACAACTAAAAAGACCTGGAAGGTCTGGACTTCATTTATTATTGCTCTCCTATGAAAGTCACCTTTAATCTTCAAAAGCTCTAATTCTTACTTAAAATGTTGTCTTTCCTAACAATTTGTTGCCCAGCTAGTAACATTTTACTGATGACTGGTATTTGTTTTCTAAAAAGTGTCATTTTGGGTCCATTTACTTCATGAAGCCAGAAAAGGCTTATTGGTAAAAAGCCTTCTATCCTTTATGCATGGAGATGAAGAAAAACACATAGCAAAGAGAAAGATACAAAAGAAAATTCAAGAAACATGGAAGACAGAATGAGAGGTCCTAACCTTTGTCTAATAGGAGTGTGAGAAGACAATGGAAAGAAATGACAAAGGTCTTATTTCAAGAGATAATTTGCAGAGCTCATAAATAAAAATTCTAAATAGCATAAATAAAAGTAAATATACTCCTAAACAATTATAGTGAAACTCAGGAATGCAAAGGACTAAATAAACAAATAAGCCTAAAAACAACAACAAGAGTCCTTAAAGCTCCCACAGCAAAAATACAGTTTACCTAATAGAAATGACAATTGGACTGAACTAGGGAAACAGAATGAAGATCTAAGACAACTGAATAATGTGTCCAAAATGTAGAAAATAACTGTCGACCTTAAATTCTATGCTCAACTAAATGATTATTTACATGAGGGACAATGATATTTTAGCCGAACATAAATGAAGAAAATTTCTGACAAAATGAACTCTGAAAAATGCAATGGTAAGCAAACATTTGTAAGTATGTTTGGTGATATCTTTTTAGGAAATATCCAAGAACAATTAGACAAATTTAAAGGTGGTTATAATTAAAAAATATATCTACGACCTTTATAATCTAGCTTAAAGTTTAAAAAGGTGGTAGTGGGTAGGCATTATCAAGTTTTAAGTACACTTTCATCTCTATATTTTTCAGAACAAAAATACGTGTTAATTAAATTCGGTGTTTGTTGAAAGAGATAATCATTTTTAAAAATTAAGAAAAAAAAAATAGTGCCCCGGCCACGTAGTTCAGTTGGTTGCTCATCGTCCCAGTGCGCCAAGGTTGGAGATTCGATCCCTCGTCAAGACACATACAAGAATCAACCAAATGAGTGCATGAATGGGTGGAACAAAAATCAACATTTCTCTCACCCCCTCTCTCTCTAAAAATCAATAATCAATAAATAAAATAAAAAAAAACCCAACTAAGCCCATATAATTTCAAAACCAACTGAGCCCTGATTGGTGTGGCTCAGTGGATTGAACGCCGGCCCTCAAACCAAAGGGTCGCAGGTTGGATCGCGGTTCAGGGCAAGTGCTGGGTTGAGGGCCGGGTCCCCAGATGGGGGCGCGCGAGAAGCAACCAATAGATGTTTCTCTCCCTCTCTTTCTCCCTACCTTCCTCTCTCTCTTGAAAATAAATAAATAAAACCTTAAAAAAAATAAAACAGTTGAGGGCAAATAAAGGGAAATAAACTGAAGAGCAAAAAAATGTAAAGATAAAAAATTTTACATATATATTTAAAATGTGTATGTGGTAGCAATACACACATACATATTAAGAAGCAAATGAAGCATTCTCAGGTTTATTCAACAAATATTTTAACATTTTCCTAGTTGTAATTTACTCAGCGAAGGAAACCTGCTTAACTGAGAACAGAGGTGCCAGACCAGGAAGTCCCTGAGTCTGTACCTGGCGCTATGCTGTGAGGGGCCACGAAGTCCCTCCTTCCTGCCCGAGCCGAATTCAGGGGCTGTGAAGAAAAGGATGCTGCGGAACAGTGCGATTACGTCCGTCTCCCGAACAAGCTGCAGAGGACGTCCCCAGGCACCAGCATGGGGTGACTCAGACCTTCCTTAAAAAGAGATGAAAACTTAGTCAAGTTCGGGAAGAGCTCAAGTCCGGGAGGATGACAGCAAGGCTAGGACTCGCTCCTGCAGCGCCGACCACCTCTCCCTCTGCACTGGGGAGAACATTAACTGTAGCTGTTATCAAGTGCCACCAACGTCCTAAGCTTTGGACATGTATAGTCTCGTATAATTCTGATCACACCCCTCCGCAGTAGTTGCTGTCTTTCCCGATATTTAAAAAAGGAAAGTAGAGCGCAGAGACAATGAACAACTCGCCATATATTGTACCGATGGACGTAGCAGTGCTGCTTGGTACGCGGGGAAGCAGGGCTTCCGCCCTCCGCTTCTGAGCCTCCGCCGGCGGCCGCGACTCCTCCATCCCAAGGCAGCCGCCTAGGCAGCGACTAGCCCCACGCTCAAGGCGACAAGGCTCGGAGGGGTCTTGGGGGTCCAGGACTGACTCATCTCCCGGACCGAAAGCATGATCGTAGCCTCCGTTTTGCGGGGCGGAAGTGCCTCGGCTTACAGGGCGCTCCGGAACTACGCTTCCCAAAGGTCCCTTGTTTCCGGACAGAGTTGAGTAATATGTTTCCCAGAACCCCAAGAGGAGGAAAACTCAAGCTACTCTGTTAGAACTATTAAAAAAAAAAAAAAGAAAAGAAAAAAAAAATCACCAAACTCTCGGAGTTCCCAGCCTACAACTTCCATAAATCCCTTTAATGGCTTCCTGCCATTTTGCTGGTCTCAAGCAGTTCTCTGATGCCAGTAGAGTTTAGCTTTTTCTCATTGACAAATAAAGCGATAGCAGCCTTTGGCCCCGTTGTTCAGTTGGTTAGAGCTTTGTCCGAATACGTCAAGGTTGTGGGTCCCATCCCTGGTCAGGGCAAATGCAAGAATCAACCAAGGAGTGCATTAGTAAGTGGAACGACAAATCAGTGTTCCTCTCTCGCTCCATAAAAATAAAGAAAAACATAATAGTAAATATTTGAAGAGTCAGTCTTGTAAGAAACAGATCACATGATGCTTTACTGGTAGAATTATACTCACTACCACCAGAAAAAGGAAAAAAATGACAGCCTCTATTTTGCTGTTTTAAACACATTTTAGATATAAAAAGAATGAAAGACAAAAAAATGCGATGGAGGCAGAATACATTATACATTTCCCACTTTTGTTAATAGCACAGTCAAATAATTCAGAACAACCTGACTGTTGAGGACAACTAAACATATTCTTAGGTGAAAAGGCAAGCTTCATCACAGACTTGTATGATCAACTTTTCCAAGCAATAAGGGCCATTAATTCTGATCACACCCCTCCGCAGTAGTTTCTGTCTCTCCCGCTATTTTAAAGAGGCAAGTAGAGCGCAGAGATAATGAACAACTCGCCATATATTGTACCGATGGACGTAGCAGTGCTGCTTGGTAAGCGGGGAAGCAGGGCTTCCGCCCTCTGCCTCTCAGCATCCGCCGGCGGTAATTTACAAATTTGAAAGATGAACGCATTTGAAAGATTATTGTTAACTAGATGTTTAAGCATGGTGACTGTACAGAGTATTATTATATCCATCACAATATATATTTGCATTTCTCATTTACTGAACGTGCATTCCTTATTCTGTTATACACAACTATCTCCTATGAAGCACATAGTGTGTACCAGCGACTCTTCCAAGCTCTTTAGGCACTTCACCTAAAAAACTGTTGGGCTTTTTTTTTAGGTAAATATTTTTGTTTTCTCTGTTTCACAATCAGGAGCGAAAGGCAGAGAGAGGTGAAGTAATTTGCTGGTGTAACAAAGTCAGTGCTAGAGTCAGGTTTCAAAATCTGGCATTTGATGACCAGAGTCTGAGTGCTAATCACTACATCTCATTTAATCAACATAAAAAGAATGTTTAATTTCACTCATTTTTTCCTTCCTGGTGACAGAAAAATATATCCTAACATGGAAACTCAATTATTTTCACCTACATGTATATCCAGTCCCTTAAGGGAAGATATGAATGTTTTAGTAAGTCACACAAACAGAAATCTCCCATATGCTGGTTCTCTCTTCAAAGTCACTTTCTACTTTACATGTCCAGCTGTAGTGAATCACTTGTACTCCGACAAAAAGCCTCCTGCATCTGCTGTTCCTTTTGTCATATCTTGCTGCTCTATTCACTTCCAGGTCATAGTCTTCACCCATAGCTTAAATACTACATGCTCCAGTGAGACTCCTTGTGGGTTTTTGCCTCTCAGACTAATAACAACAATGTGTGATAACCATGACCACACACATGGGACCAGGTTGCTGAGATTAAAGTACTAATTCTACCATTTATTCTGTGAAATCTCTCCGTTTTTTCTTCATTTGTGAAATGATGATAACTGGGTTGATAAAAGGAACAAATGAGCAGATACACACTAAAGCACTGGAAACTCTGCTTAACACACGAACACCCTATAAAAGTTACCATATATCCTCAGGTGATAAACACAGCACACGTAAATTAGGGATGGTTTTTTTCTAAATAAGTTTGCTTAAGATCATCAAGATATTATCAATAATTGTATTCAAATTTGAATGCTATGAAAAATCTGATTCTGCATCCCACAGAAAGTGTGATAAAGGATTGCCAAAGTCTATATTATTCCCTTTTATTGTTTCCTAAATCCATTTTAGGAATTCTGAATAAATTCTAACTGAGCTGCAGTTCCCTGTTTCAAGTTATTAGCACCGCTAGCTCAATCTCTGAAGAATTTCTCTATCTCCCACTGGGTGCTAAGCACACTGTAAAGAATGGGCAACCTAAGGAAGAAACAGATCACAAACCAAAATCTAGAAGACTGTGCCAAGTCAAATTCCAAGTAAAGAAACTAAATCATAATTATTCCTCTCCAAATCAATGTTTGTGTGTTCCTTAGCTTTCTCATGTAATTACCATTCTTGTCGTTGTCACGAAAGAAAATCCTGAAATTAACATTTGCTTTCTCTATATAATCACTTATGTTAACACTTTTTAAATTCTACCCACTCCATGACTGGGATTTGATTTTGATTTAAAATATTACAGCTCCTGACTTGGCAGGATGGCTCAGTTGGTTGGAGCATCGTCCTGTAACTGAAAGGTTGTAGGTTTGATTTCTCATCAGGGAACGTATGTAGGTTGTGGGTTCCGTGTGCACAATCCCTGGTCTGGTCACATACAGGAGGCAATCAATTGATGCTTCTCTCTAGCATTAATGTTTCTCTCTCCCTTCCTCTCTCTCTCAAAAGCAATGAAAAAATATCCTCAGGTGAGGAATAAAAATATATATATATATATAGATATATTTATATCAACATCTTTGCCCCCATCCCGTCAAAAAGTATTTTGTGTGAGAAGGGGAATTGATGCAAGAAGATGACAAAATGTTGGCAAGGGCTGCACATGACTGATGGCTGAAGGTGCAGGTTTCACTGCACTATTTTCACTATGATATGTTTGTGCATTTCCATAATAAAGCATTAAGAAATACCGTGCATAATATAGCACCAATGTACAAATCCATTGAAAATGTTAACAGTGGTTATCTCAAGTTCTTCAGATTATGAGTGACTTTTGCTCTTTCCTTTTTGTTTATTTACTTATTTTTATTGATTTTATAGAGACAGTAGAAGGAAACAACAGAGAAAAAAATCAATTTGTTGTTCCACTTATTTATGCATTCATTGGTTGATTCTTGTATGTGCCCTGACCAGAGATCAAATCCGCAACCTTGGGATATGGGGACGATGCTCTAACCAACTGAGCTACCTGGCTAGCGCAGTCTTTCCTTCTTGAACTTCTGTATTTCCTAATCTCTCAATAATGGGCATGCATTCCTTTTATAATGAAAATATAAACTATAAAGCCCTAAACCACCTTCTAAACCTGATAGAAAAAGACTTCCTCAAGCCATATACACAAATATTTTCTATGACTTAAAAAATGTACAGTATAGAAATTAAAAACAGACTTGAGGTTCCAAAGCCTTGGGTTTAAATGGCAGTTCTGTCTCTTCCTGGCTGTACATCTTGAGCAAACAACATAAACTCACCAAGAATAAACGAAAAAAATTTTCCTTGTCTAAAAAATCCGTTTTCCTTCTCCTTTTCTTCATAGAGCATTTCCAAAAGAAATGCTTTTGGATGCTCTCTCAAATCTTTTGATATATGTGTAAATCTTGTTAGAGGCTAAGTACACCTCTTCCCCAATTCACAACCCAGAGGTGTTTTTCGAAGGTCCCTTTGGTAACATCTGAGAAAAATAACAATCAGTGGCCCTATCACTGTGGGTGTGTAGCCAAGGTGCCTTTCTCTGAGCTTGCAGGGAGGTAAAATTCTATTAATCCTTCGAATAAAGTCAATTCAGTAAGACTTGATTCCCAAATAAATTTAAGATGAATTTGTCAAAGGATTTGCAGCAAATGGTGCAGTCCTCTAACAGGAAGATAAGAGTTTGTTAATCATGAAAATGTATTTTAACTTATTGGTTAAAAGTAGAATGGTATAAAAGGTTTGTAACTAATTGACCATATAAATAGGGAGAAGTTTTTTTCTTTGTAATCCTTTTCCAAAAAATACCTACAATACTGTACTCTGGATATTCTTATTCAGTAACAAGGCAGCTTCCTTTTCTACATTGTGTAGAGAGGAGTTTCTGTGTTGGTAGGGTGTTTTATTTTTCTAATACTGCCTCCATTTCTGCGTCTGTTAAAAATAAACACTAATAAAGCCCTGGCCAAGTAGCTCACTTGGTTAGAGGGTGGCGTCCATGTGCTAAGGTTGTGGGTTCCATCCCCCCTCAGAGCACATACAATAATCAACTACTGACCCTAGCCAGGTGGCTTCAGTTGGTTGGAGCATCCGCCATACACCAAAAGGTACACAGAAATGTCGCAGGTCTGATTCCCGGTCCCGCACATATGGAAGACAACCGATTAATGTTTCTCCCGTTCTTGCCCTTCCTCTATCTAAACATATCCTTGTGTGAATATTAAAAATAAAAAGAATCAACTAATGAACGCATAAATAATTGAACAAAAAAATCAATGTTTCTCTCTCTCCCTTTTTCTGTTACTCTAAAAATCAATAAATAGAAACTTTAAAAATCCTTAAGAGCAGCACCTACTTCAAAAAGCTGTTTCAGACATTTAATGAAATAACTTGTAGAAAATTGTAAGGGACTACTACCGATGACACTACTTTGGAGAAGAGAAAAAAATGAAGCCAAGAGAGATTAACTCGCATAACGTTACTCTGGGAAGTGGCAGAACCAGTTGGTAGGTAAAGGAAGCCCGATGGGGAGCGCGAGGACACCTTCAAAACAGGCGACAACTCTGGCCGCCCCCAAGCCCAGGAGCACGGACCGTTCCAAACTAGCTGCTGCGCAGTGGACCGGGGCTTCTTTTTTTCTCCCTTTAGTACGAGGGCCCGTCTCCCCCTGGCTCCCCGCTTAAGCTTGGGCAGACCCAGTCTTGAAGGGGTCCCTGGGGTCCTAGACTCATCTATTGGAGGAGAAGTGGACAGCAGCCTAACGCTCCCATAGCTAAAGTGACTCCTTCCAACTAGAGGGAGCCCTGAACCACCTCCCAGAATTCCCTAGCACTGCCGGTCAGAAGCGGAAGTGCTGGTAGCTACGCAGCCTCAGACTACACTTCCCAGAATGCCCGACAGAAACGTGGCCAAAACTTCAGCCCCTGGAGCGGAAATACATCCAAGTACTTAGAGTTTCTGGGTAGTTATCCCTAGAGTGCCCGAGCGGATCTCAACCAAGTTGTGACATTTTAGGGTGGTAGTATCTGCTCTGTTATCATCTACCGATTCTGTAATTTGGAGCTGAATAACCACTTTCAGGGGCCTCAGAAGGAGTCCTGGTAAAACCCCAAACAGCTGCCCCATAGGCGTAAAAACAAAATGGATTGTCTTGGTAGAGGATAAAGCCAAACTCTAAATCCCTCGCTATTTTAGCCCTGGCCAGGCTCACTTGGATTGAATGGTTGGGTTCTCATCCCATACACCAAACGGCTTGTGGGTTGGATTCCTCGTCAGGGCACATACCTGGGTTGACAGTTGCATCCCAGATGGGGCAACCAATTGATCTTTTTCTTTCTCTCTTCCTCCTCTTCCTCCTCCTTTCTCTCTCTCTAAAATGAATAAACACATATCCTCGGGTGAGGATTTTTTAAAAACTCTTCGTACCTGAAACTGGATTACAGTGAATCATTTTTGTTAGTATCTTCAAGCACCAATCAGGAACAAATGAAAATCCTCTCTAGAGAAAAACCTGTCTTCCTGGGCTTCAAATTATTCCTATGAATTAAAAATATATTAATAGTAGATGAAGTATTCCTTGAAATAAGCATTAAAAGAAATAAAGACATTCATCATGATTACTTTAAAATTATCAAGTACATCACAAAATATAAAGCAAACTTTTAAAAGCAAAATGGGAGAAAAATATTCACAATCAGAAAGAAAATTTTAATACATACTTAGAACGAAATATAGAACTTTAAATGTATATCCTAAAACAGAATTTGAGCCACTTGCTCATGCTACTTACTTACAACTTAGGTTTGAGATGAATCTCATATGTATCACTTACAGTTGATAATGAAGTGCTGTGGATATGCCCACACTTATGATGTGATTGCAAGGTAACTTTCTGGGCCATGGCCAAACCTGATAAAGTCAGAAGCTGCTTTCTCAGGACTAATGCCATCCACAGAGAATGACAAATGTTGCTCCAAAATTCTAAATAGCAATGTTGCAAGCTTCATGCAGAACCCCTATCTGTTACAGACAATTCATACATGATCAGATATGTATCAGAGGCCATAAAATTACTTCTGCAAAGTGCCAGACCATAAGATCTGTTACAACTACTCAACTCTCACTTTGCATGACAATAATGGTTATGGCTATGTGTCAATAAAATTTTATTTACAAATATAAGTGGTGGCCAGATTTGACTCATTGACAGTAGCTTGTCAAGCCCTGGACTAAGTTGTGAAAGAAGACTGGAAGGTTGATGTAGCCCTGAGCTGGGACCACAGAAGTGTACTGATGGTCCTAGCAGATGAAACTAAACTTTGGATGATATTTACTAGTAACTATAAAGAAAAAAAGCACATGTTGGCACAGTGGCTACTTACCAGGTATCAGCAGATGTGTTGATTTGCCTCAGCAATAAAACCACATAGGGAGCTGCAACTGGATTCGGTCCCTACTTAACTTTACGATAGTCCCATGCCATTATCTAAGATTCACCTATCAAGTCAGAGAACATGTATAAAGTACCCATGGACAAAGCCAAAGTGGGGAAGGATTGAGGGTAGAAGGTGGGGATGGGTGGGGCAGGGGAAAGTGGTGTTGGGAAAATAGAGACAAATGTATTTGAACAATAAAAAGAAGAAAAAACAAAAATATGATTCACCTGTCTTCTGTACAGGTCAAAAGAGTGCATAGGATGGGATGTGATCAAAATCATGACCCCTGCAACTTTCAAGACACTGATAATGGCATTAGTCTGTATAATCCATCCAAGAATGTGGTATTACTTTTGATTTTCTATTTTGGTACATATGAGACAGTTCTAGCGTTTACTAGTCCTTTCTTACTGAATAGCCATTGTTCCATCGGTCAGGGAACCAACGGAAGGATTCTTCCAGTTATTTCTATTACAGCTCTGCGTTCTGGAACTTGGGAAATAACCATATGATGGGTTCAGGGATTTGTTCAGAGCACCACATATGAACATGACCGAATATATCCATCATTTGTCTTTTACAAGCTCCTCTACTAACTGGTGGACCACAGTGCCACTTGGGGGCAGGGGGTGTCCAGATGTCAGCTCTAGTGTCCAGTAATACCTCCATATTCTTGTTATTTCCACTTCCCCAATGCATACCCTCCATAAAATACAGCTGTAAATCACTTTGAGGAAATCTAGGTTGATTTGTATATAATTTGGGCAGTAAACAGGGTCCTTCCTCAAGGGGACCTATCCTCCTCCTTATTCAACATGATCCTGGATAGAAACTGACTCGTTTTATGGAACTGGCTGAGGAGCCACAACTCTCATAATTTGTCAGACTTATATCCACCAGGCCTATTAGTAGGCTAGCCCCAGGGACAGCACAATTGGCAAATGCAAAAATGTCTGTGAATCAAACCATTCTGATGATTCCTTTGGCTTTGCTGTTGATTACAACCACTACAATTTATCTCTGCCAATAAAAGGCCTCCACTTGCCCTCTGATGTCCCAAGATCCCTTCACCCTCACTGAATTCAGGGAGCCCCATTTTGATGTCATAATTCCCTTCTCTCATTCCTTGTAGAGAGGAGTCACTACAGAGATCTCCAAGACTGCCAATGCTCCCCTATATCTTTGTATACCTTCTTTAACAGTAGTGTTTCTCAAATGGGGACGACTTTGCCCTCTCCTCCACGGACATTTGGCATGTCTTGAAACATTTTTGATTTTTACAACTTGGGGGAAACAGGATGTGCTACTGGTATCCAGTGGGTAGAGGCTAGAGATGCTGCTAAATATCCTACAATGCCCAGGACAGCCCCAACAATGAAATTTTATTCAACAAAATGTCAATAGCGATAAGGTTGAGAAACTGTACTACAACATAGAAAGTTCTGGCAGCTTGACTTTAGCATAAGCTCGCTTTGGGTACAGGTTTCAGACATTAACTAAACAGTTGAAGGTATTCCCAAGAACTCGAGCTAAACTCTAAGACTGGAAATGGTGTTCAGTACACCTCTATCAACAAATCCAGCCTAATCCAACATTACATTACTGCCACCTGAGTCAACATGCGTAAGATGCACAACCATATATATTTCTCAGGTTTCTATTGATATATATCATTTTTAAATCCTTATTTTGGCAGGTACAGAATCTTATGTCATACTTCATACATGATGACCTCCTCATTCAGACCCCCTCCTGTGGCCTGCAAGGACTTCAATCTGAATAGGTCTAGAAAAAATGGGGATGGCGAAGGCAAGTCTTGAGAACCTACAGTCCCCTGCAAGGAAACTATGTCAGGAGAGATCATTACAGGTTCTTCAGGCAAGGGGAGACTGACTCAGAGAGGGGAGGAAGGCCTCCTTTTAATGGCAAAGGGGGCTTAGCTGAATTTAGAAGTCAAAGGCCTCAGCTTGTTTGGATTCTGGCCATATATTCCCATCTCAATTTTTCTGAGGCCTACTCCTGCCCATTGATGCCCTATGACATAGGAGAATCGAGAGTTGTGAAGTCAGCCACTGAATGGATTTGACTCTGGATCCTTCATAAAAACTGATTATATATAAGTCCCTCAAAGTATTAATATGTAGCCAAGCTCAAAGCTAAGACAGGAAAATTCCCGGGGCTGAAAATAGAGTTTGAGCCCATAATGTCAAGTGGGAGTTGAAACTAAATTACCTACAAAGGCCAAGAAAATTGAATACACAGCTGGGGGTTTAATCTTTGTGATGATAGTCAAGATCAGAGTAACCACGCACATTGGAAGTGAATAGTGAATACCCAACACAATAGAAAGAGCAGCTCTCTTTCATTAGCTGTGAGATGTTTGTTACTAATAACTGTAACACTTAAGTCCCTGCTTTGATATTTGTGAAAAAATTGTGTGGTGTCTTAGTGCTATGAACAAACTCAATTTTTCAGGCAGCTTATACTGTCATTAACAATTGAGTTTATACTGTATAAAATCAGCAGAACAAGAGACAAAGTCCAAGATAATAGGACCCAACTTGAAGAAAGGCTGAGGGGCAGGGGAGCATAGATAGAAGCTAATCACAATAGGGCAATGCCAAATTATCATACTATTACATATTACAGTACTGGTTTTCTGACATTTGAACTTTGTATCCCTTAATTTTATTATGGCTCTAATTAGGTTTCCTGTTCAAAGTACAAATTTTTATAGAATTTTGGAAGTGATCTAACAGGTTTCAAATATAAACTTTACCCATTTATTTTTTTTAAAGATTTTATTAAGTTTTTAGAGAGAGGGGAAGGGAGGAAAAAGGGAAACATTGGTTGCCTCTCACATGCCCCCTACTGGGGACTGGGCTCGTAACCCAGGCATGTGCTCTAATTAGGAATCGAACCTGTGACTTGAGCCATACCAGTCAGGGCCCCATTTATTAACTTAACAAATATTGAGCACCCATGAAGTACTTGCAGTAAGTCTACATATATTTTTTTTAAAAAGGGTCTCTACATTTATAGGGCTCTTACATTTTAATAGGTGTTAATTTTGGATTGCCTGTCATACTTTTGTACGTCTGATAAAAATCTCACCCTTCCTAAGGCCTCTCTTCTGAGTAACATTTAATAAAGGTCAAAGTTCTAACTGAAGCCCTTACTAAACCACTTACGAAAGTTCTCTGCCTCCTGACTACCGAGATATGTTGAAACATGCTTTAATGAAAATAAGTTTCTTTTGACCTTGATGACTGGAAAAATTCACGACACTTAAAAAAAAAAATCATTTTATAAAACATTTTACCTGTGTAGATTCTCTCATATTCTTACCAGCCCTATCACTTTTAGAAGATTTATCACCAGCATGGATTCTGTGATGAATTGTAAGATTTGATCGCCAACTGAAGTTCTTACCACATATCTCACACTTGTAAGGCTTCTCCCCTGTGTGAACTCTCTGATGAGATTGTAGCTGTGAAGACCGACTGAAGACTTTGCCACATGCATCACATTTGTATGGTTTCTCTCCAGTATGGACACTCTGATGAAGTTGAAGACTCGAGGCCTGACTGAAGTGCTTACCACACTCTCCACACTTATATGGTTTCTCTCCCGTGTGGACCCTCTGATGCATGTCGAGATTCAAACTCCACTTGAAGCCCTTCCCACACTCATCACATTTGTATGGCTTTTCCCCAGTGTGGACTTTTTGATGGGCTTGAAGGTGTGAACTCCGACCAAAGCTCTTCCCACACTCAACGCATTTGAATGGCTTTTCTCCACTGTGGACTCTCTGATGGGCCAGAAGATTGGAGGCCTGCCTGAATACCTTCCCACACTCCTCACAATTATATGGTTTCTCTCCTGTGTGGATTCTACAGTGAATTTTAAGATCTGCTCTACGACTGAATCCTTTCCCACACTCTTCACATTTGTATGGTTTCTCCCCAGTATGGATCAGCTGGTGAATCTGAAGTCGTGAACTCTGATTGAAGCCCTGCCCACACTCTTCACACCTGTAAGGTTTCTCTACACTGTGAGCCTTCTGATGGATTTGAAGATATGAACTCTGACTGAAGCCCTTCCCACATACCTCACATTTGTAGGGTTTCTCTCCTGTGTGGACCACCAGATGAACTTGATAATGGGAGTTCCTCCTGAAGCTCTTCCCACACTCATTGCATTTGTATGGTTTCTCTCCAGTGTGGACTCTCTGATGTGCTTGAAGATTTGAACTCAGAGTAAAGCCCTTACCACACACATTACATATGTATGATTTCTCTCCAGTGTGGACTCCCTGATGGGCCTGGAGACTTGAGGGCCGACTAAAGCCTTTACCACATTCCTCACACTTGTAGGGTTTTTCTCCTGTGTGGACCCTCTGATGAATGTATAGATTTGAGCTACAAATGAAGCCCTTTCCACACTCCTCACATTTGTAAGGTTTCTCTCCTGTATGGACTCTCTGATGGGACTGCAGATGTGAATTCCTACTGAAGCTCTTCCCACACTCCTCACATTTGAATGGTTTCTCCCCAGTGTGGACTCTCTGATGGTCTTGAAAATGAGAGGCCTGACTGAAGGCCCTCCCACACTCCTCACAATTATATGGTTTCTCTCCCAAGTGTAATTTACAATGAATAGTAAGTGCAGATCTACGACTGAAGCCTTTCCCACATTCCACACATTTGAATGGTTTCTCTACAATGTGGACTTTCTCATGATTTTGCAGATGTGAGCTCTGTCTTAATTCCTTACCACAATCATCACACTTACAGCTTTTTTCTCCCATGTGAACTCTATGATGAACATGAAGAACTGATCTATAACAGAAGCCTTTTCCATACTCACTACATATATGCAACTTCTCTTTTGAGTGTACTTGCTGATGAAAATCAAAGGTGGAGAGATCACTGAAGGATTTTTTACATTCATTACACTGGTAAGGTTTTTGTCCTGTATGAATCGTACTATTCTTATCTAATGTTGAAATTTTTATGCTGTCTCTTCCACAATCATTGTAACTATAAGATTTTTCACTTCTGTGTACTCCACAATCATCGAAGCGATGTGATACCCAACTGATAGTGTCAACATCCCGTTTATACTTACAGAGTTTATTTTTCACAGAAATTTCCTGACAGCTATTCTGATAATTTTGGGACTCATTCAGGGAAGTTTTCCTTAAAGAACCTTGTGCTCTCAAAGTTGGAAACTCTTGATTTCTAGTGTCACTGGGGCCATCCATTTTATGATTTAGTATATAGTTTCCATCTTCAGAAATTTGGATAGATAGTCCTGTCCCAACCCGACAGGGGGAATCTCCTTGTTTCTGGAACTGAGAACTTATCTTGAAGTCTTGACACTTGGTTAAGTCTTTTACAATTTGTTGCCAGATTTGCCAGCAGGAAGGCTCTTCATGTGCTCCTCTGTCTTGGACAGTCCTCAACTCACTTTGATTGCTCTTGCCTATATAGACAAAAAATTCAGAGATATGGGCAAGTGAAAGCTTTGTTCAAAGACTTAAGATTTCACATCTAGGATACATAGTACAAGAGTTTAATGATGCTTAGGATGATTCAGCTTATCTTTTTTACCTCATATGAAGTTCTCTGCTTTATATACTGACAGAAATCAGGGGGTAGTCCATTAAGCTCCCAACCATTTAACATTAATGGGAGCCATTTAAGACAAAAATGTCTGCTGTTTAAGATAAAATATATGCCATTTGACATACTATTTAAATCATTTTTCATAAATTATATGTCTTTCCTATCATAACACAGTATCAATACAGAAAAGCATTTTTGAGTGCTCACAGCTGTAATAGTGCCTGGCAATTAGTAGGTGCTCAAAAATGCATACATATTGAATCACATTTTGATTTCTGGGATTCTCTGTAACTCTAAATCCAAGCTCAAGTTTTAAGCAAGTCATAGAAGCAAAACTGCTGTTATAAGGAAGGTATCTGAAATAGAAAAAAGGTTGGAAAGTATAGTTTGCTGAAAAGTTGAAAGGCTGCAAGAGAGGCAGTGGCATTCCAAGGGGTTTAATGCTGAGGATAAAATTAAGGTGCTAAGGATCACCTGGTGCGAAAGAAAAGCTGGATGACCTGAATTCTTCAGCGACTTTTGTACTGCCTAATGGGTTTTTATTTTCCAACGTAGGAATCAAAATTTTGGAGTTAGGGAAGAATGTTGTCTCCTTGAAAATACCATGATAAATTTAAATATATATATGGAGATACACTGGCCTTTAACAAGAATGACTTCCAAAGTGAGGATGCACTTTATTAGTGAACTGTGAAATAAATTTAATACCATGATAAGGATTTAGAAGAAACAGACTAGGAATTATCAATTATCACAAGCAGTAAAGGTTTCAGTATACAAAATGCGTTCTAAAGTCAGACATACTAATGTATACAAAAATAAAATGCTTACAGAGGTAATGATGTAAGATCCATTTCTTATTATGGATGTGGACTTTGGAAGAAGCAAATGCGATGAGCTGTGCAAATCTTTTAAGGAAGAGGCTAACTCACAAGCTATATTCCAAGAACAGGCAACCAGTACAAAGGCCACTGAAATAATCCAGGAAAAAGATTTTGCACTTTTGACTGGGTGAGGGCAAGGGGTGGTGAGAAATGAAATACACAGACAGTTAACTGTAAGAACTTACAATTGTTTGGTTCTTACCTAAATTTCTCTCCATATGGGGTGATGCCTTTATTATCCAAAGTCTCTCTTCTCTTTCTATATGTGACATATTTTGTTTAAACAGTTGATGTCCTGAGAACATGCAAAGTCACAAGTTTCAAATGAATACACTGGAACTACATGTTACCAGAAATTTTAGTTCTAAGTGAATATTCGAGATGTTGAAAGCAGTGTTTCTCAAAAATTTTATCATAAGCCACTGAAGAAATAGCATTTATTTCATCACACACACACACACACACACACACAGATATGTATTATTACAACAGAAGTCAAATGGCTCATTTCTAACCAATGTCTATTTTCATTCTATCTCCTCCCAGTGGCTCTCAGACTGCTCATGCAATTGACCAATTTTAGCTGCAATGTTCTATTCTTCTTAAGGAGCACTGATATTTTCTACCCTATTTTATTTTATTAAAAACTGCAGACAGAACTAGGTAAATTAGTTTTATACTAATGGGACAAGTGTGAAATTTAAAAAAGAATATAGGAGAGATATAGCAGCATACTATTTATGGTTTTTTTACAAAACACAAATGAAAGAAGACCTGAAACATCCTGCTTAGAAAGACCAGAGCCCTAGCTGGGTTGCTCAGTTGGTTGGAGTTTAGTTCTCATACTGATACCACATACTGATACCAAAAGGCCATGGGTTCAATCCCTGATCAGGGCATATTTCTAGGCTGCAGGTTGGAGGCAACCAATCAATGCTTCTCTCTCTTTCTCTCTTCCTTTCTCTCTAAAAACATCAATAATAAAAAAAAGACAGGTGGACAGGAAGAAAAAAAGAAAGATCAGAAATATCCTCTTGGGTCCCACAGGAACTGGCAAAAGTCCAGTCCCCAAAATGAGGAGCCACTCCAAGAGCCCCAAAGCCTTAACTCCACAAAAATACTCCAGAGGGAGGCTGTCCTTACCCACTGAGACCAGGTTCCTGAAGTTCTCTACCATCACATCTTGGTACAGCTTCCTTTGAGCAGAGTCCAGCAGTCCTAGTTCCTCTTCTGTGAAGGCCACAGCCACGTCCTTAAACGTCACTGCCTCCTACAACAAACACATAAAACTGCAATCTTATACCCAATGTCCACTGGAAGAGTGGCAATGCTGAGAAGGTGAAAGGAATAGGTGGGAAGCTACTCTGACTCCTAACAGTTTATAGACCTCCCAGGCCTTCTTTTATCCTGCCAATGCCACATACTGATTTTCTGCAGACTCACCTAAAATACTATGAAAAAAAAAAACTTTTTGTATTTTTACTGGTGCTCTCACATTGAACACTGTTATGAGTAAACTCCCTAAAATTCTAACTGCTGTATTCTGACCAAAAAGGTTCTACACTGTAGTTAATACTACCAATTGCCCCAGAAACACTTACTATTTTAGTCCCAACAACGTTTCACCAGGTGAGGTGAAGCATTATATGTGGAAATAAGTCAAGAGGGCTTGACAAATCTCTTGAATAAAAAACTCTTTTCTCCTGTCTCTGTATTTCACTCAAGTAAAATACTCTGACTTGTTTTTTTGTGTGAACTTGAGCAGGTTCCTTATTTTTCAAATCCATTTTCTTTACATTAAAAAATAGATGAGCCCTGGCTTGTGTGGCTCAGTGGATTGAATGCTAGCTTGTGAACCAAAGGGTCACTGGTCTGAGTCCCACTCAGGGCACATGCCTGGGTTGCAGGCCAGGACCCCGATAGGGGGCACATGACAGGCAACCACACATTGATGTTTCTTTTCCTCTTTCTCCCTCCCTTCTCCTCTAAAATTAAATAAATAAAATCTTTAAAAAAAAAATAAAGATGAAACCAAAAACCTCTTCATAAAATTATCCTGGCTGCAGTGACAAGTACTCTAGCACCACTGGACTTTTTAAACTAAGGTCATGTATTTGATTTAAAAAAAACACACAAAGGACAACAAATAAACCAGTAAATAAATACATATAGGGTATGACTCAGGCACAGGGAGACAAAATCTAGCTCTTGTAATGAGAAAACTTCTCTTTTAAAAAAACCTACTTTTTAATTTATTGATTCAGAGAGGGGAACATTGATTTGCTGTTCAACTTATTTATGCATTCATTGGTTGATTCTCATATGTACCCTGACCAGAGACTGAACCTGCAACCTTGGTATATGGGGACGACGCTCTGGCCAGGGCAGAAAACTTCTATTAGTATTTTTTCTGTGTGAAGGAGTTTGACTCTGATGCACTGTGCTATATTCGAATATTCTACCAAAAAAAATCCAAGGTACCACATATAAAGCATACTTTTTCTTTTTTAAATACCTAAAGTACTAAGGACAAAAAAAGGGAGTATTTTTTTAGAATTGATTTTTTGAGAAAAAGGTTCAATGCTGGAAGAGTCTATTATAGTGTTCCTAAAATAGTAAAAATTCTAAACTAATGTCTGTGAATAGAGAATAGTTTAAAATGTAGGTACATAACTTTGATAAGAACATGATATAACAAAAATGAATGTTACATAGATTAAATGCAAAAACCAATTTAAAGCTGTATCTATGTTCTGAATACAAAATACATAGTATGAATACATATGATAAAGAGATTACAGAAAGAGAAGCTGGCTAATTTGTAAGCAGGGAAGTAGTAACGTAGATGTTTTTCATTTCTATTAATTTTTCTCTTATTTGTGAAATAAAAAATGATGAAATAAAACAAAAGCTAAAACCAAAAGCAATTAAACTTAAAAGGGACAAAACAAGCATCTGACACACTCAACAGCCCCTTAAGTGCCTGGACATTCCTTAAAAGAGAAAAACTTGTGTCTCCAAGTACTAAAATGGCACTTTTAAAAGTAAAAAAGGAAAGCTCTACTCACCTTGTACACACTCATTTTTTCCTTTTCCTTCTGGGGAAACACAGAGTCCTAAGAAGACAGACTGGGAAAGGAGAAAGAAGTCAATGGAAACTGGTCAGTATGGCACTAACTCATGTGGTAGCTCGTTGTGAATTTGCAAAGGTCCCCATTCCTCTAGGGTGGCAACAACTGCATTGAATTTCATGAACAGGACTTGGCATGGATGCCAGATAACCACCCTGCCACTTTCAGTAGCTCAGGGAACAACCTGGCCAACCTCACACATTGGCCCAATTTCCACTGTGCCTATCGCTTCTTTCGTAGTAATTCTTATGCTGGGCATGGTGTAAATTGGGACAAAATAAGAGTAGGCGCTGGAGTTAATATGCACGGGTTGAAATCCTGGCTAGGCTATTCGGCGTCATTGTGGAAAAATTATTAACATCTCTTTGCCTTAATTCTATTATCTACAAGTAGGCGGAATACCTGTATTGACCTCATGGGATTGTTATAAAATACAAAGTTCTTAAAACTCTGTCAGGCTTTCTTATTTCTTTGCAACCACAGTAAAACATATGATATTCGCTAGTTTGATATTATCCTTATAAATGTAATTTCTACCCATAGAATAATGTAACATGGTGTTCAGCAATTGTTGCTTTGTCATGTTATAACTTCTGAAAAATCTCTGGTTTTCTTTTTCTCAATAACATGTTATCTCAACAATAATATATAAATTGACACAGAAAACTTTTTATAAGAGGTATAAAAATGTGTAAAGTTTCTTTTAAAGCAAGAAGGGCCCTTTTGATGAATATGCACGGAAACAAAGAAAATTAATTAAAATCCATGACTCTGCAACAATAAAAAAAAGCATTGGACAATCCATACCTCATTTAAATTAATAAGGAATCTATATATATTGTTATAAACATGGGAATATATAAGAAGTAAATAGGTGAGAAGGGGAAGCTCTTAGAACACTGTTATGGGTGACTGCAAACTAATAAAGGTGGAATGAAAGACAGAAAATCACCAACAGATGCTAAAATTGGTTAAAGTTTGGTGAAGAATAAGATAGCTACATAGTATCAAAGTATTAATTTCAAAAGGAAAAACAGTAGCCTGGCAGACACCTTAACCAATACACTAAGCTGAGACCACCAACTGTGACAGACTGACATTTGCTTCGTATGGTGCACTGAGAAGGATGCCTCACTACTTCTGCAGCATCCCTGCCAAGCCTGAGTCTAACTGTGAACAAATAACGGATAAAGTAAAAAAAGAGGGACCTTCTACAGACTAATTTGCCAATACTGTTCAAATATCAAGAGTAAAAAAGAAAAAGCCTGAGGAACCATTCTACATTAAAGGAGATCAATGTAACAAAAACTAAGTGCAATGTATGTAACTGGACTGGCCCTTGGAGTAGAAAAGAAAAACTGTTATAGTTAAACAATTTTTCAATTTAACAATTTTTCAATTAAACAATTTAAACAATTTTATAGTTAAACTATAGTTATAGTTTACTAAGGAAAATTAGTAAATAGTTATAACAAAGACTTTAATGAGAAAACAAAAAATTTAAATAGGGACTATGAATTAGATAACAGTACGTTATCAATGTAAGTAATTCCATTCTGATCACTGTCTCTAGCTTGTTCTCAAATGGTTCTGAAAAAAACAAAAATATGTATGTATGTATGATAAAATTGTGAAAGATAAAAGAACAGTTCTGAAAGCTAAAGCCACAACAGCTAGAATTTGGTGTTTTCCACTGATGAACAAAAATCAGACAGGACCACTCTGTCTGGCTGTGGTGAAAAAGAAAAAGACAAGTTACTCCACAGCACAGAGACAAAGACACTCTGCAGTGACAAAATAGCCAAAGAACTGCCCCTCCCAGCTAACATGAGTGACTACTTTGTTAACAGTTGAAAACTCCAGTCTCATTTTGTTTCTTCTGCTGCTAGGTAAAAACTCCTTAAAAAAAAAAAATTATTTATTATTTATTTTTAGAGAGAGGGGAATGGAGGGAGAAAGAGAGGAAGAGAAACATTAATGGGTTGCCTCTTGTCTGCGCCCCAACCAGGGACCAAACCACAAGCTAGGCATGTGCCCTCCCTGGGGATTGGAACCGGTGACACTTTGCTTTGTGGAATGATGCACAACCGAGCCACACTGGTCACAGTCACATAAAAATTCTTTCGATATTCAGTCATGCAATTGTTTCTGCTTCTTAACAGCATCTAATTCAGAATAAACCCCCACTGCCTACAATTCTTCCCAATTCAGCTAACACAGGCCAAAATCCTATAAGTAGGATTGCCTACTTATTCCTCCTAATTGCCTCTTACCAACACCCTCTGGTTCCCCATGGTGTGTGGGCTTCCTTGCTCCAGCAAGCTGAAACGAACTTAATTCTTGATGATTACAGGTATGTTCCTGGCAGTATTTGGCTGATGATCATCAACAGAGGAAAAAGGCAAACCATAAACAATTGATGAATGTGGGTAAAGAATATATGAGAATTCCTTCTACTATTTTTGCAACTTTTCTGTGAGTATAAAGTTATATGAAAATAAAAAGGCATAGAAATTAGTAAATAGTTATAACAAAAGTAGTTCTGATGATGATGATGACAACGATGATGACAGCCAAAGTATCTAATATTAACTAACAGTAAGTACTAGGTGATCTTCCTACTTCAAACAGAAATCCTCTAGTTAAAAAGATGGCAATGAATTCACTCCACGAAGCCTCGGAGAGATATATCTTCATAACCTCTAACTCTTTCCATTCTGTCTCTCTCCTTGCCAGCTTACCTTGTGCTCATGTCAGGATTTTGCAAGGAAACCTGACAGTTAACAATAATTAGTGGGGGTAAAAATCATTGGACTCTTTTGTATTCCGCTGTTTTATCTGTGACAATTTTTTAGGCTTTGTTTCCAGACTAGAACCATTCCTGAATTTCTCAAATTTCCTTGTGCACAGGAATCACTTCAGGATCTTGATGAAATGTACATTCCTGGGTCCCATCTGCAGAGACTCTAAATTAAAAAGTCTTGGGTGGGGCTCAAGGATGGGCATTTCTACTCAAGTGATGCTAATGCTGCTGGTCTGTGGTCCACAATTTGAGAAGCACTGCAGTGTACTAGCAGTCCCAAAGAAAACAGCCTCCATTAACCAGAAATATACACAACGAACAACCAGAGCTACTAAAATGTTAACAAGGGTTATCTTTACATCCTAAGGTTATGGTTAATTTAAATTTTTATTTATATATTTCTGTATTTTTTGAATTTTCCATAATGATTATGTTACTTCTATAATACAAGGTGGGGCAAAACTAGGTTTACAGTTTTAAGTACATAAAAGTTTATTCTTATATTATTATTATTGTATTATTTTTCCATATGAACAATTGTAAACCTACTTTTGCCCCACCCTGTATAAACATTACTTGAAATAGTGAAACAGTTAAGAAAGCTATTTTTAAAAACTCTCCTACAGAATAGCCTACACCTTGTTCTCTAGGTTCCCATGATCAAGTCCCCACCGACTTTTCCATAAAGACAACGTTGTGATTTAAAAAAAAACACACACACAAAGGACACCAAATAAACCAGTAAATAAATACATACAGGGTATGACTCAGGCACAGGGAGACAACATCTAGCTCTTGTAATGAGCTAGAATCCATATGGGAATGTGATTCTAGACAGTTCTCTATGCTCAAGGAGAATTCACTAAAGAGATTAGTGAGCTCAGATGCTGGACTCAGACTGCCTAAGTTCCAACCCCAGTTCTGCCTCCTACTAGCAGAGGGGCGGGGGCAAACATGTCCCCTGCCTCTGAGACTCATCTTTAACGAAGGGAAATTTGCAGCACCACTTTATAGATCCACTGTATGACAGACATATGTTCATTTGTATAAAGCTTAAAGATGGAATTTAGCAACTAAGACGTAGTTATAATCATCACCCATATTTGTACAAGTGCATGTCCCATTCATTCTCCAATTTATGTGAATACTAGAAGAGTGCCAAAGCCTACTCACGTATTTGGGTCTGTTGCCTCCTCCACCGCGCAGTGCCTTTTGAGAAGTCAGGCCTGGGGAAGCAAAAAAAGCTGTGAATTACCAGGACAGTGTTTGCATTCCTGATAAATCGCATTCCCTGGTACCAGCTAGAGGCAATCCTCTCCTAAAAAAGGCCGAGTCCAGAACAGTTCAGCCTCCTGGGCTCACAGAATCTAACTGCGAGACCGACCCTTTTCGGAGATTTAATAGTAGTATTAATAACAAAACTGCATGTGCCAGGCAGTTTTAATGAAACCTTTTATTTGTACTATTCTCGTTTTTTCTCAAAACAATCTATTAGGAACGTATTACTTTCATTTCCCTTTTACAGAACAGTAAGCGAAGACACAGAGGGGTTAAGCAACTCACCCAATGCGATACCTCATTAAGCGTTGCGGGGGGGCGGGTCAGGGGTGCGGAGAGCCCGGGAGACCGTCAAACCTCGAAGCCCGACCGAGCGCGCCTCATCACCGGTACGTCCCAAACGCTAGAAAAGCTCCGCTCCGGAGAACGCAAATCGCCGCTTCAGCCTTAGACCTCCGTTTTTAGCCGCTCCTCCTCTTTCTCCCCAAATGAAAGGCAGGTAGCTGGAGCCGTTGGCCCCACGAGCGATCCCGGGAAGTTGCAGTGGGTCCCGTATAGCGGACCTGAAGAGCCACAGCCTGGGAAAAGATGGCTACTACGTGGGCACGCTGGGGCGGAAGTGCCCGTGCCTAACCGGGGCCCCCGACCTACATTTCCCAGAATCCCGCAGCACCGCCCTCATTGACTGGAAGTACCTGCGGTTTCTCGGAGCTCTCGGGCTTACACTTCCCAGAATTCCGCGGGGCGGAAAAACCATGTACAGCACGGCTTTACTATAGGTGTAGTATGTAAGTCTCCACGGAGCCCTGGACTACCTGTCCCAGAATGCTGAGCGGAAAAAAAAAACACTTCGGACAACCGGACCGCCCCTGTGGACGACCGTTCCCGAGTGGAAAACGGGACAGAGCCGCGCCCTGTGACGCGCAAGTGGCCTGTACTCTGAGCGCGTGGTTTTCACTTCCCGGAACCCCTGAGAAGATCTCAGGCAAATATCTTGCCATTCTAGGCTGTCGGATTTAGAAGAGTGTAGATTCTGTTCGATGAGAGGCTCGGTGGCACTTTGGACGGGTTCGAGAGACTAAGCAACGTAAATCCATTACCTTCCTCAGAGGCTTCCAGGTAAACCCCGAAGAGCTTCACCGTAAAAATAAAAGCAAAAGGGAAGTGAGCATACTTTGCCAGGGACTGAAATCAGACCAAGTCGCCTCAATCTCTGAAATTACATAAAGGTGAACGTCTTTTGTGAGAATCTTACGGCTCCTGCAGAGGCAAATGAAAAGCTTTTGTAGAGAAATGTACCATTACCCCGGACCTCAAATTATTTCTGTAATTATAAAATTTGTGATAGTAATATTTGACCAAGTGAACTTTAAGAACGAAAGCATTACCTGACATATGGAGGGACACTTCATAATGACATAAGTTTGGAGTTACCATAATCTAACAACTTCACATATTTTATTAAGTGAAAACGGACAGTACCACAGATTCAGTGGGTGAAGGAGAACGAAAGGTTTTTGTAAAACGCAAGCACTGTACGTTGTAGTGTAGTGGGTCCTCACAATACCACTGTAGCGTAAAACAGTTTCATCCATCTTAATGTGTGGATCAGAACAAGCCAACCATGCAATGAATGAGTGCTAGTCTGGCAATGCAATAAAAGTAATTCCATATGGGAAAGAGAGAGAAGAGAGAAGACTTCAAAACTAGGACCCCTGAATGGGAGGAAAAGAAAAAGAGGCCCAGGGATCCAACATTTCTATTTGTGAATAAGTTAAACTAGTATTTTGAAAAATCAGAAGCATATGTGATACCATAAGGAGTCAGAGTAATTCCACTGGAAGAGAGCCACAAGCCAAGGAATGAGGACAGCTTCCAGAAGTTGGCAAAAGCAAGAAGTGAATTTACCCTTAGAGTCACCAGAAGGAAGGCAGCCCTGATGACACCTTCAATGTAGCCAAATCGGTAAACTGAGACTCTGAAAATAAAATGCCCAAGGAGTCACCAAGAGCAAATGGCAAAGAGAAGTATTAAAGTTGGAATGTCATGGAAGATGGATGGAACTGTACTCCAGTAAGAGCCTAGAAACTTGGGAATATATAACCATATAACCTGTGTGAAAGAGAACAGTATTTCTTTTCATGTATGGAAGTCAATTCAAAGAAACAAAAAATAGGAGAAAACCAGTTTGGGGGAGAGAGAATGAGAGAAGATGTGATTTCCAACACCCAATATCCAACATTTGTAAAAAAGAAGAAAAGAACCTGTATGACATATTTCATAAGTAGCAACACCGAAATATGAAGGACAGGAAAACAGGTAAGAGGGATTTCATGCCTTATATATTTTTTCTGTTATTTTGGATTTAATATCTATTGAAGTTGATGTAGCTTTGTTATACAAGACAATAAAAACATAGAATCTTTTTTAAAAAAGCACACAATATCCCATGTGGTATGTGCATGTGTCTTGAGGTAGAAGGGGTGGGGAACTGAGTGCGTGAAAACCTAACTGCTTAACCCCTAACTGCTCAGCTCTTCTTCACTTTGAGTATGTATGTGAAGCAATGCCTCTAGACTCCATCAGCTTTGGGATGGTGGAGGGGAGGAAGTGACATGGAACCAGGCAAGCAAGAGTGCTTGGCACTTTAAAGAGAAACAGGCTTATGAAGTAGGGTGGGGACGATAACCTGGTGTCCTTGCCTGTGGTGCCAGAGGGGATGAAGAGAGGCCATTTCATCTTCAGTTAGCACACAGGGGACAGAAAACAAAGCATCTGATGAGATGAGGCCTCTGAGCACCTCTGCAGTTGGGTTACTGGCAGATCAGGGAGCCAGTTCATTTTATTTTTCAGAGAGAGGGGAAGGGAGGGAAAAAAGAGAGGGAAAGAAACTTCAAATTGATTGCCTCTCACAATCCCCCCAGCTGGTGGCATGGCCCACAACCCAAGCATGTGCACTGACAAGGAATCAAACTAGTAACCTTTCGGTTCACAGGCCAGCACTCGATCTACTGAGCCCACAAGCCAAGGCAGAGACAATTCATTTTAACTGCACCTGCTCCTTACTGGGTCCCTGTCCAGACAGTGATCAGAATATACTCCATACATTTATAATCATTACTATCAACACCAGTTCCCTCTGTCATTTTAGAGGGACACAAATGACAGCACAACTGACTAAAGTATTCAAAGAACCTATCAGTGATGGTCAAATGCTTCCTTCTCTAGTCATGGGACAAGAAGGGCTCATCAAGGAGGCAAAGGCTCCCAGACAGTGATCCTGCCCATTTGTTTCTACCTCTTGCAGCATCACACACAATGCTCCCTAAGAAATAGTCTCTCTGTAAGTATCTGGTGAATGAATGAATAAAAACCATCTGCCTGAAACTTGCAGGGTCATGGGTTAATATTTGTTCATACTAAAGGATGCTGAACTTTACTTCATTATAGTGTTTCTCCACTTTGAAAAGATAATCCAGTACCTAACCTTCTCCCATGTATTATTGCAGGAAATCTAAACAAACAATAAATGCCCAACACACACACACACACGCACACGCACACGCACGCACAAATTGTTAAACGAAAGGCCTCTTCTCAATGATGACATGGCAGTCTTTGGCAAGAGCCTGTAAGGGAGTAAGTGGAGAGGCTATGAGGGACAAAAGGAGAGCCGGCATGGGCTCTCAAGTATTCATGGATTCAGGTTCCCACTCTGCCAAGGAAGGCTGTGTGACCTTGCATGAGCTTTCTTAAAAACAGTCTCAGTTTCTTCATTTGTAAGGCAAGGCTACAATGACTAACTCTACAAGTTGTTAGAAGGATTAGGAACAATGTCAAGTATTGAACACAGTGCTTTGCATGCAGGAGACATTGACAAATGGCAGCTATTATTTTTATAAGCAAACAATTAGTCTTTGCTTGAAGCAAAAGCTTACATGTTGTTAAAAAAAATCAAACTCATATTTGGAACTGTAGATTTTAACATACATAGAGGAAAATGTTGAGCCTTTAATGCATAAATGTTAAAATAGAAGGAAAGCTGAAAATTGATTCAGAAAATATTCATCACAAGAAGTTACCAGGTAGGAAAACTAAAGAAAGTAGATGGAAGTTCATAGAACTCCGTTTTCTGCACCCACAACATTTTACCTATTTACTTGTCTCATTGCTTTTGCCAATAGTAATGAAATGAACATCATCACATATGTCTGCTTATAGACCTATGTGAGCATTGAAATTCTTTAGAATCTATACCCAAGAATGAAATTATTTCATAGCATATGTGTATTCATAAATTTAGTTTTAGTGTGATTTTCAGAAAGGCTACTGTGGTCAACATTACCAAGAGTTGCATATGAGGTTTTTTGTGTAGCAACTTCCTCACCTCCATTTGGATGACTCATTACCTAGTAGTATAGTAGTACTACTGATTTTTTTTTTCCTTGAGAGAACCTTGTCTGACCTAATACAACTACATTTTAACATTTATGAGGGGTATCACGTATCATTTCTCACATCATTTCTCCACATTTGGAAAGATTCACAATTGCACAATGATGACCACTATCTAATCCCAGAACACTTTCATCTACTCCAAAGAACCCTCCCATCCTACATGTTAGCTGTCACTCCTCATTCCCAATTTCATCCCCCTCCCAGTCTCAGGGAAGCAGTGATTTACTTTCTCTCTCTATGGATTTGCCTATTCTGCACATTTCATATAAATGAAATAATACCACACATCATCTCTTATGCCTGGCTTCTTTCACTTGGCATAATGTCTTCAGGGTTCATCCATGCTGTAGCATGAATCAGTACTTCATTCCTTCATATTGCTGAAAAATATATGAATATACTATTGTTTTTCCATTCATCAGTTAATGAACATGGGATTGTTTCCACTTTTTACCTATTGTAAATTCTGTTGCTATGAACACTTTTGCATGTTTTTGTGCAGGTGTGTTTTCAGTTCTCTTGGGAGTATACTTAGCAATGTAATAATTGTGACATATGCTCAATCTTTTTGGAACATGGTTTTGGTAGTGTCAGTCTCACTGAGATGTTCATGGATTCATCCTAGTCTCCATCCTGAAAATGGAAACACTAAGACTAGGGCTTAAAACAAATAAACAAGGATAGGTGTAATGCACTTTGCAAGATGATGGGGTTACATTAGCAATGGGAGATGGGTACTACCATTAGGTACAGGAAAGTGGGGCCCCTGTTTTGGACCTTTTTGCTCGAGTCCCCACAATTTGTAGTTGCTTCCTCCAAGATTTTGAAATCTCCCTCTAATTGCTGTGATTGGTTTTCACTAGCAATTCTATCCAAGCCAGCTGCCCCATCCCTGCTTATCATTTTTCTGTGACTTCTACCCAATGTGTGTGATTGACCAAGTGCTCCAAGAAACTGCAAGATAATGCCCGTATATTTATCCCAAAGACCGATGACCATTGACTGGTGCTGGTTCCAAGAGGGAGCCTGGTGAGCAGATAACTCAGATATATAATGCAGGGTCAATACATGGCTCTCCCACTACCTGTGACAAGGGCTGGCTCAAGGACCCCTAGCCAGAAATGTGTATTGTTTTGGGAATGGATTGTAACTCCTTCCTTATGTCCTTTTTGGGAGTGGCTTCTTATTCTATGACTGTTTCTTGACCTTTTTCTTCTGAATGTACACACTGATGTAATGTAGCTCCAGGCCACATATGTTTGTGCAACCTGGATCTGTGCTGCCTTTGTCTGGGATACCTTATAATTAGCCTCAAACTGGAGGAGGTGGTCTCTCTCACCAGCCTGCCACTATTGGTGTACTATCCTGTGAGTAATAAATGACATTTTTTAATGGTCCACATCTGCTAGTCCAGTAGGTGGGGTTTTGGGGTTTTTTTGTTTTTTTTGTTTTGGAATATTATGAACACTTAAGCAGCTCCCCAGCTTGGGACTCCTATGCTACATATGTGCAAGCAAATGTCACAAGGACCTGGCTCATGCAATTCTGAAGCCTAAGAAGTTCCATGATTTGTTGTCTGCCCACTGAAGACCCAGAATAGCTGGTAGTGTTTATACCAAGCTCAAGGCCTGAGAACCAAGATAACCAATGGTTTAAAATCCAATCCGAGGGGCAGAGAAGATATGGCCCCACTGAAGCAAGGAAGCAGGAAATGAAAAGGGGCAAATTCTCCTCTCTCTTCAATGCAGTGTGCAGATGGTATTTTATTGAGTTGTACACTTGAAACCTGTATGGTTTTGCAAATCAATGCCACCTTAATAGATTCAATAAAAAGAATTCTCTTTTTGTTTTACTCAAGTCCTCAACAGACTGGATGATGCCCACCCATACTGGGGAGGGCAGTCTACTTTACTGAGTCAGGTGACTCAAATGCTAGTCTCATTCAGAACCTCTCACATACACACATCTGCAAACACACACATACAAACACATCAAGATTAATGTTTGATTATGCTATAAAGGCAACAATCTATGGTTTCTCAAAGCCAAAATGATGCATTTGTCCTGTCCTTATAGATATCTGCCATAATTCTAAAGACTTTAGATTAATATAGGAATATATCGTAATTCAAACTCCTACAGATGTATGCTTATTTCTGTTTTAAATAGTTCAGTAACCTCATTGATGTGGTGCTCATCTTCTTGGCATTTTAATCTCATAATCAGAATTTTCATTATGTGATTTCCAGATCAAAGAGATGTACAACCTATATTCTGATGTATACTCCTTTCCCAACACTATATTTTATTGCTACCTATAGGAAAGAGCATATATATGTTAGTCTTGTCTCAATAATATCTACAGTTGATAAAATTATCAAATTCCTACAAGTTTTTTTTTTTGGTATTTGTATCACAGGTGTGGGGGCAGAATATGGCATACACCCTACCTGAGAAGTTTTGATCAAAAGAATGCAACAGTAATTAGAAGGCAAACATTTCAAAGGCAGGCTGGAAATACACAGAATTAGAAATCAGTAATAAATTCAAGGTTAAGAAAACTGACATTGGTGACACTTTCAAAGTGTTAAGGGTGAACCACTGTCTTAACATTGATAGATAAAATCAATTTTGTAACATGCTTTTTAACTTTTTATAAAGTTAAAAAAAAATGTTTCAGTCTGTACTGTCAGCAAAGATAGTCCAAGTACACTGTTCACAATCCTCGGAAAACTAGACAGACCCCCAAATAATCACCCAACTTGAGAACAGAGGCTGTGGAGAAGATGGAAGTCACTTGCAAGAGTGGAGTATCATATTAATATTGTGGATGTTAACACTGAGTGTTTTTCTGTATTTTGACAAATACTCATTTCCCTGAATTCTGTTTGGCAGGTCTCCTTCTCTAGATGTGATTTCATATATTGTACATTTCCCTTTTGGTTTATTTAATGTATAAGTACTGAGACCATCTACAGGAATCAGTCAACGTTAAGGTAGTGCAGACTTTGCAGCAAAGTCCCTGCCCTCATGGAGCTTGTATTCAAGGAGGCAGCAATTCTGGCTTATATTCAAGGAGGCAGCAATTCTGGCATGCCTCTCACTGCACTCTTGTTAAACACCAGACTGAACTGTTTCTCCTTCTAAGTACCAACTCCTAAGTGACGGCTAATAAATGTCAAAGTTCTGAATGAAGTGTTACTGCACCACATACAAGGGTTTTCTGCTGTGTGGCCTGCAGAAAACTTAGATGTGTCCCACTTTTGCTTATTAAACAAATATTTTTTTCTCCTATGAAACCTGATAAGAATTTGGATTGTACATGAGTTTTTAAAGAAAGATCATTTTGTAGAACCTCTTTCCTCTGACAATTCTCTGATGGTCTTACCACTCTCTCCACCTTTGTGAAATGCATCACCAGCGTGGATTCTGCGATGACTTACAAAATTTGATCTCCAACTGAAGCTTTTACCACATATTTCACACTTGTAAGGTTTCTCTCCTGTGTGAACTCGCCTGTGATACTGAAGTTGTGAAGAGCGACTGAAGACTTTGCCACATGCATCACATTTGTATGGTTTCTCTCCAGTATGGACACTCTGATGAAGTTGAAGACTCGAGGCCTGACTGAAGTGCTTACCACACTCCCCACACTTATATGGTTTCTCTCCGGTGTGTACCCTCTGATGCATATCAAGATTCAAACTCCACTTGAAGCCCTTCCCACACTCATCACATTTGTATGGCTTTTCCCCAGTGTGGACTTTTTGATGGGCTTGAAGGTGTGAACTCCGACCAAAGCCCTTCCCACACTCAACGCATTTGAATGGCTTTTCTCCACTGTGGACTCTCTGATGGGTCAGAAGATGTGAGGCCTGACTGAAGACTTTCCCACACTCCTCACAATTATATGGTTTCTCTCCTGTGTGGATTCTACAGTGAATTTTAAGATCTGCTCTACGACTGAATCCCTTCCCACACTCTTCACATTTGTATGGTTTCTCCCCAGTATGGATCAGCTGGTGAATCTGAAGTCGTGAACTCTGATTGAAGCCCTGTCCACACTCTTCACACTTGTAAGGTTTCTCCACACAATGGGCCTTTTGATGGATTTTAAGGTATGAACTTTGACGGAAGCCCTTCCCACATACCTCACATTTGTAGGGTTTCTCTCCTGTGTGGATCACCTGATGAACTTGGTAATGGATTTTCATCCTAAAGCTCTTCCCACACTCCTCACATTTGTATGGTTTTGCCCCTGTGTGAACTCCCTGATGTGCTTGAAAACTTGAACTGTAAATGAAGCCCTTACCACACTCTTTACATACATAAGGTTTCTCTCCAGTGTGGATTCTCCGATGGGCCTGAAATTGTGATGGCTGAATGAAACACTTACCACATTCTTCACATTTATATGGTTTCTCTCCTGTGTGGACTCTCTGATGGATATGAAGATTTGAACTACAAGTGAAACACTTCCCACAGTCCTCACATTTGTATGGTTTCTCTCCTGTGTGCACCATACAATGGCTATTAAGTGCTGATCTACGACGGAAGTTCTTCCCACATATATCACATTTGAATGGTTTCTCCCCAGTGTGGATTCTCTGGTGCTCCTGAAGATGTGAAGCATGAATGAAGGCCCTTCCACATTTGTCACAGTTATAAGGTTTCTCTCCCAAGTGTAATTTACAATGAACAGTTAGTGTTGCTCTACGACTGAAGCCTTTCCCACACTGCTCACATTTGAATGGTTTCTCTACAGTGTGGACTTTCTGATGAGTTTGCAGATGTGAACTCTGACTGAATTCCTTACCACACTTATCACACTTGTAGCGTTTCTCTCCCAAGTGAACTCTCTGATGAATACGGAGCGCTGAGCTATAACAGAAGCTTTTTCCACACTCACCACATGTATGAGACTTCTCTCCTGAATGTATTTGTTGATGAAGATCAAAGTTGGAGACATCATTGAAGTATTTTTTACATTCATTACACTGGTAAGGTTTCTGGCCTATTTGATTTATAGACTGTCCTGCACCAACCTGGCCAAGCAAATCACCTTGTTTGGAAAACTGAGAACTCTTCATCACAGAATCTTGATGTTTGGTTAAGTCACTTGCAATCTGTTGCCAGATATGCCAGCAGGAAAACTCTTCATGTGGCTCTGCTTCTGGCACATTCTCTATCTTACTTTGGATCTTTCCTCCTGTAAGGACAGAGAATGCAGAGGCATGAACAACTGAAGGCTTTGTTCAGTGTTTTCACAATTTCACATTTAAAAGAGAATGTGAGATTTCAATGAATCCAGGGAATATTCCATTTGTCTTTTCCATTGGATATCATGTTCTCTGGTTTGCATATCTACAGAAATCAAGAGGTGGTCCAGTTGGCTTCTGTCCACTAAGCATAATGAAACCCATTAGAACATATCAAGTCTCTTATGTGAGGTGCAAGTTAGGTGTCTAAGACTTAATTTTAAAAGTTGATAATATGGTCCTGGCTGGTGTGGCTCAGTGGGTTGAGTGCCAGCCTGCAAACCAAAGGGTCACCAGTTCAGTACCAGTCAGGGCGCATGACTGGGTTGCGGGCCAGGTCCTCTAGCTGGGGGTGCATGAGAGGCAACCACACACTAATGTTTCTGTCCTGTTCTTCCTCCCTCCCTTCCCCTCACTCTAAAAATAAATAAATCTTAAGAAAAAGTTGATAATATGATTCAAACTGTTAACCTATGGCCATTTTTTTTTAAAAAGACTGTATTATTTTTCAACAGGAAGGGAGGGAGAAAGAGAGGGAGAGAAACATCAATACGTGGTTGCCTCTCACGCGTCCCCTTCTAGGGACCTGGCCCACAATCCAGGCATGTGCCCTAACTGGGAATTGGACTGGTGTCCGTTTGGTTCACAGGCCAGTGCTCAATCCACTGAGCCATACCAGCCAGGACTCGTCATGTCAATTGAATATCAAAGTTAGTATAGAAGCTTGGATAGTAAATTATGTAGTTAATAAGTTATGTAGATAGAAAAGTTACACAGATAATAAAACAAGAGTCTATTATAATTTTAAGGAAAAACAATAACAGTTTTAGGTTCATGTAATATAATCTAATATCCAATACCTCAAAGTATTTATATTTACAATTCAAAGTATTCCTGGAAATTGTGCACATGTACACGTAATTTCATTTTTCTGTGTTGACAGACATTAAGTGAGTTGGCAACTCAAACTTTTGACCATTCCCAATAACTTCAGTTTAGAAATATGTTTTCTAAAAGATTTACCCTTTTTGGTATTACTATTTATACAAAGTTACCTCAACATGTGAGGAATACTTTTTCAATAAAATTTTGAATTAGTTTAAAAGTACTTCTCTTGCCCTGACTGGTATGGCTCAGGGGGTTGGGTGTCCTCCCATAAACTGAAAGGTCGCCAGTTTTTGATTTCCAGTCAGGGCACATGTCTGTGTTGCAGGCCAGGCCTGCTGTTGGGGGTATGAGAGAGGCAACCAACAGGTGTTTCTCTCACACATCAATGTTTCTCTCCCTCCCTTCCCCTCTCTCTAAAAATAAAATCTTTTTTTTTTTAAGTCAACAATCAGAAAACAAAGAACACTATTACAAATGAAACAAAGACTTCAACATACACCTCACCTAAGAAGATATACAGATGATAATTAAGCATATAAAAAAGATGCTCCACATGTTACCTCATTAGGGAAATGTAAATTCAAATAATGTGATACCACCAGACACCTATTAGAATGGCCAAAATCGATTATACTGACAACACTAAGTCCTGATGAGGATGTGAAGCAGCAGTGACGCTTATTTGTTGCTGATGGGAATGCAAAATGTTATAGCCACTTTGGAATACAGTTTGGTTGTTTCTTACAAAATTAAACATACTTTTACCATACCATCCAGCATCACACTCCTTGGTATTTACTGAAAAAACTTGAAAACCTAAGTCCACACAAAAACTTGTATAGGGATGTTTATAGCAGCTTTATTCAATAACAAAACTTGTCCAGCTGGCATGGCTCAGTGAATAACGACAAAACTTGTAAGCAACCAAGATGTTCTTCAGTAGGTGAACAGATAAATAAACTGTGGTAATAGACACAGTATGGAGTATTGTTCAGCGCTGAAAAGAAAGAATCTCTCAAACCATGAAGAGATATGGAGGAAAGGTAAATGCCTATTATTAAATGAAAGAAGCTAATCTGAGGATTACATAGTGTATGATTCCAACTGTAAGACATTCTGGAAAAGATAAAACTATGGAGACAATAAAAATTTCAGTGGTTGACAGGGGTTATGGGGAGGGAAGGATGAACAGGTGGAGAACAGATTTTTAGGGTAGTGAAAATACTGTGTGATACTGTAATGGAGGATATGTGTCATTATACACTTGTCCAAGTCATAAAATGTTTAACACCAAGAGAGAGCCCTAAGGTAAAGTACAGACTGTAGGTGATAATGATATGTCAATGTATTTAGATTTATCAGTTGTATTTTGTGGGGGATGTTGATAATTATGAGTTTGTGTGTATGTGGGTATAGGATATATAGGGTATCTTGTACCTTCCTCTCAAATTGTGAACCTAAAACTGTTCTAAAAAATAGTTATTTTTTTAAAGAAAGTAGTTCTGAAAAAATTTTTTACAAAGGAGAAATTCACCTTCCTCCCTGTAGAAATAGTTAATAAAAGCATCCTCTTTTGCCCTGGCCAGTGTGTCTTGGTTGGAGCACTGTTCCAAAAATCAAAAGGTTGAGGGTTCAATTCCCAGTCGGGGCAAATCTAGGTTGTGGGTTTGGTACAGCCCAGGTGCGTGTGAAAGGCTACCAATCAAAGTTTCTCTCTCTCATCAATGTTTTCTCTCCCTCTCTCCCCCCACCCCCCTTCCTCCCTTTCTGTCTCTCTTAGGTCAATGGGCATGTCCTCAGGTGAGAATAAAAATAGAAAAGCATTCTCACTATATAAATCTGTCTTGGGTCATTTTATTGAAAGTTAATTCAATGTTGAGGTGATTGGTATGGTTATAATGATTTGCAGGTTTGGGAGTAAATACCTAATCACATGCTGACTTAAAAAGTGTAAAGCAGATAGTGAAATGGTAGCTCCTACTGGCAAGTTTCATTCAGGAGGACAAAAGGGAAATAAAATTGAACAGATAATAACTTTTGTTCTAAAACCTGTCAGTAATTCAGATCTTTAGAAAAAGAAGTGGAAAATTGGAAGGTAATCTTTTACAATGGAGATAGAACCTGGGAGAAGGAAAAGATGAGGTCACAGTGTAAACTCAGAAAGCCAGCCATTGAACAAGTGTTAATTCCTGCCAGAACCTCTTCCCAGAAGAGTCACATGGATGGCTCCTCATATCTTTTTGGTCTCTCCTCAATGTCAGCCCACCCACAAGACCTTTTTACCACCCAGTGTAAAATAATAAATCTTGTCCTCACTCAGTTTACCTCTGGCAACTTCCTTGCTCTTTGTTGATGTTCTACTCAGCACTTTTTACCATGAGACAGAAAAAATCAACTTGTTAATTGATGTCTTTCCCCTCACAACACAGCATCAAAGAGGGACGCATTGGCACCTTGTACACCAAACACATTCCATCTTCCTGCTTTATAACCACTGCTCAGAACTGTGCCTGGAGCATGGTGAGCATGCAGCAAATGTACACTGAATGAATAAATGAAAACCACCAAGAAAATTTTACTTTTGGACAAACCAAAACATACAGGTATGCATACACCAAGCACAATGCTAATGAGAAAATCAAAGGTGGTAAAATTCCTTGAAGCAAAAAGAAAGCAAGAGGGCCTATTACTGGTGCCTTCTGAAGCTTTTGGACTATTTCTTTGAGAAAAACTTTGGCTGTAGATAAAAAAAAACTATTACAGCAGTTTTACAAATTGAAAACCCCATCCCTCTAGTGAGCTGTGAAATAAATTTAAAAGCTTGAGATAGGTATTCAGAACAAAGAACCCAGATAGAAAGTGTCAGAGAATCATCACCAACAGTAGAGGGATTACTATATGAAATGCCTATGAAAGTCATATATATAATTCTAAAACATGTGAAACATTGGCTCTGGTTACAATGAAGGATGTGTCACTTACTATGGGTCATAGAGAAAGAAAAACAGCCCTGAAAACTTTGGTTCTAGAAGTTACCAAGCACTTACTTAAAGAAATTATTCAAGTGGAAAAATAAGCTCCAAGAGTGGAAACTTGGAAAAAAATATCACTTGGAGAGTATGTACTTCTTGATAAATAACACAGTTTATGGTTATATTGAACAAATTGACCTTTAAAAATAGTGTGTGAGAGGGACAGGGAGGTTCCCTGAGGATGTAACAATTTTAAGCAGGAATTTTCCCAATTCTTTCCAGGTTAAAATGTTCACTAGTTGAAAAAACACATAGTCTTTATAAAAATCTAGGGAAAATTTTATGAAATCTATATTCTTTAACATTTGTTAAATAGCTAAATTTGTAGAAAACAAAGACAACACATTTTTGAATCAGAGATATAGGCAACATTCAGGTGTGTTTTTCATGTCACTCTCATCTTAAATCTTCCTCCTCAAGGACATAAAGGGAAACCTGGGGGCAGTGACATGGATGGCACCTTGAAAGAGGCGAATGGGCTGCAGATGGCAGATCTTCAGGGGAAAGGCAGCTTGCAGCCTAGTTGTTGTCTGACAGTGTAGGAAATAGATCTTTTTTCCTTGTGTGGGGTAGCTATCTGAGAATCAGCCTTTAGATCCTCATTCCAAAACTATTCTTCCCAGAAGTCAGTATGCTTCCCTAAGGAAGGCTACAGGAAAGCCACAGGGAAAGTGTGTTACTCAGTGCGGTCACAACCACAACGCTTACAAGTTTCCTTGGAATGTGGGTCAAATGCACATACACAAATACACATTCATGTGAAGGGCACCCATGAGAGTAAATAAAATATAAAGTAACCAGACAGGCATTCATCAGAAGACAACAAATGTTCTGAAACACCCTCCATCTACTCTGGCTTGTACATGACCGACAGCTATCTCCATAATCTATGGAGACACTGAGGTCCCCAACCTATGAACATATTCACGAAGTCAACAAACATTTATGGACACCTGTCACATACCAGACTATTTTAAGCACTAAAGGTAGAGTAATAAATCAGATAAAAATTTCTCACTCGGGGACTATACTTCATTGTGAGGGGAGAGGTGACATGCAGGTAAATAAAAACATGAGCTCCAATAAAAGGCAGAACAAGGACAGCAGAGATGTATTTTACACAGGGTGGTCAGAGAAGGCCTTTTTCATGAAACGAAAACTGAGCAGAGGCCCGAATGAAGTAAGGGTGGGGACAGGAAGGTTTTAGGTGAAAGAGCATGTCTGGCACAAAGAAAGCAAGTAGAGTCCTGAGGCAGAAGTACCTGTAGTTGGCCCCCAAAGCATCTGCACCTTAATTTTTGGGGCCTAGAATATGTTAGGTTACAGGGCTAAGGGTTATTAAAGCTGATAATCAGCTGACCTTAAAATCAAAGACAATTCTCTACTGCCCAGATGGACGCTATGCATTTGAAAGGGTCCTTCCACGTGGAAGAAGGAAATGTGACTACAGGAGAAGAGGCAGAGAGAACTGTTGCTGGCTGAGAAGATGGAGAAAGGGGAGGGCCACAGCTAAGAAAGGTGGAGGGTCTCTAGAAACCTTAAAGGAAAAGGAAGACTCCTCTATGGACTCCATAAAGAAATATAACTGTGCTGACACCTTGATTTACACCCAGAAGAACCACATCACACTTCTGGCCAATGGAATTGTAAGATAATTGATGTGTGTTGTTTTAGGCCATGATGTTTGTGGGAATTTGTCATGGCAGCAACAAGAAATAATGTTGCTGGCAGATCTGAGAATCAGCAGGAAGGACAACGTGGATGGAAGAGACAGAGCATGAGGGAGAGGATGCAGAGCAGGCCACAGAGGACTCCAGAAGCCACTTGGAGAGGTTTTAAGAAAAATGAGAAGCCATAAAAGATTTTGAGTAAAGGAACGACAGCTCAGAGACCATTGGAGGAAGGGTGGGAGTAGGGCAACCAGCACGAGGGTGGTTAAAATAATTCAAGAAAGAGGTTTGGCAATTTGGACCAGATAGCTAAAGGGGTGGAGAAAAGAAGTAAAAAACATGGGAGAACAATACCTCCAAGGACTCGTCTGGTTGGCGCTTACCTGTTTTCCCTTCTCTTTGGGTTGCAATCATCATCCAAAGCCTTTTTTCCTTCTCTAAGTGGACTGTGTCATGTTTGAAGGGGTGATGCCCAGGGAACATGTCAAGTCACACATTTAAAATGAACACACTTAGAGGTACAATTTAGTGGAAATTCAGAGTCCTATTGCATACTGCTCAGTTAGTCAAAATGAGTAAAAATGTGACCGACTAGAAGAAATACCAGTATCTCAAGACCTAGAGAGATATGCATAAAATGCTTTTATTACAAAACTTGATTCCTAACCAATGCCTATTTTCATTAAAGCTTCTCCCACTGGTTCTTACATCATCATGTAATTCGCCAGTGGTTTTGCTGCACTGTTTCCTGTTCTTCCTAACAAACTGATATTTCTCCCTTATATTATTACATTAAAAAGTGTTGGTACAAAAGTCAGGTCCATGGATGCAAGTGACCATTTTAAGACCCACAAATCCTTGAACACTTGAGGACACAAGCCACTCCTGGGGAGTGACATTAATTTAGAGAGGGCACCTGTCCTCACCCACTGAGACCAGGTTCCGGAAGTTCTCCAGCATCACGTCTCGATACAGCTTCCTCTGGACAGAGTCCAGCAGCCCCAGTTCCTCCTCCGTAAAGACCACAGCCACGTCCTTGAATGTCAGTTCTTCCTACAACACCAAACACATGTAACCTCAATCTTATAATCAAGGGCCACTTGAAAAGGGAGAGTGCTGAGAAGGTAGGGAACTTGAGCAGGAAGCAGTTTCAGATATTGAATGACTTAAGTCAATGTGTAGATCTCCCAGCCCCTCTCCTCTAATGCCACACACTGACTCTCCTCAGCCTCAGCAGTGGTGCAGCACTGACAATTGTCCTCATACTTTTATTTTGTGCCCTCACTGAGTCTAATCACAAGTAACCTCCAAGAACCCTAAATATGTATCCCAGGCTACATGTGATTTACTTTTCTGTGAACACTGCCATTTGCCCCTAGGAGCATTAGTAAGTTACTCCAAACATATTTGGTAGCACCTGCCTTCGTCCTCGTTCACAGGTGAATCCTGGATGCTATCACTTTTCTTATGTGGGTTGTCCTCTGTAACCTCAAGTCACACACTACATCTCTTGATTGCAGCAGTTGGTGTCACACTCTGAAGCCAACATGCCTCAGCGTGCATCCGAAAGGTGTGTCCTTCGTGAGCTGTGTGACCTTGGACAAACTTGCCTATGTGCCTGAGCTGCCTCTCTGTATAATGGTCCTTACCATGACTGAGCTCTTTCAAACATTAAACAAGGGAATACCTATAGCATTTGGGACAGTGTGTGACCAGCTAATTTCCTAATAAACATTTGCTATTCTTATTTCTTCTCATAATTATCAAATGTATTTTATCTCATTTCATGGCGGCATATTATTCCAGAGAACTGAAGACCTATACTTACCTGTTCTAAATATTTTACATATTTTTCTCATTATAACCTATCCTGCAAATCTACATTTTATGTAGCTTTTACTTTGCTATTTAAATAATTGCAAATGAAAATTAAAATGTCAAAAATAAGCATGTTTAAAATTATGAACATGTAATGACAGATTTTCCTCCCCAATTTTCCCCCCTATTTCCTGAATCTTTCAAGAAAATAAAAGCACCCTAATTCTCTCTATACAACAGCCAAGAGCAGGTTATAAAATTTCCCATGGTTGTGGTAATTTGATTTGGAAGAACAATTTGTTTTAGTATTTGCATTTTTTGATTTTAAATGAGTATCTTCACTTTCTTAAATGTTTATTAACAGTCTCTATTTCTCCTCTTGAACAGTCCTATTCATGTCCTTCATTTATATTCCATTGGATTTTTTCGTTAACCCTATGTATAAGATTCCTATTACAAAAAAACAAAACAAAACAAAAAACCAAGATTCCTACTATGAATTTTGGCATTTGTGTAGTAAATATTTTTTGGCATTTTGGGGGTAAATATTTTTTGTCCCAGGTTATTTTTTCTGGTAATTTTATTTTTCTGGTTATATTGTGTAGCAGGGGTGTGCCATCCGCAGCCTACTGACCACATATAGACCAGGATGGTTATGAATGCAGCCCAACACAGAATCATAGATTTACTTAAAACCTTTTTTTGGCGCATCAGTTTTCGTTAGTGTTTCTGTATTTAATGTGTGGCCCAAGACAACTCTTCTTCTTCCAGTATGGTCCAGAGATGCCAGGAGGTTGGACACTCCTGGAAGATATCTTTTACCACAGATGAATTTAGAAATTTTTATACAACTATGCTAATTGCAGTCTTTGTGTGTCAGGAGTGCTGAGCATCTCTGTGCACCTGAGGAGGAGCCATGACAGGAAGAGAAGAGACGCACCCCGAGAAGGGGTGGAAAATGGATGGAAAATGGGTTGGGCAACAGGAGCGCCACCTGTGGAAATCGTCACTCAAAAGGGCTCTCCAGGGCACAGATCATGAAAGGAACTCTTTCTTTCTTCTTATCAAGCTCTTTCGCTTGATCAGAATGCCTATCATTCCTGACCTTTGGTTTCCTGTGGGAATCTCAGCAGGTTTTTCATATGTCATGTGTTTAAGTTGAAGATGAGACCCAAGTATCCTCATTCAGCAGCTCTGAGGAGTAAATGCAGTCACACAGCACAAATTACTGATAAATCTTCTAGTATCTCTGGACATTTTAAACTAAGGTTCAAACTAAGTTTACTTTAGTCAAACTAATTACTATACAAAAGAAAAAAACACATACTAAATAAAAAACACACAAGGCCTGACTCAGGCATGGGGAAGATGGAATCTAACCCTTTCTGTGTGAAAACCTCCAATGATATTTGTGTGGAGCAATAGTGACAGTCTGCTGTGCCATGCTTACATTTGGATATTCTACCTCAAAAACAGCTAACTTGACACATATCAAATTTACTGTAATATAATTGGCAGATTGTTTTCACAATTGATTTTGGAGGCAAATATTTTATGTAACACAGCTGTCATTGCGGTGTTGCTTAAACAATAAATTCCACAGAGAGATGTAAAGTACGGCACAGGAAATACAGTCAATAGTATTTTAACAACTATGTATGGTGCCAGGTGGGCACGAGACTTAATGAGGGGATCACTTCATAAGTTGTTATATGTCTAACCACTATGCCGTACACCTGAAAACTAATATGATATTGAATGACAACTGTAATTGAAAAATAAAAATAACTTAAAAAAAACAGTAAAATTCCCAAGCCATCCAAATGTCTATGAGTGGCAAGAGGTTAAATATTATAAGGTATATCAATTCAATGAGAATATGATATAACCCTAAAAAATAAACATTATATAACATTACATATTATTTTATACATTAAGAAAATGTTAAGATAAAAGAGTGAATTTGCAAGAGTAAAAAAGAAACATTACAGGGGAAAAGTCACAATTTAAAATTAGATGTACAACATGAATACAAATACAGCTATGAGTGAACATGAGAAAAAGAGTTAATTTGTCAGTAGGCAAACAGCTAATCTGTCAGTAGGCAAACAGTAAAGTGGGAGAATTGTTCATTTCTAGTAATTTTTCTACTCTATAAAATAAGTAATATTAAAACAAAAACAAATGCAAAGTAAATTCAAAACCCTGGAGCATACCAGGTCCTCAATACCCATTGTTCTGCTTGAGTTGTCCCAAGAAAAACATGTGATAATCTGGTAATGAGATGGAATTTTAAAAGTGAGCAAGGCAAGCCCTACTCACCTTAAATTTGGTCATTTTTCCTCCTAGTTCTGGGGATGCGCAGAGTCCTGAGTGATACAGATCCCAGGAAGACAGAAGTGTATGCCTGGCAGTGCCTGCAAAGGTAAAGAACAAGGCTGAAAGAATGGCCTGGATGCTGCTCACCAACATGGACAATTCTTGTCAATTAGCTTGTGAATGTTTACAGCAGCATTAATCATAATAAATTTCCCATGGTTTTGGTAATTTGATTTGGGAACAACTGAAATGTTGACCTGTGTGTGAATAAACAAATTGTGGCATATCCATACAATGCAATATTATTCCCTGATTAAAAAGAATGAAGTACTGGTTATGGTAGAACATGGATAATCTTTGTAACAAAGGTCTATCTATTGCATTGTCCTTTTTATGCACTATCCATAATAGCAGGTCTATGGAGACAGAAAGTAAGTCATTGCCTAGGTATTTGGGAAGAGAATGGACATTAGCTAACTGTAATTGGGCAAGAGGACACCAATTGGGGAAACGAAAACCTGCTCCACTCATCGAAGTTATTAAAAATCATTGGTTTGTTACACCTGAAATGGGTAAATTCAACGATATGTATAATGTAATACAAATTGGTAAAAATAAATGTTAATCTACATGTCATTTAAATGAGTGAAACTAATTTATGGATTCTGAGTCCATACTGATATAATATTTATATTTGAAAGAATGAATAAATAAAGTGGGAGGGAAGGGGAAACTTGTCTTTATAGTGCAATGCCCAATAACAAATGTACTTGCCCAGAAAAAAACTATATTAATAAAAAAAAACACCATGATAGACATCGCCTTAGTTTAATGAACAAACTTGATTTCACCAAAAAGGGACAAACCAACATCCCTCAGCTCCTGTCATGTAGTAATGGCAAGGACACTTCACCACTTCTGTGGAATCCCTGCCAGCAATGCAGGATCTGAACCTAAACGTGGAATGTATCAGATAAACGCCAAGGGACTATCTTATAAATAACTTGACTCTATACTCTTAAATTTAAACACATTAAGAACAAAAAAGACAAAGGCTGTAGAATTGTTCTACATTAAAAAAAGAACATTAAGAGAAGTATAAAAATTTTGTACAGTGTTTGTAAACAAATGTATAACTTAAGGTCAATGCAATAAAATTGGACATTGAAATGGGGGGAAACACCGATTACACTGAGTCTGTGTTGCCTTTCCATGAGTCCTCCAGTGAAAATATTACATTATGAAGACTTTAAATGAAAAACAGAAGAAAATAAGTACATGACTGTGGATTATATAAAAGTATGTTATTTAGTATGTTTTCTAGCATTATCTAATAGGCAACACTATTAACCACCATTAGTAATAATTTATATGGAAGTTCATTAGTTTATTTTTTCTTGGCAGTGTTTGCAAATTTCTATAGTTAAAACAGGTAAGGGGAAAAACATTAAGAAAGGTATGATAAATTTTTCATAAAATGTTTATAATATACAAATATACATACAAAAAACCACTGAGCAAAAATGTATTAGACTTTTAACACTTGTTATATTTACATCCTGGATGAGTGGGTAATTACAAAATTGTCTTCTCTCATATTTCTGTAATTTCTGAACTCCATAATGATATGGTTCTATAAAAATAAGAAATATTTTTTGAAATAAGTGAAACTAAATAGTCGACAATGTTTTTTTAAAAATCACAGAAAAGCTGCCCTGGCTGGTGTGGTTTAGTGGATTGAGCACCCCCACCTGTGAACCAAAGGGTTGCTGGTTTGATTCCCAGTCAGGGCATATGCCTGGGTTGGTGGCCAGGTCCCTAGTAGGGGGCGCGGGAGAGGCAACCACACATGGATGTTTCTCTCCCTCTCTTTCTTCCTTCCCCTCTATCTAAAAATACATAAATAAAATCTTTTTTTAAAATCACAGAAAAGCCCATTAGCCTTGCTCTTGAGGTTCCCCACAATCAAGTCCTGATTCTTGCTAGTTCCTATGGCTTAGGGAGAGTATGTCCCAGATTATGAACTCAAGCTCTTAGGACGTGGACTTCCTAAATTCCAACCCCAGCTCACCCTCTTATTAAGTGGATGACTATGGGTGAAGACTTACGCTCCCTGGGACCCAATCTCATCTTATAGAATAGGAAAAAAGCAGTATGCATTTATTTGTATAAAACCTTTATCATCAAAGTAAGCAGTTAAGGATGAGTTATCATCAATGTTCATGCCCGATTACACATCCTACACTATCTCCAATTTATGCAAATATCATTGTAAAAGGAAAATGCCAAGTCCCACTGACGCGGAGCTTCGCTGACAGTTGCTAGGGGGTCACTCCCTCTACCCCTGAGCAGTCCTTTTTGAAAAGTCAGGCTGGGGAAAGAACAATGCTATGAAATGCCGTGATCATGCTGCAGTCCTCGAGAAAAGCTAAAGCTCCCGCTCCCTGTGTGCAATCAGGAAGCAACCTTCACCACCTTGCGCCAAAAGGTCCGGGATTAACCAGCCTCGTGCAGGGATCGGAGAGAAGAGGCAGGGTTACTGTAGCTGGAGCTTGACCCTAACCCTGGAACCTGACAGCTCCTGGGGAGATTGACACTAAGGAGAGATTATCATTCACCACGTGCCAAGAACTATTTTAAGATTTCAATTCCTAAAAACAATTCCATCAGTAAAGTCCTAATATCCTCATTTTAAAAAACAGCAATGAAGGCACGCGTAAATTAACTCCCCAATGCTAGGAGGTAGAAGCGCGCATGGAAGGTTTAAGGAGGCTGACTGGGCGAGCTGAGAGCCCCTGGAAATCTCAAACCAGGCGATAAACGACCCAAGCCCGTCCCACTCCGGGACGCCAGAGGCACCCCAAACGCATATAATCACCGCCGACCTCGCCCTACGTAAGCAGCGTCCGCCGCGGAGGCTCCTTTTCCCCTAAGTCGGTCGCAGAGTCATCGCGGATCCTGAGCATAGATGCAGAAAGTTTGCACGGGCCAGTGAGGCGCGGAACGGGCGTACCACCCCAGAAAAATACTGCAGCAACCTCACACTCCGAGAACGGAAGTGCCTGCGATAACACGAAGCTTTGAACTACATTTCCCAAAATGCACCAGACCCTCCTTCAGGAGCAGAAGAGCACGCGGTTACTCAAGGCGTCTGGACTACACTTCCCAGATTTCCGAAGGAAAAACGTTTAGGTATAGCCTCAGCCTGTAGGAAAAAGTGTTGTGACTACGGAAGCTGCTTGGCTACATTTCCCAAAAGGCTAGAGCGGTGACGGAGAGATTGCCACAGTGCAAACTTCCTTAGGGGGTAACGTGGATTCCTTCACTGGGAATCACTGTTAACTTTTCCTCAATCCACCAGCGAAAGTATTGCCTAGACACGACCTCCTGAAGGCGTACCGCGTCCAGTTATGACAGGAGAATTATTGAAAAGGAAACAAGTGAGGAGATACAATTTTCGAGAAATTAAGGAAGATTCGCAGTGTGGCGCTCCTTCAGGGAAGGGAGTTCGTGGACTCGAGACCCAGCTATAGGAGTCTGAGAGGGCACGTGACAGAGCGCCTTTGCCACCAGGGCAGCCATGATCTACGCGGCGCAGGCCGGAGGACACGGACAACGAGGACGAGCTGCCTCGCGTCTGGTAGTAGAGAACCACCAAAGACGGCTGGGTTTACTATGCCAGTCACACTGAGGAGGAGACTCAATGGAAACATCCGAAAACTGGAAAAAGAACACGAATAGCAGATTTGTGTATTTTGTCTACCATATAAATAAAAGAACTACCTATTTGGACCCAAGACTAGCATTTGTTGTGGAGGATAATTATACAAAGCCAACCACTAGACAGATATGATGGTGGTACCACAGCCATGTGACTTACAGGCTGGGATTTCACGGGCAAAGTGGCTGTAGTTACTGGAGCTGATTAAGGAATAGGTTTTGAAAGCGCCAGGTCTTTTGACCCTCATGGTGCTCACGTGATCCTGGCCTGTAGGAATATGACAAGAACCAATGAAGCCGTGTTCAAGCAATGACCCTGGACCTCGCTCTGCTCCATAGCATGCAGCATGTTGCTCAAGATTTCAAGGCCAGGGATGTGCCTCTACACGTGCTTGTGTATGACAGCAGCTTTTGCTCTACCCTGGAGCCTCACAAAAGATGGCTTGGAGGTCACCTACCAGGTGAATCACCTGGAGCACTTCTATCTTGTCCAGCTGCTTCAGGATGTCTCATGCAGCTCAGCCCCAGCCCAAGTCGTTGTCGTCTCCTCAGAGTTGCATAGGTTTACAAATAATGATTCCTCGGGAAAGCTAGACTTTAGCCACCTCTCTTCATCTAAAAATGACTACTGGGCTATGCTGGCTTACAACCCGTCCATACTCTGTAACATTCTCTTATCCAATGAACTCCATCGCCTCTCCCTGCATGGGGTCACATGGAACACAGTACATCCAGGAAACATGATGTACTCCTTCCTTCATCACAACTGGTGGGTGTACACGCTGCTGTTTACCTTAGTCAGGCCTTTCACCATGTCCATGGAACAAGGATCTGCCATCATCATCTACTGTGCTGCTGCTCCCGAGCTAGAGGGTCTAGGAGGGATGTATTTCAACAATTATTGCTGCTACCTGCCCTCCCCACAAGCTCAGAATGAAGAGATAAGTGGGGTCCTGTGGGCACTCAGTGAGGCTTTTCTAAGAAAGACTTGGCAGCCAAACCAGCTAAGTGGGAGCTCTGGTAAGGATCAGCACACCCTCCCCCCGAATCTATGTGTGCATGCATGTCACTGCCAGTGCTGGACACCTTCCAATTTATCATCCAGGGGCCTTTCCACGTCCTGCTGACACAGACCCACCAGAGTAAAGGAAGTAAGAGTAGTCACAGCAGATGGGAAAATGTTAAGTACCAATGGGAACCAGGGAATACCAGGGGTCAAATGGCAATCTGGGGCTGGCTTAGGCTTGGATCCCTTTGCTTTCCTGGTAGTGGCCTGTTTGAAAGTGAATGCTCAGTTGGTATGTGGGTTCCTCATCTCATTGTACAAGCACAGGCAATTCTCTTTGGTTAGAATAGTCTGGTGCCCTGTCCCCCACAGCCACCACCACGGCCACAGCCCACCATAGCCACACTGCATCCAGGAGCTTTCTCCTGTTTAGGTAAGAAGCCAGTGTTCATCCTTCTTTGCTGCATTATCCAGGAGATCATTGTTTCATTCATCCAGAGCACGTCTCACTGGACTTGGTAACTACTGGAGAACTCTGAACCTTGTTCCAGCTAGCCAAAATGAAGGTGACACCGAGAAATGGGTGGAATAGACAGCTACTGGATCACAAAAGTACTAGTCCAAATACTCCCTTGACAAACTGTACAAAAATTCTTTAAAATTTTTTAAAATTGATTTTAGGGACAGAAACATCAGTATTTTGTTCCACTTATTTATGCATTCATCGGTTGATTCTTGTATGTCACCTGACTGGGGACTGAACCCACAATCTTGGCATATCAGGACAACACTCTAACCAACTGAGCTGCCTGGCCAGGGCTATACAAAAAGTTATTTAGAGTTTGTAACAAATTCTGCCAAGCAGTCCTTCAATTCCTAGACAGGCAGGAAAGGCAGGAAGCATTGTATCTGTTAAGAATTTACAGGATAGTTTTGGGGTGGGGAATTCCCTTTATTCTTTGTTCACAGTTTCAATAAGTAACCCAAACATGGAAGTTTACAGCTTTTCAGATCTCCTGCTTTAGTATTCTCCTTAAAATTCCTGTTATTCCCTCATCTTATGCTTAATAAAAGAACATGCTTGAGTACTAAAAAAATTAACAGAGAATGACTGTCTATAGGACACCAGCTGATTGAAAGGAGTATGTTTAGTATAATGTGAAAATGTGAGGCTAAAACAGTTTAAGGAATGAGCAAGGTAGAATGATTTGGAAGGTACAATGAGTTGATGAAGAGCAACGAATCTACCAGCACCTACTGTGGACCCTGTGACACCACTAGTTTGGCAGGAAAGACAACTTGAGAGGGCAAAAGTGGAAGCCTGTCCTCATGGAAAAGTGCTGCCCTCATTTTAATTTTTCAGTCATTATTATCATCCCTGTTTTGGAGGTAAAAACATCAAATTTCAGAGAAGAAATTTTCCCACTATCTCAAACCAAGTGTAATAGCTGTAGAGCTCAGCATTGGAGTAATTTTGACTCTCAAAGCCTATGATTTAATGCCAGAGCACTGATGATGATTCTATAGGTGAGGGAGCATGTTTTAGCATTGATTTGTTTTTTAACTTTATAGTTCTAGTTAACATATCTTTATGATGGTGGTTAGCACTTTTAAAACATGTTACTGGAAACTAATTAAAAACTGTAAAGCAAATTTTAAGGAAAAAATGCACTTAGAATCCTTTTCCTTGAGGATATTTTCTTCACGTAAACATGTATGTTTATCAACAAACATACTATCAACAAAATGAAGTCTCATGTTCTGTATCCATTTTTCTAAACTCGGTATAAGCTGGACAGCTTCTAGTACCTGTCAGTGAAAATCTGACTCCTTCCAAATGATTGCTGTATAATGTTGCACTGAATGGACTGAGTATTAAGAATAAAACAGCCCCTAACATCCAGTGTCACTGATGTGGCACTCACAGGTAGGCCATGTTATCCTTTGGGACATAAAAGAATCACAGCATACCACCTTCAAATGAGGTTTCTGAGACTACGGTAAAGTGAGATAAAACAAGTCCCGTTCATAATTCTGTTTAGACACAGACACAAACAAGGTCACCATGCTACCCACACAATGCCAAACACCCTCCCCACCTTGGCTAAATGAGTAACTGCTACATCTTTACCATTTAAAGCTTTATCCTTGCTCTAATTTGCCCTCTCAAAAGTTAAATTTATTGCAATACTCAAAATTGCTCCCTTTTTCAGACACCATCCAATCTAGAGTGCTTCCTCAGGCCTTATCCCACACCAGAGAGCAAGGATCCAATCATTGCAAAAAAAAAAAAAAAATCTAATTATTTTCCCTTTCAGTACACAGCCACATTGGTATATAGCCAAATACCCCTTTGGGGAATTCTGGGGGAAAAGATTAACAGTACACATATTTGTAGTATGGCAGGTTCCACCCTGAAGAGGAACTGGTCTCTTCTTCAAGGGATTTTGGGTTTGTAAACTGGCCATATTTTATCATTGATTTAGGGGCTGTGACTGTTTTTTGGTGATTCAAATTAAGACATTCATTCATTTGACCTAGAACTTTATCACTTAAAAAATTAAAAAAAAAAAAGAGTTAGTAGACTTTCTATCTACTTATTTACTAGGGGTACCAAGATCAATAGGAAAGGTCAAGGAGCCAATACATAATGACTTAAAGCTTTCAAGTCATATAGTTAAGCTGGAATTTGAGGCCATGAACTCATCTTTCTCATTCCTTTCTCCAGCACAGTTAAAAGCAACCAGAAAATCCCATTATACTCCTTAGTTTGACCAATATGCTCTAAAGTAGTATCTCATAGACATTCAGTACCTTGCCTTCAGCAGTTACTTCACTAGGAGTAGCAAATGTGGTATTTTGTGTATTTTTCTCATACCAATGACTACCAATGCTCTAGTCTCCATGGGAAACAGTTGTTAGTGCCTTTAAATATTAGAGAACCAATTCCAGAAAACACAATTCAGAAAACTCACACTTAACATTGTTCCTCTAGAACCACTTTTGCAACAAAAATCATTTTTGGTAAGGGTTCAACCAAAGAAACAGAATCATCAGGAGTGAACAGAGATTTATTGCAAGAAATTGCCTTACAAGATTGTGGGGCTGGCTTGGCAAGTGAAAATCCCTAGGACAGGCCATCAGGAGGGCCAAAATGGAAAGGTGGAATGGTATTATCTTTCAGGAAGGTTCCAGTCCTGCTCTTAAGGACTTAAAATTGATTAAATCAGGCCACCTGAGATGATCTATTACCTTTCTCAAAGGATTATGGACTTTAATCACCTCTACAAAATATCTTCATAATTCCTAGGTTTGTGTATAATCAAATACTGGGAACTAGAGTCTAGGCAAGTTGCAATGTAAAATCGACTATCCCACCTATCTTCATGTGTAAGAAGCTGGTTAAGGAAATACTGCGTAGGAATTAGAAATGAGGGTGAAGGTCAATTTATTGAAATGACCTTCAACACTTGTTTCAATGAGTGAAAACACTGTAATTAGAAAATAGTATGGATCATGTTCTTAGTTTGTAAAATTCTATGTTACTTATATGCATATACTGAAGCATGCTCACCAAAATATTAATAGTGGGAATTCCTATTACTTTCCACCCTCTCCTTTGGACTGTCCTGTACTACTATGATTTGAGTATTTTCAATGAAAATAATATTTAAACCCTTCCCAAGAATTAAATATTTCTATTAAGATATGCATGTAACAAAATATCAAGTCTGTACAGAAGACAGGTGTTTTGAGAATTGCTTTAGAATTAGTGTGTCAAAGAAACAGCTATATTACTCAAATCTTTAAATGAATATCCTATCAGTATGGTTAGACTTCAGTAACTTGGGAAGCCTCTCTACTTTTTCAAACAGAGATAGTATGATGTTCTCTAACACCCCCCATTAAATGTGGCCATGTTAAAAGACAGGGAAATCCCCAGGGTGTGTACACACACACACACACACACACACACACACACACACACACGAAGTGAAGCCCATGGTGAAAAGCGGAGCTTGAACTCAATGGTCCCTCAAAGGCACAGGAAACCAGATGGAGCTAGGAATTAACTATTGAATGTGGTTGGGAGTCAAGCTCTCATGCACTTTGGGAGACATGAACATGAACCAGCTAGTCCCAGGTGTTGTCATTTCTTGTGATCACCTTGAGGACCCCTACCTACAGTCTTTTCAGTTTTAAAATACAAATATTTTTTATTTAATCCGGTGAGATTTGTTAAAAATAATTACCTTGGAGATAACTTATTTTGGTATTTGATGGCAGTTTAAAAAAACAACAGGCCCTAGATTTCTGATACATGTGCAAGAAAAATTAGTAAAGCTGTCCTGACTGTGATCCTTAGAAAGTCCTGCTTGCAAGGTTGGACTTTGGCTGGTGACAGGAAACATGGATTTTGGGAGTTTCTACCATTCCATAACTGGTAAGAGCTGTGCAGTGCATAAATTGCAATGTTGTTTATTCCTAACACCCACTTTCCTTATTGAAGTCCGGGATTTTGGTACATACTTACTAGATGGTGCTTACATGACCAGCCCTGAATAAGTACTAGTCTCTAATGAGGCCCTATTGTAGACATTTCATACATGGCCAAAATTCAATGCTGGAAGAATTGTACTGCTATGGGGAGAGGACTCTTAGAGCTTACACCTGATTTCCTTCAAACATCTTCCATGTGCTTTTTCCCTTTACTGATTTTGCTTCATATCCTTTCACTGTAACATGGTCCTAAGTCCCACTACATCCTGAGTCATGCAAGGAAACCAGAGAACCTGAAGGTGATCTTAGGGACTCCTAAACCACCTTGCAAATTGAGATAGCATGGATCTTAGTAAGTACATAGAAATCTGTGAAGATATAGTACAGAAAATTATGAAAATTAATTTACCTCTATTAAACTTTGCTAAGTAAAGCCATTTAACCTAAAACAATTAAAATACCACCATGGTGTAAGAAATTGGAAATGGCATTTAAAACTACTCTTTGTCCTTGGAGGCTCCATCATGCTGTTTCCTATCCATCCACATCTTTTCTTCCAAGATACATTTTTCTTTTTAACCAGGAGAGAGTACAAATGCAGCCCCCCCACTACCACAAATTATGCAGTGAGTTTCCCACATCTGGGGGAAATCATAGGGGTCAGTACACCCAGGGTGCAATGGGTGAGCCTCACCCTGGGAAAAACACCTCCATGATCATGGTATCTCCCCTGCCAGGTAAGTATCAAGAAACTTTTTTAACTTCCACATGTGTATTCCCACTTTATTTCTATTCCAGTACTTGCTCACTCTCTGCCTTATGCTTTAAGATGCATCACATGCATTAACTGCAAAGACAGTTGATCACACTCATTACTTTATCTGTGTATTCAAATTAATTTATCTGTGTACTCAAGTAACCAGAAAAATTTCTGAGTACTGGCTGAATCCTATTCTTTAATTTTGATCTTATGTGTCATATAATAATGTAGCACATTAGGAGTCCTTACCTGTAAAGGATTCATATTAATCATTTTTCAAATTCCATTGTACATAATTTACAAGTTTGATCAAATTGATGCTCACTGAAAAAACACATGAATTATAAAATGGAAATATCACCAAATAATCCTTGCCAGAGATCATTACTAAGAGTATCCCTTTACACACACACACACACGAATTTAATTCCACTATGAAGGCCAGTCTGATATCACGAAGCCCATATTATGTTGTTCTCCTGTTATTACATGTTCCTGCCATCATTTTAATGGTCCCATGTTATTATGAAAATATATAATTTAAACAAATTCCTATTGATGAACACTTGTTATTTCTAGTCTAAAAATTGTATGGCATTATTGATGTGGTAATTCACTTTTCCAGTCTTACATTAAGATTTTCAAATCAAAGAGTCACACCTTACACAATCTGTTATATCTGATTTTCTAAAGATGCATTTTTACCAAAAAAGAAAAGTATGTAAGTGTTATTCCTGCACCACTCTGAAATACATTTGAAATGACCAAATCCCAACAAGTTCTTCTGGCACTTACTTCATGGGAATAAGGGAAGAAGGTAGGAAGTTGAGAAATTAAATGTCCTTCAAATTTGGCAAAGCCTCTACTACAGAAGTTTGACAAAAGAAATGCTACAATTAAAAGGCAATCATATCACACCCTAGATGGAAATACAGAAATTTAAAATTCAATGAATTTAAAATTAAGAAAACTTTTGTCACTAGTACAAAATCTGACACTTTTAATGGGTTACTTTGAACACCTGCCTTAAGACTGACTGTTCAGATTTCTATTGTGATATGTGCAGTAGCCAGTCATTACAAAATTAAACTGTATGCACTATGAGAAAAATCAAGTGATATACATGAATTTATACTATATATACCAATGGGACACCAGACAGAAACCCAAGAAAGAACCCAACCTAAAAAAAATAAATAAATAAAAAATTGAACCCAACCTCAGAACAGAGCCAGAGGGTAGGCCAGGAGTCAACTGCAAGGATACCATGAAAATAATGCTGTCAGATACCGTACCCAGTGTATTTCTGCATTTCAACTTGTTTCTTTCTCTGAATTGTTTATTTTTGCAGGTTTCTTTTTCCAGGTAAGTTTTATATATTATATATTTTCTCCTTGAGTACATATACAAAGTACTAATCAATGTTTAGGTTGTGTAGGTTTTGCAGCAAACAGGTTCCCTGCCTTCATGCCCTCATCGCACCTCTTGTATGGTTTTAGAGTCACTGGGATATGCTGAGCAATGGCTGAAACATTCACTCTAATTAAATAATTTTTTTTCTCCCTCTGAGAATGGATGAAATTTATCACCAATATGGCTTCTGTAATGAATTTTAAAATATGCACTTGATCTGAAGTGCTTACCACATATCTCACACTTGTAAGGTTTCTCCCTTGTGTGAACTCTCTGGTGAGACTGTACATGTGCAAACTGACTAAAGAGCTTACCACACACATCACACTTATATGGTTTCTCTCCAGTATGGACTCTCTGATGAAGTTTAAGATGTGAGGCCCTGCTTAAGTGCTTTCCACACACCCAACATGTATACGGTTTCTCTCCCGTGTGGATGCTCTGGTGCACATCAAGATCCAAGCTTGTCTTGTAGCCTTTCCCACACGTCTCACATTTGTATGGCTTTTCTGTGGTGTGGACCTTTTGATGAGCTTGCAGGTATGATTTCCGACCAAATCTCTTCCCACACTCTTCACATTTGAACGGTTTTTCTCCACTGTGGACTCGCTGATGGGCCAATAGATGTGAAGCCCACCTGTAGCTCTTCCCACATTCCTTACAATCATAGGGTTTCTCTCCTGTATGGATCCTCTGATGGTAATAAAGATCTGCCTTAGAATAGAAGCTTTTCCCACACTCCTCACATTTGTATAGTTTCTGTCCCATGTGGATGCTCTTATGGATGTGAAGATGTGAATTCCAACCAAAGCACTTCCCGCATTCCTCACATTTGTACGGTTTCTCCCCCGTGTGGACCACACAATGACTGTTAAGTGCTGATCTACGACGGAAGTTCTTCCCACATATATCACATTTGAACGGTTTCTCCCCAGTGTGGACCCTCTGATGGTTGTGAAGATGGTGAGCATGAATGAAGGCCCTCCCACATTCCTCACACTTAAAAGGTTTCTCTCCCGAGTGTAATTTGCAGTGGTCACTAAGTGTTGCTCTACGACTGAAGCCTTTCCCACACTGCTCACATTTGAACGGTTTCTCTACAGTGTGGACTTTCTGATGAGTTTGCAGACGTGAACTATGACTGAACTCCTTACCACACTTACCACACTTGTAGCGTTTCTCTCCCAAGTGAACTCTCTGATGAATATGGAGTGCTGAGCTATGGAAGAAGCTTTTTCCACACTCACCACATGTATGAGACTTCGCTCCTGACTGTCGGTGAGGATTAAAGTTGGAGATATCACTGAAGAATTTTTTACACTCATTTTCCTCATACATTTGCTGCCCTGTGTGAGTTATAGACAGTCCTGCCCCATCCTGGCTGGTTGAATCACCCTGTTTGGGAAACTGAGAACTCTTTATCATGGAGTCTTGCCTCCTGATTAGATCATCTGCAATTCTTTGCCAGATATGCCAGCAGGAAAACTCTTCATGTGGGTCCGCTTCTGGGACAGTCTCCATCTCATATTGGATCTTGCCTCCTATAGGGAGAGAAAATGCAAAGTTGTGGACAAGGGAAGACTTTGTTCAGTGTCTTCAAGTTTTCAAATTTGGGGAGAGCATGAAACTTCAATAAATTCAGGGACTATTCACTATGATCTTTGGGTATGAATCATGGTCTTTGGTTTACATGCCTACAGAAACCAAGAGGTAGCCCAGTAGGCTCTTATCCACTAAGCATCAATAAAACCAATTTAGAACCACACCAAGTCTCCCATGTGAGGTACAAGTTATTCTCTTTTTTTGTTTATTTTCTTTACATGAGGTACAAGTTAGAAATCAGAGACTTCGTAACAAAATACAGTAATATGATACATGTTAATCCACTGATATTTCTAATGAATTTCATAATCAGTGTAAATTCTTGGATAGTAAATTATGCAGCAAATAAAATTATATCCACAATAGCACTGGCCAGGGGGCTTAGTTGGTTGGAGCATCTTTCTGAACACCAAAAGGTTGTGGGTTCAATTCCCAGTCACGGCACATACCTAGGTTGTGAGTTGGATCCCAGATTGGGGGGTGTATGGGAGGCAACCAATCAATGTTTTTCTCTCACGTCAATGTTTCCCTTTCTCTCTCCCTTCCTCTCTAAAATCAATAAATATGTCTTCAGGTAAGGATTTTAAAAAACTATATACACAATGAAGTATGAATCAACACAAACTTTAAGGAAAACTAGTAACATAATCAGTATTTTGTATATTTGGGTTTATGTTACCTATCTTTAGATAGCAAAAAAATTAATCTTACCAAATATGGGATCTGGTCTTTGCCCTCAACATCAGAGAGATAAGCTTTAAGTATGTGAAATGTCATGCCTGAAGAGTACCTGAGAGTGTTGGGTCACATTGGCTGGTCTAACAGTATGATTTAGGAATGAAGCTGACCATACTAGAAAGACCAAAATGTGACTGTGGAGAGCTTTCAGTTCCCCAGTAGTGTGAACCAGGAGACTGAAAATAACCACATGAACTATTCAATACACACTGGCCATGTGATGGAGCTGCAGTAATTACTCTGGACACTCAAGCTCCGGTGGGCTTCCCTAACTGGTGATACCCTGTGTATAATTTCACACCATTATGTTGGAAAGTAACACAGAAACACATATCCTTGACTCCACACAGACAGGACAATGGAAGCTCTGCATCTGGCTCCTCCCTAGGCTCCCTGCCACGTGCCTTTTGTCTTAATTGTAAGGCATATCTTTCTCTGCAATGAACACTAACCATGAGTAAAACAGCATTCAGTGAGTTCTACCAGGTCTTCCTGGAGACACATTCAATCTGAAGGTAGTTTTGGGAACCAACCCCCGAAACTTAGTTATTAAGTGCAGGAGGAGGAAAGTAAACTAGTCCCTCTAAACTTTGTAGTTGGCTGAACACTTTACAATCTTATATATCAATAACCTAGAGTTGTTTGTATCTATACATACAAATTATTCCAGCAAATCTACACAATACGTGTGGTTCATCTTATTTTTCTGTGTGGGTAAACACAGTAACTTAGTTAAGACATCTGATAAAAGAACTGCACTTTTGCTATGAAGCCAAATCTGTATCCCACAGGAATAGACAAAGAGTGATGCTACAGATGAGGAAATTAAAGGGTGAAAAGAACATACGAGGGCCAATATCATGGCTTCTTCTGAGGCTTCTGGACTGTCTTTCAAAACAGAGTGTGGAAAAACTTTGGATGGAGAGAAACTGGGCTTTCACACCAGTTTTTCAGATTGAAAACTGTAGCACTTTACTAAGCTGTAAAAGAAATTTAAAATCATGCAATAAACATTTGAAAAAAAGAATCAGAATAGAAACTATCACAGCATCATCACCAGAGGAATGAGGCCATTGCACGAACTGTCTACACACATTTAGTATTTCCTTTGGTTACAGTGGTAGATGCATTTCTCAGGGTGGCTTGTTGTATAAAAAGTTTGAAAACTTGGTTCAGGAACTTAGGAAGTCCTTAATTAAACAAATTATTCAAGTGAAAAGATAAGTTCCAAGGATAGAAACTTGGAGAAATACTACTAGGTGACTGCGGAGCTCTTAATGGGTACTGTAGTTTAAGGTTCAATTTAATAAACTTTAAAATAGTTTTGGAGAGAGGACATAGAAGTCTCCCTGAGAGTGTGACAATTTTGAGCAGGCAGTTTCTTTATGCATTCCAGTTCACCAGTTGAAAATGAAACAATATGTCTCTGTAAAAGTAAAGGAAAATCATGTGAAATCATTATTCCATATTTGTTTAAAGGCTAAATTTGTAGAAAATAAGCCACAGAAATATATACATTTTTGACAAAAAATGACCAGGAATAGACAACATCCAGGTGTGTGACCATTGTTACTTTCATCCTCATTCTTCCCCTTCTAGTACATGGAGGAGAAAACTGGTGACACTGAAGTGCATGTTGACTTTGTTAGAAGCAAATGGCAGCAGATGGGCAAGTGAGGCAGAGGCAAGGTGGCCTGCAAGCTGATTACTGTCTGAGTTCAGGATATGGAGTTGTTTTCCTATTGTGGGAAACTGTCTAGAAGGAAACACCGGAATCCTCATTAAAGAAAGTATTACTCCCCAAAAATGAATATACCCCCTATGGAAGGCTCAGGGAAAGCATGATCCTCAGTGTGGTCACAGCCACAATGCTTAGACCTGGGATACGGATCAAGTGTACACACACAAACACATAATCATGATAAATCAAAGTAGAAATTGGATGGGCAGTCATGTGGAGATTAGAAATGTTCTCAATATCTTTAATTTGCTCTGTCGTATGCATCACTTATTAGCTGTTTCCATGAGACATGGAGTGATTTGCGGTGAAAAGGAAAAATAAGGGCCGATGCAATAGTTTCTTATGTGGGTTCTGGACTGTGTGTTTAAAACCAGTGTGGAAAATCTTTGGATGTAAATAAATTGGTCTATCATATCAGTTTTTCAAATTGGAAACCACAGGTCTTCAGTGAGCAATGAAATAAATTTAAAAGCTTGTAATAAGCATTTGGGAAAATAAACAGAATAGAAACTATCAAAACATTACCACCAATCCTGGCCGGTGTGGTTTAGTTGGTTGGATTGCCAGTCCTGAGTCAAAAGGTCACAGGCTTGAATCCCAGTCAGCACATGCCTAAGGCTGCGTGTTCGGTCCCCAGTCAGATCATGTATGAGAGGCAACCCATAGATGTTTCTTTCTCTCTCTCTCTCCCCTCGCTTTGCTTCCTACCCCTTCTAAAATCAGAAAGCATGTCCTTTGGTGAGGATTAAAAAAAATAATCGGTAGTAGCAGGAAAGACAGTAAGGACAGTAAGGTCCACCTATCCAATAACTCATTCATTAAATCAACAAACATTTACAGATATCTGCAACGTCCCAGGACTATTCTAGGCACTGAGTACACAGCAATAAACAAAACAAATACAGTTCTCCTCCTGCCCTTGCTGGTGTGGCTCAGTGGACTGGGCACCAGCCTGTGAACTGTCATGTTGCTGGTTTAATTCCCCGTCAGGGCACGTGCCTGGGTTGGATTGCAGGCCGGGCCCTCAGTTGGAGGCAAGAAACAGGCAACCAAACCATATACCTCTCCTACTTTTTCTCTCTCACTGCCAGTCTCTGTAAAAATAAATAAAATCTTTTAAAAAATAAAATAAAATTGTAAAAAATATCTCCTCCTGCAGATTACATTTCACTGGGAGAGGGAAGTAATAAACAAAAATACATTAGACACAGTATCAGTCAAGTAAAGATACGATTGTATTTTAAATAGGGTGGTCAAAAGGCTGGTGTCATGATATTGAAGTAGAACAGGCAATGAAGGAAGAAGGGCCAGTAGGATTTTAGGTGAGAGTATTCTAGGCAGAAAGAAGAAGAAAAGGGCCTTGAGGGGAAAGTTTCTATAGTATACTTTGTAACAGTTCCTGAGAGACGTCCACATCCAGTCCCCACAACCTATGAACATGTTATTATACAGCAAAGAGGAACTGGGTTGCAGATGCAGTTAAGGTTGCTAATCAGCTGACCTTAAAAATGGGAAGAGCATCTGGGATTATCTGAGAGGGACCAATGTACTCAGAGGTGTCCAGAAAGATGGAAGATGGAGTCAGAAAAGTGGCAGAGGAAGAGTATAGTAGAATGGTCAGAAATGCAATGTTGATGGCTTTGAAGATGGAGGAAGGAAAACAAGAGCCAAGGAATAGGGCAGACTCTTGATATTGGTAACTGAAGGGAAAGGGTTTTCCCCTTAGAGCTGTTCGTATCCTAGAGATGGTCTTCGTGTTGCAGCAGAAGTGATTCTTTGGAAATGTATGTCACATTGGCCAATTCTCTGTTCAAAATCTTTGGCACCTGTAGACACCTTCATTTTAGCTCAGAGAAATGTCAGACTTTACACCTAAAGAACTAAAATATAATCAAATTTTGTTGTTACCTCTGTTATGTTTACAGTAATTTGTTACAGCAGCAATAGGCAATATACAGTATCCTTGGCAGGTCTGAGAAATAGCACGGAGGACAATCTGGGTGGGACAAATGGAGGAAGTGGCAGGAGCACGGGGAGCAGAAATATTCAGAAGGAGGGGAGACACAGAGAGGACCACAGGGGACTCCAAAATCCAAAAGGCACTTTAACTGGTTTTTAAAAAAAAAGCCATAAAAGATTTTGAAGAGGAAAATGGCAATCTGACTTACATTTCCAAAGGATTATGTTGGCTTCTATGTGAAGAACAGATCTAGGATAGGAAGAGTGAGCATAAGGCTACCAGTACCAAGGTGACTGTAACAATTCAGGAAACATCTGGGAATTTAGAACTACGTGATGGAAATCAGTGTGGAGAGAAGTACAACAGATGGGAGAGTTGCCTGCAGGACTGCAGGCTGTTTGTTCTCACCTGAACTTCCCTGTTCTTTGGGTTGCCATTTTATTTATTTACTTTTGGGGGGAGGGGAGGGGAAGAAGAGCGAGCGAGAGAAATAGCAACGTGCAAGAGATACAGGGATCAGTTGCCCCCAACCAGGGACCTGGCCCACAACCCAGACACATGCCCTGACTGGGAATCGAACCAGCGGCCTTTCAGTTCACACACTGGCACTCAGTCCACTGAGCTACACCAGCCAGGGCTGGGTTGCCATCTTCATCATCCAAAACTCTTCTCCCCTTAGTAAGTGGACCATATCTTGTTTGAATGATTGATGCCCTGTTAACATGCAAAGTCACATCCTTAAAATCAAAACATTCTAGGTAAACATTCCTGGAAAACTAGGTTCCCACTGTATACTCTTCTAGTAATCAGAAGCAGTGCTTTTCCAAACCTTTTTTTCCATAACCAATTTAAAGAAATGCCATTTGTTAAAACCCAAACACATACCTAGAATGAGTTAGGAAGTTCTTTCTCCTTGACCTTGTTGGAAGAGTGTGAGAAGGATTGATGTTATCTAACTTATTTCCTTAAATATTGAGAGTAGGACTCAACAGGTTTTATAACTCATGATAGGGTCAGAAACTGGTAAGGTAGAGCAGCATACTGTGGGCTTACAGTTCCTTAATGAAACACAAACTTGCCTGTTGATAAAAACCAAAATAATTCCCTGTGCCCCCCACATATAGGGTGGGGAAAAAGCAGGTTTACAGCTGTGAGTACCTAAAACACAGTTTATTCTTGTCTTATTATTTATTAATTATTGTGTTATTTTCCATACAAACAACTGTATACCTACTTTTGCCACACCCTGTATTAGAAAAATCAGATCCCTAAATTCAGGGAACCATTTCAAAGTCCCCAAAGCCTGGAACACCCAAGGATACAAAGCCACTCCTGGGAGCTAACATTCAGTTAGAGAGGGTGCCTGTCCTCACCCACTGAGATCAGGTTCCGGAAGTTCTCCAGCATCACGTCTCTGTACAGCTTCCTCTGGGACGTGTCTAGCAGCTCCAGCTCCTCCACGGTGAAGATCACAGCCACATCCCTGAACGTCACTGCCTCCTACAACATCAAACACAGGAAACCTCAATCCCACAACCAGCCTCCACTGTAACAGGGAGAGCACTGAGTAGATGTTATCTGTCCTTTCAAACAGAATGGCTAATATTCCTTGACCCTTGCTTGGTTTCCTGAGTGAACCTAAGCAGGTTTCTAATATTTTACCTACTTAAATTGACTATGAAACCAAGGACCTCCTTATCTAGCAGCTGAAAGGAGTAAATGCAGAGATAGAACTAAGTGCCTGGACTACCCAGCAAAAATGGACTTTTAAAAAAAAAAATTTTTGGAGAGAGGGGAAGGGAGGAAGACAGGGACAGAAACATCAACTGGTTGCCTTCTGCAAGCACCCCAACCTGGAAGGGAGCATGGAGCCTGCAACCCAGGCATGTGCCCTGACTAGGAATCGAACCAGCCACTTTTTGGTTTGTGGGAGCCACACCAGCCAGGGCCAAGGCTGGACGTTTTTTTTTTTGTTTTTTTTTTAAAAAAGGATTTTATTTATTTAATTTTAGAGAGGGGGGAGGGAGAAAGAAAGGGAGAGAAACATTGATCAGTTGTCTCTCACACACACCCCAACCAGGAACCAAACCTGCAACCAGGCAACTGCCCTAACTGAACTGGCAACCTTTCACTTGGTGGGACGATAACCAACTGAGCCAACCCGGTGAGGGCAAGACTGGACATTTCGAACGAAGGTTATACCTTAGTTAATAACTGAAGGCAACCAAGATGTCCTTCCAGTGGTGAATAGGTAACTGTGGTACATCCAGACCACAGTATTACTTAGTGCTAAAAAAAAAATGAGGTATCAAGCTACAAAAAGACATGGAAATGACTTTAATGCATATTACTAAGTAAAAGAAGCCAGTCTGAAAGGCTACATATGTATGATTCCAACTACATGACATTATGGGAAAGAATAAAATTACAGAGGCTGAAAAGGTCAGTGTTTGCCCGGCGTTGCAGGAAGGAAAGATTAAAGAGGTGGAGTACGGGGGGTTTTAGAACAGTGAAACTACAGTATATGACAGTGTAGTGGCAGGGACATGTCATTATAGATTTGTTTACACCTGGAGAATGCACACAAAGAGTGAACTCTAATGTAAAGTACGGGCTCTGGAAGACAATGTGTCAATGCAGGTTCACTGATTCTAACAGAAGTACCAACCTGGTGTGGGGGGATGTTAACAACGGGGGAGGTCCTGATCGGTGTGGTTCAGCGGGTTGAGCATTGGCCCACAAAGCAAAAGATCACTGGTTTGATTCCCAGTCAGGCACATGCCTGGGTTGCAGGCCAGGTCCCCAGTAGGGGGCGCGTGAGTGGCAACCACACTGATGATTCCCTTCCTCTTCCTCCCTCCCTTTGCCTCTGTCTAAAAATTTAAAAAAATAAAGTAAAATAAAAATGCGTTATCATTTTATTTTAAAAAATTATTTTATTTTATTTATTTTTAGACAGATGGAAAGGGAGGGAGTATGAGTGGGAGGGAATCATCAGTGTGGTTGCCTCTCGCACGCCCCCTACTGAGGACCTGGCCTGCAACCCAGGCATGTGCCCTGACTGGGAATCGAACCAGCAACCCTTTGGTTCGCAGGCTGGCGCTCCACTGAGCCACACCAGCCAGGAAATGTATTATCATTTTAATAGAAATATTACATAACCATAAATAATAAATGCTATAATATTAAATGAAAAGCCACTGTTTAATATTAGATATAATCATTAATATTAATAAAGCTATAGATGCACATGAGGAAGAGAGTAAGAGAAAATAATAATTAATGTGCCAGCAGTGACATAATAAAGTTGGAGAACTGATCATTTCTATTAATTTGTCCACACTTAATTTTTAAAATAAAATTAATAATGACAAAATAAAACAAACAAGTACAAAGAAAACAGGCCTTTAAATGCTTGATGTTCTCCTCGAGTCATTTCAAGAAAGAAAAAAACATGATCTTCTGAGTAGTGAGATGAAATTTTAACAGTAAGAAAGGTGAGCCATATGTACCTTAAATGTGGTCATTTTTTTCGTATCACTTCTGCAAATGTACAGATTCCTGAGATATGGAGAGTCCTGGCAGGCAGCACTGTGCCTGATAAGTGTCTGGAAAGACAGAAAAAGGACATGAAAGGTTACCAAGAATGTTGCTTGCCTCCATGAATGCTTTCTGTGAGTCAGCCAAGCAGCCCCTTTCTTGAGGTGGCTGCGGCTGTACACAGCTTGACGAGATCATAAAAGGGCATACGATTCCTGCAAAATACATACTAGTACCATCTCCAACGTTGTACTGCGTCTCCCAAGGTAGAAAACTGGATTCCAATATGATACAAAGTGAATCATCTCTGGGATAATATCTGGGTTCAAATCTTAGTTCAACCTCTCCCATAGCTGAGTCGTCTTGGGCAAATTAATGATAATATCTCTTTTCCTCAACTGTGTCCTCTGTATACCTGAGAGAACATTTCTTCCAACTTAGTCGAACTGTTCTGAACTGGACAGGACTTTGAATACCATCCAGGGTTTCTTACTTTTGTAGCTATAGTAAAAAAAGATGACACTTTGTAATATGAAGTTGGTCTTACAATATGATCATTACCAAAAGACAATGTATGATACCTGGACTTCTGATTGTTCTGTGAATGTCACTCACAACTTCTGAAAAATCTGTTAACTCTGTCTCACTGTCTTCCCTAATAATGTGTTACCTTAGCAATAACTTTTAAATTGCCACAGACAAATGTTTCTGGAAACAAAACAAAACAAAACAAAACATGGTTTCTAGTGTCTATTAAGAAGCACAAGATTCTGGTAAAGATTTTTGGAAAACAGCTTTGGTAGTTTCTCAAAAAGTTAAATCTAAGGCTAGCAGTTAACCAAGTAATTCCACTCCTATGTATCTATCCAAGAGAAATGAAAACATATCTCCACACATAAATTTACACATAAGTGTTATAAAACTGTTATTCATAAAAGCCCCAAACAGGAAACAACTAAAATGTCCACCTATGGGTGAATGGATAGGGAAAGTGTGATATGTCCACAATGAAATATTCATGGACAACAAAAAGGAATGAAATCATGATATATATTACAACATGGATGTTGAAACACTGTAAGTGAAAGAAGCCAGCCACAAAAGACCACATATTATATGATACCATTTAAATAAAAGATTGACAATACAGAGACACAAAGTAAGCTAGTGGTTGTCTGGGGTATGGAGACAGGGATTAATTATAAATGGGATTAAACAATCTCACTGTAGGAATGAACATGTTCTAAAACTGAATTATGGTAATAGCTGTACCACTCAATAACGTTACAAAAATCATTGCTTTGTACACATGCAAAGGCAAAATCCTTTCATGTAAAATATGTTAATTACATTGTTTTTAAGAATCATTTGATAAACTATATCTCATTTAAGCTAACGAGACTGGATTCTGAGTCCATATATAGAATTTATATTTGAATGAATGAACAAGTGGAAAAAACAAGGAAGCTCATCTTGACTAATAAAAATGTCTCTCTATAGGAAGGTGCTTACAAAAAGAAAACTAGAAACTTCAGTGGACTAATGGGACAGACATCTCCTCCAAGTGAACAAGGCTGACATCAACAATATAGAGCCAAAAAACTTCCTTTGATTCCTGTTATGTTGGCTGAAAATTATACCTCATCAACTGTGGAATTTCTGCTAACAATGAATCAACTAGTAAAATACATGGGGTAAACTTCAAATGATGAATTTTCTCCAAAATAACCTGCCTACACCCTTCAAAAACACCCTGAAGAAAATGAAGGAGACTGAGGAATCATTATGGGTTAAAGGAAACAACAGAAACTAGATAGCAAAAAGCAATCCATAATATTGGCCTTAATTGCAGGGCAAACAGTTTTAAAGATCTTAAATGAAAAACATGACAAATTTAAACATGAACAGTGCATCAGATAACAGTATATTAACAATATAATTAATTTTCTGATTTTGATCATGATACTCTACTTATGGAAGAGAACATCCTTGTTTGCAGTATACAAATATTTAGAGGAAAAGACGACCTGTGTCTACAGCACAATTCAAATTTTTCAGAGGGAGAAAAGAGAGGTAGGATAAAAGTATGAAAAAATGGCAAGGGCAGCTGCTGATAGCTGGCAACAGCTAGGCCTTGCTGTTTTCAACGTGCAGATAATTTCTAGAATACCAACGGTTTTCAGGCTGTTCGTAACAATGGTACAACAAGAAATGCAGTCCTTTTTGAGAAGTAAAAGCTGGGGGGAGAAAAGGAATGTCTGAAATTCTATAGTATGTTACTGTTTTAAAAAAACAAAATTCAAATAAGTAAATTGTGAAGATCTTATTAGCTTTGTTCATAGATTCACGAATTGGGAAGCATCTAATCTAGCAAATAGAAAGGAGCTCCCAGGAGCTGTACAAAATGAAAGACTTTTTAAATATGCAGGAAGGTGCAACAGTTAGGAAATTACATTAGAAAATAAAGAAGCTTGGTGATTGCAAAGTCGCATTCCTTTAGGGGATGGCATGGGTCCAATCAGACAGATGACCTAATTAGCGCCAAACTGGGGATTCCTGATCAACTAGTTTGATTCCTCTGGGAGAGCTGAAACTATCATTAAGTCTCAGTTCGGTGACATGGGACTGAGCATTAAGTAACTCCCCTTGGGGCCTCGTCTTGTTTTTAACATCTCCGTCCACGAGAAATCAGGGTGATACTGTGCCTTCCCCACTTCCTCCTCCTTTTCAGCCACAAACGGTTTGGAAATCCAGCTTCTTTACACAGATCAAAGAGAAGTGCCCGGGCAATGCAGCTGGAGCTCTAAACCTTCCGAACCCCTGGTTTTCAGAGAACTGAGCACTCCCCCAAACTGAAAAGCATTAATAAAGAGAAGCCACTATTCATGCCTGGTAGGAACCGCCTTAAGACTTTTATTTATACTGTCACATTTAATTCTCAAACCGCTGTATTAGGAAGGTAGTAACGTCATCCCAATTTCACACAAAAACATAGGAGACAGAAATTTAGGTAATTCGTCCGATGTTTAACCGCGGGAAACCGCAGAACGAACGGAAGATGCGCGGCCTGAGGAGGCGGAAAGCGCCGGAGATGCACGACCGACCCGTCCCCAAAGCAGAGAGGCTCCGCCGAGAGGAACGCCGGTCCCTCAAGCCCCGAAAGCATCGCTTTCCGACACAACCTCTTGCCCCTAAATCAATGGGCGGGTGGTACCAGGACCCAGGGAAGTTCAGAAAGTTGGCCAGACACGGAACCGACTTACCACAGCGAGGGGAATGCACGCGGTAACCTGGCACCCGGAGCGAAAGTGCTACGCTGGGAAATACACTTCCCAGAATTCCCCTGCCCCGGCTGCCTATGCGGAAGTATCCGAGTCTCTAGGGCATCTGTGACTACATTTCCCAGAAAGCCTGAGGCGGACGCGGGCCGTTTTCTCACCCTCCTCAGGCGAAAGTGATTAACACTCCTCGGAGATAGGCCACAAGTCCCACAGAACGCCTGAGAGCAAAGATCACACTGTCCACTGCAGGGCGGTAATGCGAATAGCTACTCGGAGGGCTGGTGTTACCCGCTCCTGAATCTACGAGCGGAAATTTTTCTATACTCATTACTCCCTGAAGTCAGTTATTGCGGTATTATTGGCGGAGTGAACAACGAGCCATGAGATTAAAAATTAATCTCAACTGAGAGTGCTGAATTTAGGAGCAGTAGGGAGATGAAGGAAGGGTGACGTTCAGTATAACCTTCCCTGTATGAGAATTAAAGCTGGGGATTTGAAGAATGGGCAAGGTAGAATGGTTTTGGAGAGGCAATGATACACAAAGGTACTAATCTCTTCTCTTGCCAGAGTGGTACCAGTGGTTTGGTAGGATATAATACTGAGGCAAGAGATAGTCAGGAAAGAGGAAACTCCAGAGGTGCCCCAGGGCTAAGAAAAAAACATGGATAAAGGGCGGAGACCCTGTTTTAAGACTGGTAGTTTCTGCATCTGGAAAAACACTGAATCCTAGTGGAACAGGAATGCACCTGTGCAGATGCTACCTGACCCCTGCTTCATTATAATAGCATTATAATAAATAAGCATTGTGGGACCCCCTTCCCAGGAGCCAATCAAGGAAATCATGGGAAACCCACCCTAAGGAATAAAAGCCCTCTGGCCCCGGAGTTCGGTGCTGCTGCTGCTGCTACTGCTGTTAGGCTCTGTTCTGCTCAGAGTTGGCCTGCTCCCATGTTCTGTGTGGCTTAATAAATCTGATTTTTCTCGCTTTCTGCTATAAACTCTGTGTTTGGTTCAATTTTTTGTCCGCGATCACCAAGAACCTGGTTACCTGTGCCCACCTGTGACAATACCATAATCAAGAAACAGCCCTGGCTGATATGGCTCAGTGGATTGAGTGCTGGCCTGCAGACCGAAAGGTCACTGGTTTGATTTCCAGTCAGGGCACATGCCTAAGTTGCAGGCCAGGTCCCAGTTCGGGGGAGGGAGGGGTGTGAGAGGCAACCAATCAATGTATCTCTCAAACATTGATGTGTGTGTCTCTCTCTCCCTCCTTTCCCCTCTCTGTAATAACAAATTAATAATCTTAAAAAAAGAATCATATGTAAAGTTATTAAACACTATTAGTCAAAATGAAAATTTAAATTAATGAGATATTACTACATTCTCACAAGAAAAACTAAAATTAAAAGACAAAAACTTAGCAAAATGCCAATACTGTCATACCGCTGTTTGTACTGTAAGTTGGTACAGCCACTTGAGAATATCTTAAAAGGTATCTACAAAAACTAAAGATGTTCATATGCCATAACTTTTGTGACCCAGACTAAAGGACAGTAGGTAGAAAGATTTAGTGGAATGATCACTTAGCCTTTTAAGCTATGAAATATTCACCAAAACCATCAGGGGGTTCTTCCAAAGTCATTTCAAGGAGAAATTCTGGTCTCCCCAAATGGGCCTTCAACCCATACACACATTTCTCAAATTAATATATCCATACATTCAGCCAAAGATGTTTTCCACTATGCTCATACCAGCACTACTTTTAAGAGCCAAGCACGGGCCTGTCCAACAATCATTTATAATAGAATGGATTATTGATAAATGTATATATTATAAAAATATCCATCAATAAGAATGAATAAAATTCATATTTATAAAATTCAAATTCACCAAAATTTGAATTTCATAAACATAGTATTGAGGAAATAAAATTTGACTCAAAATAGTAAATATTGTATGATTTCATCCTGTAAAATACAAAAAACAGGCTCAGCAAATTTATCATGTTACAAGTTAGTGACTGCCAAATTAAAAGGGTTGTGAATAGAATGAGGCATCAGGGGTGCATTTAGGGTATTGAATTTTTCCTGTTCTAAGAAATGAACACTAAGAATTTTATGACCAAGAATATTAAAGGAAAGGCAGAAGTCAGGGGAAGCTGTAAGTACAATCTGACCACGATGCAAATGTGACCCAGACTAAAGGACAGTAGGTAGAAAGATTTAGTGGAATGATCACTTAGCCTTTTAAGCTATGAAATATTCACCAAAACCATCAGGGGGTTCTTCCAAAGTCATTTCAAGGAGAAATTCTGGTCTTCCCAAATGGGCCTTCTTAGAATCCTTGTTGCTTTAGCTGGGAGCATCCAATACAATAGTGGACTCTAAGCAATGTAGTGGTATGGAGAGATGCACCGGCACTGAGGGGTGGGGGATTTGAATTTTACTGGATTATAATTGGATTACCGAGGGTGGGGAGAGGGGTTACTGTTGTGTCGCACCTGGGCTGTTGGGGGCATTGCAACACAGGAGGTTTTGTATAAGCCGCAGTTTGCGCCAATGTTATCTTTTGCCTGCGGCTGTGAGGGGCAGTTAGTCACGTTCTGTTCTTGCTCGCCAGTAATTTCCAGTCCTGGGGACATAAACTCAGAAGAGTAAAATGGCAGTCGTGTTTCACAGGATCATAAGCCTGCTCGGCAAATAGCGCCACAATAATGAATGGCACTTGTTTTATCCTTTCATTCCTCCTCTAATTTTAAAATTGATTTGTTCTTAATGACTTGGGCTGGTTTTGGTTTTGGGGAGTGAGGATGAAGTTCTCTTCTTCCGTAACTACTTCATGCAGGCTAAGGATGTAGAGCTGTCTCTGCCTGTGGGTCCGGCTATGGATCATTAAGGGGAGGACTGTTCATGAGAGGTGGAAAGGAAATAAAGTTTTGGCTCCAAGGAACTGAGCACAGGGAAGAACCTGAGCAGGGCTGCTTTGGCCCCCTGAAAGGTCAGAAACCCGGTAACAGAAGATATGTGCTCCAGATGGAGGACAAGGAATTATAGTTCACATCAGCAAAGAAATACAAAGAGATGAATGTGTTTACTCTGTGCTTGAGGGTGACCTTACAGATTGATGAGAGAACCAGTCAGATGCCCTGGGGATAGATTGAACCTGCTCAGACAGGGGACTCAACAGAAAGCCCATTTGAAAGAGCCTCACTGGCCGAGGAAGAGAAAGCACAGTTGAGAAAGCATGTTTGACCCGCGGATGTGTTTACTCCAATCCCTGAGGGTGCCCTTACCAATGACTGGGGCGCCAAAGGGGAAGGAATGGGTCCCTTCATATGGCAGGGGTGATTGGTTCCTAACTCACTGTACCCTGTGAGCCAGGTGTTACCTAGGGATGGTTGTGTAGGTTAACTCTGTGTTCAGAGGGCAGCCTTACCTTCTATTACTAAACCTGTACAATTTCTTTTTCAACTTAATTTGAGTGGATTATTGATAAATTTACATATTGTAAAAATATCCACCAATGAGAATGAATAAAATTCATATTTATAAAGTTCAAATTCACTAACTCTTAAAAACCTCAATTTCCAATAATGACTAAAAAGTAAGCAACCAGCATTCCCTAGATCAACTTTTATGAACACATCTCATGACCTTTAGAAGCATAGGTTCCTCTACTGGCTAACACTCTCACTTTCAATAAACACACCTCCAATAAAGCACAAGACATTAACCTATAGCTCCAAATCCACTCTACAGCCTCCTTGTAATAAAGAGTCCAAGCCCTGGCTGGTGGGGCTCAGTGGATTGAGTGCCAGACTGCAAAGCAAAGGGTCGCACATTCGATTCCCAGTCAGGGCACATGCCTGGGTTGCGGACCAGGTCCCCAGTGGGGGGCGAGTGAGAGGCAACCACACACTGATATTTCTCTCCCTTTTTTTCTCCCTCCTTTCCCCCTCTCTAATAAATAAATAAAAATCTTTTTTTAAAAAAGCCTAAAACAGGTAAACTTAAGACTTACCTAGCAATCAATGTTTCAATATTTCATGTTATTTCAAAATACTTAGACATTCAATAATTTACCAGAATTTACTAGTTTAGAAAGGAATAGCTGAAATAAATTAAATTGATTTGCTCAGATATACCTAATATTTTCCCTCTTTTGATAAGAACTATTTCCCCAAAATTTATATTTTAAAAGATGGCCTAGATTAGAGTTCTTAAAGAAGGCTAGGTATTTGTATTTCAGAAATGTAAGGAAAGAAAAGCAAGCTTCTTATAGAAGGACTTTGGTTTCATAAAGCCAATTATCTATAAGTTTTTAAAGATGAATAGAGGAGGTTTTGGGAAACTAAAAGGATTTAATGGGCTTTGATGTTCTGGAGCCATGCCTCTGGCGCTGTAAAGACTTTATCCATAGAACAAAGACAGTTATTTTAATACCTCAACAGTTGGGTCACCAATCAGATGTATGCAAAGGACTGACAAATCCACTTACCCATATTTAAAATATTTTTCCGTCTGGGTACATTTTTTCCAGTTTACCAACAGCATATAGTTTAGGGTCATCTCTGAGAGCCATTGACGCCTAAACATATGGAACCTCTGTCCATTTCCTGTGGGAATAATAAAACAGGTACAGTTGCAAGACAGCATTGAAATTAATGGTGTCGTTGACTGGCCAAACCTCCCCATTGCCCACTTTATATTAGGATGAGACCATGTTACAAAAGGAGAGTAGCTTCTTTCTTGAGGGACTCAGGGTCAAATTCCTTCCAGTTGGTGAGTATGTGCCCCAAAAGGGGACTCTTTAGGCACTGTGGACTGGTTCCCCACCTACAGAGAGACACATATGCAGCAAGCTGATAGCTAGAGGAATCCCTGTAAATCTCTGGGTTGTTTTGGTCCATTCTGAGTAGAGTAGGTACCGTGTTAAGCTGTTTCTGAGGCTCTCGTGGACGTTAATAATGAAGAAAAAGAGAGTTAGCAAATAGTCTCAAGATTAGTTTCCTCTTTGGAGGTTTCTTTAAAATCGTTA